GGCTTAGTAAAATAAGGGGTTTTGGTTACATAACATTTTGGTCAAAAAGTAAGGCTATAGGCTTAGTAAAATAAGGGGTTTTGGTTATATCGAATTTTGGTCAAAAAGTAAGGCTATAGGCTTAGTAAAAAAAGGGGTTTTGGTTTAATCGAATTTTGGTCAAAAAGTAAGGCTATAGGCTTAGTAAAAAAAGGGGTTTTGGTTTTATCGAATTTTGGTCAAAAAGTAAGGCTATAGGCTTAGTAAAATAAGGGGTTTTGGTTATATCGAATTTTAGTCAAAAAGTAAGGCTATAGGCTTAGTAAAATAAGGGGTTTTGGTTTTATCGAATTTTGGTCAAAAAGTAAGGCTATAGGCTTAGTAAAAAAAGGGGTTTTGGTTTTATCGAATTTTGCTCAAAAAGTAAGGCTATAGGCTTAGTAAAAAAAGGGTTTTGGTTACATAAAATTTTAGTTAAAAAGTAAGGCTATAGGCTTATTAAAAAAAGGGGTTTGGGTAACATAACATTTTGGTCAAAAAGTAAGGCTATAGGCTTAGTAAAAAAAGGGTTTTGGTTACATAACATTTTGGTCAAAAAGTAAGGTAATAGGCTTAGTAAAGAAAGGGGTTTTGGTTACATAAAATTTTGATCAAAAAGTAAGGTTATAGGCTTATTAAAATAAGAGGTTTTGGTTATATCGAATTTTGGTCAAAAAGTAAGGCTATAGGCTTAGTAAAAAAAGGGTTTTGGTTACATAACATTTTGGTCAAAAAGTAAGGTAATAGGCTTAGTAAAAAAAGGGTTTTTGGTTACATAAAATTTTGATGAAAAAGTAAGGCTATAGGCTTAGTAAAAAAAGGGGTTTTGGTTTTGTCGAATTCTGGTCAAAAAGGAAGGCTGAAGGCTTAGTAAAAAAAGGGGTTTTGGTTTTATCGAATTTTGGTCAAAAAGTAAGGCTTTAGGCTTTGTAAAAAAGGGGTTTTGATTACATAAAATTTTGATGAAAAAGTAAGGCTTTAGGCTTAGTAAAAAAGGGGTTTTGGTTACATAAAATTTTGATGAAAAAGTAAGGCTATAGGCTTAGTAAAAAAAGGGGTTTTGGTTTAATCGAATTTTGGTCAAAAAGTAAGGCTATTGGCTTAGTAAAAAAAGGGGTTTTGGTTTTATCGAATTTTGGTCAAAAAGTAAGGCTATAGGCTTAGTAAAATAAGGGGTTTTGGTTATATCGAATTTTAGTCAAAAAGTAAGGCTATAGGCTTAGTAAAATAAGGGGTTTTGGTTTTATCGAATTTTGGTCAAAAAGTAAGGCTATAGGCTTAGTAAAAAAAGGGGTTTTGGTTTTATCGAATTTTGCTCAAAAAGTAAGGCTATAGGCTTAGTAAAAAAAGGGTTTTGGTTACATAAAATTTTAGTTAAAAAGTAAGGCTATAGGCTTAGTAAAATAAGGGGTTTTGGTTTTAACGAATTTTGGTCAAAAAGTAAGGCTATAGGCTTAGTAAAAAAAGGGGTTTTGGTTACATAAAATTTTAGTTAAAAAGTAAGGCTATAGGCTTAGTAAAATAAGGGGTTTTGGTTTTAACGAATTTTGGTCAAAAAGTAAGGCTATAGGCTTAGTAAAAAAAGGGTTTTGGTTACATAACATTTTAGTTAAAAAGTAAGGCTATAGGCTTAGTAAAATAAGGGGTTTTGGTTATATCGAATTTTAGTCAAAAAGTAAGGCTATAGGCTCAGTAAAATAAGGGGTTTTGGTTTTATCGAATTTTGGTCAAAAAGTAAGGCTATAGGCTTAGTAAAAAAAGGGGTTTTGGTTTTATCGAATTTTGCTCAAAAAGTAAGGCTATAGGCTTAGTAAAAAAAGGGTTTTGGTTACATAAAATTTTAGTTAAAAAGTAAGGCTATAGGCTTAGTAAAATAAGGGGTTTTGGTTTTAACGAATTTTGGTCAAAAAGTAAGGCTATAGGCTTAGTAAAAAAAGGGGTTTTGGTTACATAAAATTTTAGTTAAAAAGTAAGGCTATAGGCTTAGTAAAATAAGGGGTTTTGGTTTTAACGAATTTTGGTCAAAAAGTAAGGCTATAGGCTTAGTAAAAAAAGGGTTTTGGTTACATAACATTTTAGTTAAAAAGTAAGGCTATAGGCTTAGTAAAATAAGGGGTTTTGGTTGTATCGAATTTTGGTCACAAAGTAAGGCTATAGGCTTAGTAAAATAAGGGGTTTTGGTTATATCGAATTTTGGTCAAAAAGTAAGGCTATAGGCTTAGTAAAAAAAGGGGTTTTGGTTATATCGAATTTTGGTCAAAAAGTAAGGCTATAGGCTTAGTAAAAAAAGGGGTTTTAGTTATATCGAATTTTGGTCAAAAAGTAAGGCTATAGGCTTAGTAAAATAAGGGGTTTTAGTTATATCGAATTTTGGTCAAAAAGTAAGGCTATAGGCTTAGTAAAATAAGGTGTTTTGGTTATATTGAATTTTAGTCAAAAAGTAAGGCTATAGGCTTATTAAAAAAAGGGGTTTTGGTTATATAAAATTTTGGTCAAAAAGTAAGGCTATAGGCTTAGTAAAATAAGGGGGTTTGGGTTTTATCGAATTTTGGTCAAAAAGTAAGGCTATAGGCTTAGTAAAATAAGGGGGTTTTGGTTTTATCGAATTTTGCTCAAAAATTAAGGCTATAGGCTTAGTAAAATAAGGGGTTTTGGTTATATCGAATTTTGGTCAAAAAGTAAGGCTATAGGCTTTGTAAAATAAGGGGTTTTGGTTACATAAAATTTTGGTCAAAAAGTAAGGCTATAGGCTTAGTAAAAAAAGGGTTTTGGTTACATAACATTTTGGTCAAAAAGTAAGGTAATAGGCTTACTAAAATAAGAGGTTTTGGTTATATCGAATTTTGGTCAAAAAGTAAGGCTATTGGCTTAGTAAAATAAGGGGTTTTGGTTGTATCGAATTTTGGTCACAAAGTAAGGCTATAGGCTTAGTAAAATAAGGGGTTTTGGTTATATCGAATTTTGGTCGAAAAGTAAGGCTATAGGCTTAGTAAAATAAGGGGTTTTGGTTGTATCGAATTTTAGTCAAAAAGCAAGGCTTTAGGCTTAGTATAATAAGGGGTTTTGGTTTTATCGAATTTTGTTCAAAAAGTAAGGCTATAGGCTTAGTAAAATAAGGGGTTTTGGTTACATAAAATTTTGGTCAAAAAGTAAGGCTATTGGCTTAGTAAAAAAAGGCGTTTTGGTTACATAAAATTTTGCTCAAAAAGCAAGGCTATAGGCTTAGTAAAATAAGGGGTTTTGGTTGTATCGAATTTTGGTCACAAAGTAAGGCTATAGGCTTAGTAAAATAAGGGGTTTTGGTTATATCGAATTTTGGTCGAAAAGTAAGGCTATAGGCTTAGTAAAATAAGGGGTTTTGGTTGTATCAAATTTTAGTCAAAAAGCAAGGCTTTAGGCTTAGTATAATAAGGGGTTTTGGTTTTATCGAATTTTGTTCAAAAAGTAAGGCTATAGGCTTAGTAAAATAAGGGGTTTTGGTTACATAAAATTTTGGTCAAAAAGTAAGGCTATAGGCTTACAAAAATAAGTGATCTTCGTTACATTGAATTTTGGTCACCCCGATCGGCGGATCAAAATTTCGATCGGGTATGACCGTCGACTGCCCCCTGTCTTATTTTCTCTCCAATTACTATGCAATATTCTACTCACTTCTTTTTTGTGCTATTTCGAAATTTTTATTTTATTAAGACAATCCAATCTTCTCAAACCTAGTAATAAAGAGAGACCAACTGTTTCCAAAAGCAAAAGACCTTCTACTTCTTCGTTTTCTGATTAAGTATCTACAGATTATTATCGATACGTTTATGCAAAAAATATATGATATTTTAATTACAATAAAATCAAAGTGCCTGTGACATGATTTCTTTTATTCTCTCATAGGCAGGGAATTTTCCTCAACAATCTGAACTTCAACCTAACTTTGAATCTCATTTTACAATAATAGCAATTCGACCATGTTGATTCCAAATCCGAGATGGGCCCTTTGAAATTTCGACCGGAAGTGTGAATGTTTGATGACGTCACAGAGGGACATTTTTTGCCAGTAAAACACTCAAAGCGGGGCAAAAATACACGTAAATTGAGTGAAAATGGTCTCAATCGATAGTTCTCGATGTTATGATTTGAATGGTTTATAGTTCTCAGAGTTTTGGAGATTCCAGCAAAAAAATTGATGACGTCATCATTTGGCAAAATAGTAGAGTACTAGCCCCAGTTACGCGGGCTACGTGGGCTACGCGGGCACACTGCAGCCCTCACGTCCGCGAGTGTTAAATTTCCATCAGCAAAGACAAGAAGTCTGTTAAAACTGCCAATGAATGATAATAAAATTAGCCTTGGTAAGACAAGAATTCTGTCCAAGCCCCCAATGAATTATAGGAAATTCGCCCCTGAAAGAAAAGACAAAATGTCTAGCCTCTATCTCAAATTGAATGGACACGCCCCATAGGGGTCACGTGATAAAAAGCAGCTTGCTCTGCTAAAAAATTTAGTAAAAAAATTCACTCGCACTCCTGTGACTATCGCTAGGAAGGGGGCTATTGGCAATAGGCTCCTTTTCAACTGATGTGTACTAAAAGTTTTCCTATTTTTCAGTGTTATTGCACAATAAAATAGTAATTACTTTTTCACTGAAAATTGATAGATGTAAATTTGTCTCTTTTAAAAAGGCTAATGTTGCTAATATAATCTATTATATAAGCTATAGGGTGCCTGCGCAGCAGGTTCAAGACTTTTTGAAATTTTATTAGGCATCTGGTACACTTGCCCTTTAGACCAGTTTATGGGTTAACCTTAAACCTCTCCCGCTCTTTGTTTTGTATCACACGTTTAAAAAATGTTACAATATACTTCTTTAAGCTGTTGTTGACCTGTGATAAATGTTTCAAAATGTTTTTGAGATACCGTCATAGCACTGCTATTTATACTGAAGCAAATGATTCTAAATTTCCCACAAAAAATCTTCAGTGGCCATGGACTCATTGGGCTTTCGTTAATTATATACTTGTTATTGTTGAATGTTATAAAAAACATGAAAAAAACAAGTTGAGTGAATTCAGAGAGTAAAGAAATTACGCGAAAAACGCAAATTTAAGGGGTCTCAACGTCTTTTAAGAACCCTTCGTTGTCCAAATCTGTTATGAGGATCTCATCGAAGTATCGATCGATGATGCTCTGCAAGACAACGATTCGAAACCTCGCCGTCCGTAACCGCGCCAACGCCACGCGATTGGAAGTTACCGCCAATCTTAAGCATAGCGGGTAAGCGAATGCTGTTGATTACAATATATTCTTAATGTTAACTTGACCACAAGGTATCTATTTAATCATATCTGTCAGAATCATCATTATCGCTTTCGTCACTTGACGAATATCCAAAAAATATATACTCTAACTAGCACGTTTTTGGGAAGGAGAATTGCTTCTTGTTTTAATTGCAGATTCCTTTGACGAAGGCAATTGACTTCCTGAAATGGTAGTAGAAATGGCACCATTGAATTTTGCACAATAAATATTTTTCAAAATCTTTTTCCTACTAAAACGGATTTTCTAGTACAATGGTTGTATATTTTGCTACCTACTAAACGACTAGCTAGTAAATGGAAACAGGAATTACCAGTAAACCATATTGGCACCAAAATTCCGTTTTGAAGATCCTTCTTCTAGCCACAATCTTCAACTCTAATGTTAGTGACTGTATAGCTTTCGAATTGTAGCCAATAATATGCCTGGAAATGTACACGTAGCAAGGCTTGCCGCAATGAATCAGGATCGGGTGGGATTGCCAGTGACGCTTTGGTTTTCAAGGACTTGTAGAGACGTATGCACGTTTCCACTAATGATTCTGTTTCTTTGCCAGAGTACATTACTGTTTGAACAAATTTCATACTTTCTTCAAGTCCTTTCTCTGATAAAATTTCACTTTGGCCAATAGATTGTAGCAAATCTAGTAATTCTGGCTTTTTCTTCACTTTATTTAAAACTTTGATCTTCCGAACCCCAAAGAAAAAGAAAGTTGAGTCACAACCTATCAGACTGTGCAATTGTGGCAAGTAAGACGATATTTTAGAACCAAGGTATTTGTTCACTTTGCCTATGTCCACGTATTTATCATGATATATTTTCATGTACCATTTGTTGCAAGGCTGAAGCTTACTGTAAGCATAGACCAGCAGAATGAAAACGTCAGTGCCTTTCGATACTATTTCGATATTTGTGTCCTGAAGAGAAGCTTGCAATAAGTCTCGTATGAGCTTCTTCATGATCGCACTTGAAAAGTTTGTTAGAAGTAGTTTTCGTAAGCGCTAATGTATTTTCATCACACGTTAAGAAAAACGGGACCGATATTAATTTCCTTCCTTCTGAATTTTGAAAAAAATTTGCTGCCAGCTCAATCAATTATTTTTTGTTTTCAATGTTGTTGAACAAAGCATTCCAGGCATTTTCTTGAAGCATCTTTTGATCATATCCCTGAATGTGAGGACGGGCAGACTCTTCGCCCCTTATTTGCCTTGTGCCACTTTTACGCTATCTTTCCTGTATGTATCGTTTGTCATTTCAACGGAGAGAGGGTGAGACTGAATAGGTGGTGTCGAAAATTTTGGTAGGGCAAGAAGCTATTCCTTGTAGGTTTCACGAGCTTTCACAGTAATTCTCCTTCCCAAAAACGTGCTGGATATGCACCTGAATTCAAGGTTGACAATCAAGGAATATGTGAAGAAACAGAAGATTTGGAGTATATATTTTTTTGGTAATCGTCAAGTGACGAAAGCGATAATGATGATTCTGACGGATCTGATTGGCTACCATGATTTAGTTAAATAGATACATTGTGGTCAAGTATTAGTTAACATTGAGAATATATTGTAATCAACAGCTTTCGCTTACCCGCTATTCGTGCTATACTGTACTGTTTTGCCAAATGATGACGTCATCAATTTTTTTGCTGTCATCTTCAAAACTTTGAGAACTATATACCATTCAAACCATAACATCGAGAACTTTCGATTGAGACCATTTTCACTCAATTTACGTGTATTTTTGCCCCGCTTTGAGTGTTTTACTGGCAAAAAATGTCCCTCTGTGACGTCATCAAAAATTCACACTTCCGGTCGAAATTTCAAAGGGCCCATCTCGGATTTGGAATCAGCATGGTCGAATTGCTACTATCGTAAAATGAAATTCAAAGTTAGGTCGAAGTTCAGATTGTTGAGGAAAATTCCCTGCCTATCAATTGTATCGTTGCATTGCTCTTATAGTAAATCTGAATTTTTTTTTAAATAAAAGCGTTTTGATATTGAAATTAAGCAAAATAGTGCGGCCTAGCCAAGTCGCTTTATCATCATTTGCCCTTCTCTTGTGACGTCATGGGAGGAACTCGTTATTATAACAATGTAAGCGCTACCTTCAAAAATCTTATCCTTGCTGCCATTACTTTCTCTGGAAATATCGCTGATCTTGGACCTGTTAGATTTCCCTCATTGACTACGATACAAAATCTCGAAGGAGGAGGCGACAGGGTCCTTCCCGTGACGTCACTGTCTACTCATTCTGAAAACCAAGATGGCGAATTTTGGCGTAGAAGATCGCCAATAACTTCTTCATTTCTCACGAAACGTAAAAACTAACCTCAGAAATAAAAATAACAGGCCTTTTTACATAAGAATAGATATATAAAACCAAAAGTACGAAAATCATGTCACAGGCACTTTAAAATAAATTCTTAAGGATGGTTTTGATACTTTTATTATTTTAATATCTAAATTCTTCTATGCCCATCCGTTAATTCCAGACAGTCTTTTCAACTCATCATAAAATTTTAAATAATTCCTATGCTGGGGCCACACTGGTTTTAAATAAATGCAGTGTCCCTAGTGAATGCTCCAGCCAGTCTAAACTCATCTGGGGTTATTACAGCAAACATTCGTTGAGGTGACGGTCGAGAAGAGTCCCTCGGTTTTCGAACAGTGGTCCGCAGAATATACTCTCGCCCGGCTGGGGCAGGAAATGACAATTTTCGTGGCCTGTGGTGTGCTTTCTTCCCCTACATCAAAAAATGAATTACAAAACAAAAATTCTTTCAGCTTAGAAGCATGGCAGAAGTTATTATCAGCCTAGGAGTATGGTTGATAAATCATTTCAATTTTAGGCAAAATTTGCCGTGGCATTTCCGCAAAGTCCAAATAACATTAATGATGGTGGTTTTACGTGAAAAAAGATAATAAATGATACATTCGGCATTGGTTTTTACTTATGCATCTCTTTTCCCCGTATATAATTTGGATCAAGCATGCAAAAATTTTCGAATTTTCCAAACTTTGTGTAATCAAAACATCAATTTTTATTGTCTTCGGTTGTTCATGCTCAGTTTTTGCATCGTGAAAATGTGAATTTCCATGCCTTACAACCATATAACCTACGAAAATCCCGATGGAATGCTAGAAACGTTCGCGATGTCTGGCAGCCTTTCCTCTTGAAACCAGGCCTTGATTTTGAAACAAAAACAAAAAACAATTTCACAATTGTCAAATATTGTAATCAATAAACAAAAAAGACTTACATCAGAAAGACTTGTTTCTTGATCGTGTGAAGGTTCTTCTTCAAATTTTTGCTGTAATAAAAATGAACATTAACCTTAGTTAAGAAGCTACAAAACAGTGCATTTTCAAACTTAACCAACATTGAACCAGTAAAAGTAAATTAATTTTCCCATTTACAGTATATTTGCGACCTGCTTACATATTCGCAAGTGAGTAAATCTGAATATTTCATACCAAAAAAATAAAATATTGTTATAAAGAATCATTATCAATAATCTACCGGCATTTAGGGGGTATTTAGCGATAAATGTATCTAGGGGCATCAAGGGGGTATCTAGAGGCATCTAGAGGCATCTAGATACCCCCTTGATGGACGGGAGAAGAACAGCTCTTCTTCTTAGACAACCCTCAACTACAAAACTGAAAAGTTTGCTGATGGAAATAACTGGGAGAGAATTGTTCACTGCAAAAGATTTGACTGCCCTATTGATAGAACAGTACCCAGTTAGCGAGGAGGAAAGAGAGGATTTTTCAAGATCCTCGTTGTCATCCGTGTCCAGTTGGAATCGTTCAACCCGTTTCCACAAGCACGGTTTTTATAGGATCTAATTCGTTATTAGACTCATTTGGGTACAGTTAGCAGTTCCAAATGGAACCGTTCTTTCCGGTCCCGTGGAAACGCCTGGCCTAGGGGTACCAAAATTGTTGTGCTTTCAAATGGAAGCTATCTCCTGGAAACACAGCTTTATACTGTATATGAATTCAAAATACTTCTAGTAAATTTCTGAAAAATAATTGTTGCCACCAGATTTGGTATTCCATTAGACTTGTACTAGAAAATTACAAATAATAACAAAAAACCTCCTTTTTTTGAACAACACTAGTCCTTCCCTGCCCTACCATTTTAGCCTTCCTCCATCTTTTTCTCCTCGCTTACTTTCACTTTTCTAACAAGAATCTCAAGGCAACTGTCTGATAAGAAAATTTATTGCTAGATCAATACTATTTTTCAAACAATCCGTGAAAGTCACAATAGATTGAGAGTGTCGCTTACCTGATTGTTTTCGATGTGTTTTGCAATCAATTTTCCGATTTTTCCTCTCGGTCCTCCGTTTATAATGACATCTGGTGCAGACAATAATTGTGAAACAAACTCCTGGATCTCATCGTCTAGAGCTTCATCGTCTTTCTTCCCACTTAGAGTTTTAAATTTTTTTTCTAGGAACTGAATCCTGGATATAGCTAGTTCCGCTATTTGTAGCTGTCTTGAAATTCCCTGCAGGAATAAAATATTTACTGAATCACAAATAAAAAGGTCTAGCTTGCAAATACAAAATGATAGCAAATTCCTAGGGGAATAGTAAGGCATCGAGCAGCATCGGTACAAATCCAAAAAAAAAACGTTCTTTACTCAACTTACTTTAAATAATGTAAACATTTTTTCCATCTAATCTATACGTCACTCCTTTTCGTCGGTACCGTCAAACTGTATGCCTCCTACATAGTCATCTTTCTTTCAAAATCTGACAGTCTTTGATCATAATCTTGCCGTGCATTATGGACTGACCTCTTTTTGCTTCAGAGTTGTCATCATCGGTCTCGATTTCGATCGATTAATGACGCAACAATGGGTCCTTTAAACTTAGAGCTTCTGCAAACACAAACGGCTGAGCACGTGAATTATATTTCTAAACAAAAACAAGCCTGAAAATACAACCACCATTGATGTAGTCTTGTGATGCACGAAGAATAATGACAATCGGTTTACAGCTTACTGTACACTGCTCGTTGTCACATAAACAGAGCTGGGTATATGAAGCTCAGATAAAGCTGAATCTAGAGCCTTTTTAACACATTTATTATCAATGAGGCCTAAGCTATAAGTTTAAACGGAAAAGAAGCTTTTTATCAAAACTGGTGACTCACCATCATTTTCGAAATGTTATCTTTCTTGGGCAATCCCAGACGCGCTGTATCATGGATCACTTGTGTGACAATATTTGAGATCCGGTGCCTGGAGCTTTCATCTACAATTAATCGAATATAAAAATAGATCTTATCAGTTTAAAAAACAATTATATTAATATGACAATCTTGATATGATCAAAAATAGCACATACAAGATTCATTAAAAATATCAACTACGAGTTTTCCTTACATTAATACTCGAGTCATTATATCTTATAGTAGTCGGGTGCAGGTATCGGACAGCCATGCCTTTCACTCGAAAAAATAGTTCTATAGCGATGCGTTCAAATTGGACAAATCCTGTTTCAAAGCCAACCAATGACACAAAATAAACTAAGATAGCAAAAAATTGTCTATTTACTAATAGAGGCTTCCCTGTTTTTTTACTAATAGATAGATTGGAAACAGATTAGCTTTGATTCTATCCAAGCCATCTAACGCTTTATGCATCTTATGTAATTGGTCTGATAAAGAAAAATACATCTCAGCCTAGCCAAAGATTCCTTATCGAGTGCAATTGGAGTAAAGATAGGACGAATCAAATCTGTCTCTCAACTGACAATTCCCCAGCATGAAATTACAATTCTAGAAAATTTGAAGACCTTCGTCCACAAAAAATTTCCTACGCGAACGAATATACGATTTTTTGGAGCCAATCGAGTGGAGAGGGGGGGGAGATCCAGGGCCGCCGAGAGCTAGGACAGGCCCCTGAGCAGCTATTAGAAACGGACCTCCTTTTAAACTTTTTAAATTTCCAAACAAGATATTTTTGGTCATTTCAAGTAGATTATCAAAAACGGAAAAATTTTATTGACTAAGCTGAGAATTTCTAATATGTCTTACACACTAAAATACATAACTTTAAGTCTTCGCTTTAATATCACTACAAAATATAACAGAATAAAACAGCTTCAATTTTTTACGGGCCCCAAAAATGGTCCGGGCCCTGGGGCAGTTGCCTCGGCTACCCCCCCCCCTCTCGGCGGTACTGGGGAGACCACAATGCTTTTAATTTTCAAAATACCTAGAACGGAAAGTGAAATAACTTACTTTCAAGCAAAATTCTACCAATTGCAGTGTGAACACTGACTGGAAACAAATACATGGCGATTTCTGCAGGTTTCAGATTGGCAAGAAAGTGAAGGACCTGCAAAAGAAAGATTACATTTTCCGATTCAAACAGGAATGTTGGCAATCCAATATTACTTTATAAAACATCTAGCTGTTCCTATATAATTGTGCTTTGCATTGGGTTACGTAGGTTTTATGTACCTAAACTGATTTCTGTTGATTTAAATACTCATGGTGATACACGAGCCAGTTAGAGGTGGAACTAGCGATTGGGCATTTGGGGGACGGACAGAATGTGGTCCACGCCCTTTCTGGACCACGTCCACGCTTAATGAAGAGATTGGAGGACACAACAGATAGAGGTAGGTAATGCAAAAAACGCCCTTTTTGCATGGGAGAACGCTGATTTTCCCAATTGTGAAAGCTATGTCTAATGTCTAATGTGAAAGCAGTTTCAAAATAAAAACACCACGTCACAGCAAATACAATGCCAAAATATAACCCCTTCCCCGATATTTTCTTATCAAATTTTGACGAAATACAAAATCTTTTCTTCCAAAAAGTAAAGGGGGCGTTTCCCCTCAGTCCCCCACTGCGCCACTTTTGGAGGCAGTACGTTTCTACCCACTGTGGTGAGAGGCAACTGTATTGAGATGCAACCTTGTTATCCAGGAGCTACTCCAACAATGAAAGCTCGATGCATTTAGATTTGAGAAAACAAGGAAAGCTGTTTGGAAAGGGTTTTTCTTGAAAAATAATATCAACCTTTTCTGCTTCTTTTGTGTCATCAAATAGCCTTTTCTGCCGTCTCACTGGGACAGGTTTCGCGGAATGCCACGTGTCAAGCCAAATATTTCCTGGAATTTGCATGCGAACACTCAAGTGCCCTTCGTTTGCCCACTGAAATAAACAATATATATAATTTATTCGTGATATAAGTCAAACATAAAATGATTTATGAAATATGAAGAGCTTACATGAGTAAATGCAATAAAAAAGTTAGAAAAAAGTAAACATCGTTTCTGTAAAAGGTAAACATCGTTTCTGTAAATTTTTTGCTTTAATTCCAAATGAGACATGAATGAGACTGAAAAGGGAAGGACTTAGGAAACTTAATTCAAGAACATATCCAGAAACACTTCTTTTTGATGATGCGTTTCTCGGATACAATTTGAAAAAGCGGACAAATTTCTATCTGTTTTTGCAGAAAAAAAGAACGTAGAAATGACTTCTTTAGGTGCTTACCTTCGGTTTTTCTGCCTCAGAAGCATCGACATCCACTTCCATTATATCTTCATCAGTAATTTTTTCATCTGCATCTAGATCCCAGCCATCAATCGCTTCTGTGCCAACAACCTCTTCTAATTCAGCTTGAAAAAAAATAAAGAAGATTGGTGTGAAAAGCAATTAATAGTAAATTAAGATGTCATAAATAAGAGAGAGAGAGAGAGAGAGAGAGAGAGAGAGAGAGAGAGAGAGAGAGAAGAGAGAGAGAGAGAGAGAAAGAGAGAGAAAGAGAGAGAGAGAAAGAGAGAGAGAGAAAGAGAGAGAGAGAAAGAGAGAGAGAGAAAGAGAGAGCCAAACCGCCAAACCGCATTTGATTTGGTCTAGCTACTTGAACCGAATAGTTACAGTTTTTGAAGCTTTATATCACATGGGAAGATTATAAGAAAACGTAGTTTAATTTACCATTATAACAAAAAACGACAAATGTAAGTCACTTGGAAATCAAGGTGATAAATCTCCGTTCAAGGTATAAATGATTACCTCGTTCATTTTTTTTCAAAACAGAAGCTTTCATTTTGGCAAGATCTTCTTTTTCTTGCTGTGTCTCCGGTCCAGCTATCCAATCATTAGGTGAATACCACCTCACGAAATCCTCGAAAATGCAGCCAGGATTGGCAGCCTAAAGGAGAAGAAATCAAAATTTCTGAAGAATCTGACCTTTTAAAGAATGCACAATCAAAGAATTTAGAAGCACACGAGTACCAGTAAAATACCAAATGCTTGCATTTATCAAACGGGTGTGCATTGACGTGCTTAATGCGACTGACTGCTCTATACAAGATTGACTGCGCCATATAGGAAGAGCATAGATGTAACAACTGGGTAGACTGGGGTACGGGCCTATAAAGAGAGCAAAACTGGCTATTTGCAGTTCATGGAGATGAACCGTTTGCCTAAATGTGCACCCCCCCCCCCCCACACACACACATAAAATGCTTTCTACGTCTATTGGTATGAGACTGCACAATACGACTTAAAAATGATACTTTATTATTAAAGAATCTGCATAATTATAAAAGGTTTTGGTTTGAGTCACCCACAGGTGGCCCTGTCCACATCAGATGCGACGATGTATCATACCCGCGGCTGGTTCATTTTAGGATTCAATATATGTATCTTTCTTTAAAAGATTTACATAGATGCTTTAACAATAACCCTGATAGCATGACAATAATAACATGACTTTGTCTAATAACAGAACTAATAACAGTATTTGTCTCTTTGATTGTAATAACAGATCACTACAACCCAAGATCAACCCAAGTTAGAGACTACAAAAAACATACGTCGGTAAGGCTTCTAACCTTAAAAGCTTGAACGTCTGAGAAAAGTGAGCCACTCTGCATTTGAGCTAAATACTTTGATCCACCTTCTGACCTTCCTAATTTCAAAATTATCTCTGTCTGTTCTTCTATTATGTCTTCTGTGACTGGGGGTGGCTCCTACAAATAAAAAGTGACAGATTTAAAAAATTTATTGGAAATATTGTCAATATTAAAGAAAGCAAATCAATTAAGTGCCGTCGTAAAAGTTTTATTGGAAATATTTCACGATTGTCAATCGTATTATGAACATACCAAATTCTAAATATCGAATAATATGTGACATTTAGTTCAGAAACCATCTGACAACCATGAGCAACTGCTTGGCAAAGCAATCGTGGTGAAACATTTGGTTTGTAAATATCTCAAAAGGGCATGAAACTTGAATGATGATATTGAAGACGGGGGTAAATAATGAGCTGACTTGTTCTGACTTTACAGCTCTGTGAAACTCTGAATCCCTGGCATAACCTAAGAAAGCTAACGAGAAGACTTGTGTCATTTCCTTATTTTAAAATTTTGTTAACACATGAGCCTAGTCTCCACTTTGCAGGGAAATCAATAATCATGTATAAGATAACAAAATAAAAGTCACAACAAAGTACTGCAAAACAAAACTTTCTCCATGCAAAAATCATATTTACTTGTGTTATGGGTATACAAAGTGGCTCGTCAGTTTCTAGAAGTTTCATTTCCGTTTCTTTTGAAACCCCTATCCTTTCAAAGGAAACATCACTAGCTGATTTGGTCAGGCTGATGAAGGATCCGGATGGACTCTCATTTTGTGATTGCGATTGCTCTTCTTCGTTTGAGTTCTTAGAAGCTTGCTCTTCAACAGCTTCAAAGAACTCATCATCACTATCGCTTTCATTTGACTCTACTTTCCATGAAGTTTTTTGCAGAGTGGTCTCTGGCTCGGTTGACTCCACGACTGGATCAGTCTTCGACTGGGTTTTTAAAGAAGTTAATGATGTTGTGCTTGTAGGCTTTGATGACCGCTCATACAGCTCTTTTTTCCTCTCTATGCAGTAATTTAACATCTGCATGGTTAAAATATGATTGCAATTTAATATCAGGAATGTATAGCACCTCGTGTTTTGCAGAAAATATATAATTTAAGGGGGTGTCGGGTGGAGGCAACCATAACCTAAGTATGCTCGGAAGGGGAAAAGCGTAGGTTCCATGAAAGCGTACTTTTGCGTACAGGGTGAGGAAGGGAGATATTCAGCAATTACATAATCGAAAAAAATTATGCCGAGCCTTTCATTAGATAAATAATCAATGATTTAAAATTCATCTTCTAATAGTCAACATTTTTAAGGAAAAACACAAGGTTGTAGGTCACCCACTTTTGATCACGTTTTCGTTTCCACTCGTAGGCGGATTATTTCTATTACGGTAATACCGGGAAGGGGCTTGTCAGTTAAAGATATATCAAAGACATACCTGTAATTTCTGATGAATCAAACAGTAATTAAGATTTGGTGATCCAAGTGCGATTCTAGTGCAAAACAGTAAAAAGTTGATGTAATTTTTAAGTCTCAAAACTCAATTTCAAATAATAACGAGTAAATCATTTCGAAAAACTTTGAAATTTTTGTATCATCGATAAGATATTTTCTTCAATTGGCTATAAAATGTATTCGCATGTAACTTGAGGTTACCGATTAATTATTCCAAAATCAGAGTGTCAAATGATACCTGAAACATACTGCAACCTATGTATATTACAATTATTGTTTGCAAACAATCTTTTGATGGTACAAAACTTTTCAAACATTTAGTAAACTAAAGCTTTTCGTCTGACACTCTTCAGAGTTTTAAACTTCAGAACATAGATCGAAAACTCGACCCAGTTGTGGATCGAAATAGGCCAATCAGAAAACACGAGCACATGACTGTATAGGTTGACCAATCAGTGCCGCTTGCCTATTGAGAGTGTTACCAATGGAGTCCTAAGGTGAAGACGAACTCCTTTTGTCTACACAGTAGCGGTTTTTCCGTGCTTATGTAGATAGATTCCAAAACTGCTAGGTGGAATTATTGTTTGAATTATATCTAACTAAAAACATTTGAAACGATTAGTTAAAATTAAGTGACAGCAAAAAACATGGCAGATAATTTGGGTCATTGGACTTGGCAGATCTTCCAAAAAGAGTAAATTGACTAAAATTGAGGTATTTACCTTGGAATCTGAATGTTATTTTCATATCTGTATCTCATTTCAAGAACAAATTCGTGCCATAGATGAGCAAAGGCATTCACACCTAGAAAATTATTAAAGGATTACTTTCTTTTCGATAATAAAACAGTAAGCTACAAACAAAGTCAACAGAATAGTATTTTGGGCTCTAAATGCTCTACATGCTTGTTCAAAGGTTCATGATATCCACACTTTACGAAGTCAAATGGGATGGAGTGAAGAAGTTTACTGCAGTTTAAGGAGGAAGAAGTCACAATACAAATTTACTAGTTACACTACCTACAAAATACTTAACGACACTACAAGGAGGCTGCCACTGGGTGCAAAATACTTTGACTACTCCGTGACATCATGAAAAACTAAGACAACTTGCATATGAATAACCAAAGGAAAAAAACAAAGAACACTACACGCTCTCACAAATTAGATATCAGGCGAAAAATGTTAGCGAATAGCAGCAGACTAGATGTTTGCTGCAGTTTAAGTAATTTTGCGTTATCACAGATCTCACCTTATATATAATTTGAGACAGACTTTACATATTATATTTTACTAAATAATTGTTGGCTTACTAGGGGGGGGGGGGAGGTGGCGAGATACTCTATTCAAAGCGACCAGTACTATCTATAATACGTATTGTTAACTGAAGGATGCTTCTATTAAGATGCAACTAAGCTTTGCCTGCAAACAAACTAAAAGGGGAAGTGGCCTAACATCATTAACAGCAAGTTCTCTAAATAGTTCAAGTTCCTATAATTCTCTAAATAAAAATTCAAGGTAATTTTTGATGAACAAATTTAAAAAATTTTCTCAAATCATAAAGCCTATACTTCTTCCATTGGGAAATTCTATTTGTCATAGTGGAATTGATTGCATATATAGATATGGAGCTATGACTTGGTGGTATTGATTGTTGTTAGCAGAATATGATCAGAGTAAAATCAAATGTAGTATTAATGGCATGCTATATTTCCAAACTAGGGTGGAAGTTACTCAGTTCGATAAGAGAATTGAGGAAATTTCTGCACCAACACAGAGTCATTCTTTGACCTGACCTAACTTAACCTGACATGATCAGAATGATTTCTTACGAAAACACTAGCAAAAATAACAGACATCTTTGTATTAGCTCGAAGTGAAGAAGTCCGGCAAAACATTCCTATTGAATTACTATTGATAGTTTTATAAAGTCTTTTTGGAATTTTACAGTATTTGTCGATATAGTTGGGAAAATAAAAGGCTTACCTCCATAACTATGGTTTACCATGCAAAGGCAGATCGTGAGAAGACTGACCAAACTTTTCTCCGGAGCTGACTTCATGGTCCTGAATCTGTCCTGAAAACAAATTGACAATATTAATTTAGCTTCATTTTCATTTCATTTAAAAATTATTTACCCAGGGTACAAATTCAGTCTAAATACTGTCTTACAATTGGCCCTGCAAAAACTACCAACAAAATAAAAAAGTTGTATACTATAAAATTTACAATAAAAAGAGCGGAATATGGCTAAATCAAAGATGTATAAATTTACAACAATACACCTCAATATACAAAAAAGGTTCCTTGAGTTTGGACCTGAAAGGCATTGTTTGAGGGAGCCATTTTTGTGTCCAAATGGAGACTGTTCCAGAGACTGGCCCCACGATACGCAGAGGATTTCCGGCCATTGCCAGTTCTCAACATGGGTATTGCAAGGTATATTTTAGAGTTTCTTAACTCACTTGGATGTACCCCGGATAATCTCACGAATAGGTCACTGAGATATTTAGGTGCAAGAGAGTTAAGAGATTTGTAAACCATAGAACCTGTTTCTTTATTTATTAGCTTTTGTATACATGGCCAACCAAGTCTCTGGAGCAAAGGAGCTGCAGATGCATCAAAAGGGCTATTTGTTACTATTCTGACGGAGCAACAGTAGCTGAAATGTGGCTCTATGATGCTTCAATATAAATTTATCAAAGTGCCAATTTGAACAAAATTTCACGCATACTCCAATAGACCAATTGCTCTGGAGATCTTATTTTGTAGCGCGCTAATGTGACCTTCCCAGGTAAGGCAATTATCAATCACGACTCCGAGGTATTTTGCTTCGTTTATTAGGTCGATTTCCTCGCCCCCTACCCTAAATGAAGGAAGTGTGCTAAGATTTTTCTCTAGCTTTTCAATTTTTGGATTCGAGTCAATTATCATAGCTTGAGTTTTGACAACATTAAGGGAAAGCATATTGCCCTGTAGCCATTTTTCAATGTATGAAAGCTCCTCGCTGATTACTAGGTCCAGTTCATCACTTGTCTCAGAAGAATACGAAATTGCTGTGTCGTCGGTATACATTGTAGCCTTAGCCTTCTTAAGAGCAAATGACAAGCCATTTATGTATAGAAGAAAAAGAAGAGGCCCTAGGCACGATCCCTGTGGCACTCCGATATCAATATTTTCGATGCTAGAAGTTGTGCCATTGACTTGACAGTACTGCTTCCGGTTATCAATATAAGAACTGGACCATTTGTGTGCTTGTCCAGTAATTCCATAAAATTGCATTTTATTTAAGAGTATTGGATGATCAACCGTGTCGAATGCTTTCTTGAGATCTATGAAGATCATCGCAATATACCTCCTGTTGTCTTTGTCGATGTACCAATCACTAGTTCCTTTTAGCAGACATGTCAAAACCGAATGCAGAGAAATCCTGACTGGTGAGACACTAGATACTTGTGCTTACTTAGGTACTGGTCATATATAAGTTTTTCGAAGAGCCTTGATACGACCGGTAGAACAGAAATAGGCCTGTAACTGTCATCAGGCCTGCCTCCTTTGAAAATAGGGGCCACGCGGGCTATTATCCAACTATCTGGGAAGGACGATGAATATATGGAAAAGTTGAAAATATCACAGATGGAATTACAAATCACGGGAAATAACTTTAAGGAAGTTACTCGCAATGCCATCAGATCCAAACCCGAGTGATTTTTTCATTTTACCCAGAACTCTATTAATAGTAGTTTCATCTACAGGGTGAAATTTAAATTCAGTCGTTTGCTCAGTTGATTCATTCATTTTATACTCTCCAGACAAAAGTTGGTTGGGTTGCTGTGGTATCTTAATAACAAGATTTCTTCCCACACTACAGAAAATGTCGTTCATAGACCTAGCTATATCTGAATTCTCAGTAATGACCTCCCCATCAACAATAAGGGATTCTACATTGGTTGTTTTTTATCTTTTATTTAGCAAAAGATTGAACGTTTTCCAAGTTTCTGTAAGATATCCCTTTTCAAGGGCAATCTTTTTGGAAAATCATTCCCGTTTCAAAATTTTGTTGAGATTATTGACTCGGTTACGCACGTGTCGGTATGAGGCCATTTAAATTGAAGAGTTTTTCTTGATGGCCATGATCTTAAGCTTATCCTTTGTACGAGCAAGGGCTTTAAACTCCTTAGTCAACCATGGGGAGTACTTATCAGAAACTTTAAGCTCTGTTAGTGGGGCGTGTTTTTCAATAACTAATGAGAATAGATATGACCACTTGTTGACTGCCTCATTAATATCTTGACTTGAACTGACGATACTGTCCCAGTCGATCTGGCCTAGATCCGACAGGAAATTGTCACTGTTGAATTTTTTCATTTTTCTAGTGGCTATAGTTTTACGCTGACGTTTTGTGGAGCCCATAAATTTTCTAGTTACATAAACAAGATAGTGATCGCTTTAAGTAATAGACGCCAGATGCAACCACGTTTTCAGGCTTGTTCGTGGCTATGTGGTCAATAAGCGTTGATGAAGTTAGCACTTATCCAATTTACTCATATCCAATTAAATCCTTTGGTATCAAAAGAAGAAAAAACGACAGGGGCCTATAATTTTTTATGTGTAAACTTATGTAGTTGCCAGTAAAAATACTGCATCTGTAGCAAATTTTCGGTCAGAGGATAGTACTATATTCCTCTTTGCAGTTAACTGTAAACCACTTTGGAAACTGTATGTGAAAGTGTCTAAAAAGGCGAATTTCACATCAGTCATCACATCAATGCCTTCTTCCAATCAGATCGGTTCTCCCGGCAAAACTGCATCTGCTGATAATCAAACGTAACAAAGAACACTGATTTTCATGCACCTTTTGTCAAAATCATGCTCCAGTGACGTCGGAAGGTGGTTATTTGTACAATTTAGGGTGCAAGAGCAATGAAAATTAAGGGTGCAAGGATTTTTCAGTAGCTAGTCAGAGAATATTGGGGTCTTTTTCAAAATGTGTGAACCTAAGTTACAAATTTGCCGATGAAACACGTCCAAGTGGTGATGGTAGGCCTGGAACCACATCATCAGTTATCGTATATAGGGCACATAATGGTTAAAAAAGAGGAACTGAACCATATTAGTTCTTTTTTGCACAAAACGCCTAGTAAATAGTAATACTGCAAATTTTGCATCTTTACTAACCCAGAAATAATTCTTATCAGAATTTTTGTTAATATTTCAGATCGAAGGACAGTTGCATGACAAACGCCAGATGGCGGGGTGCCCCTAATTTAGAGGCCCTTCACATGAGAAACTTCAGGCCGGTTTGAAACTCACATCGGCCTGAGTTCAGTTCGTCCTAATCACGTGAACTCTCAAAGGGATTTGACCAAACACCGAATTGAACTCAGGCCGGCGTGAGTTTCAAACCGGCCTGAAATATCTCATGTGAAGGGCCTCTTAGCTGTTTACTCTCCGCTGCTGATAAGATCTAAGCCATACTCTAAGCAACGAAAGCAAAAAGGGTTTAGCGACAATATAACGATTCAGAGATTAGAATTAAATTTTAATTCAATCTTAAGGCAAATGTAGATATTTACCTTGCAAGTAAAGTTTACGTAGAATAGGAAAATTTCACGTCAACTGTTAAAACAGTTCTCCCGAGGTTTACATCAATTGCCGTGCTATCACTGACCCTGTCATCTTTTCGTTATATCAAGATTACCTTTTTCTCATCTTCCTCTATTTGTTTTTGTTCCTCCGCAAGAAGCCGTTGTCTTTCCTCCGCATGTTCCATATCTTCGTGAGAGTCGGGAAACAAATGCTAAGGAAAAGAGGGCAGCGGGTGGTTATTCAATGGAAAAAATATAGAGCTAGTTAAATTAGTTAGTCAACGTGTATGGAATCTGCAAAAATTACTTATGCTTACAAGGGATATATCTTTAATCCGTATCAAAATACCGAAACTATAGATCTAGAAAAAGATGTTTTGATGAATAAAACAGGACAGTTTTAAGTTACAACTCCGAGTTTAAGGCTTAATACGATGTTAGAGTTATTTTACCAAGGGTTAGCACCAAGGACATAGACTAAATAATCGCATTGAGCATTTACAAAGAAGTTACAGCTTATAGTTATTCTGCTGTGAACATAAACACATGTACAGCGATAACAGTAATTTAGATTATATGAGAAAAGAAAAAAGTGCAAGTGGTACAATAATAGATAGTTATAACGAAAGCTTTCTTATGACTATGACGAAATAATGCTCGTTCTTTTTCTTTGAAAAGCACAATTACTTTTCCAGTGCTAATCAGATTTTACTTCATTGGTAAGGTTATATAATGGAAAGATTGTTATTTGCTCGCCTATATGTTCAACAAATGATGGAGAATCAACAGATGTGTGAGAACAGATTGCCGTATCTACAAAGAGGAGATCTGTCATAAAATAACTTATCTTTATATTACCATGATTCCGCTTAATCTCTTAAAGGAACACGTAAATCAATAACATCTGTTAAAATTGACAGACAAGAATCTATTTTCTAAATCATCATTTTTTTGAGACAAATGTCATTCAAATTACAGTACCATTAAAATTTTATTTAACAAATCTTCTGGTAAGGGAGACTCTCTCAATTTCATTTGTTCCCGCTTCGCAACTCTTGTCGAAGAAGATAATTTGGTTTGTGATAAACGTTTTTTAGGTTCTGCAAGTTTGTCGAGTGCTTGAGTGATATCCCCATAACTATCTGCAATGACATAATTAAACATAATTAAATACAATAACATAATTAAACATACGATCAATTTCACATCTAACAGAAACAATCAGCCACCTTGTGTTTGTGATAGTGATGGTGTCTAAACAAAATTGCTTAAAGGCACTTACGCAATCGGCATGCCTTGCTGTAGCGGCATTTTTATGTGAGGAGAAATGGACAGTATTCTGTATTTTCATGCAGTTTGATATTAGGCCCGTTTTGAAAACAAGGTCGCAAAGCATGCTGGTTGACCAAGAGCCTTTCATTGAAACTGCATCAAAACATATGACAGTACTTTAGAGTCAATGAGCAAGCAAGGCAACCTTTTGATCTGAATATACATTTGAATCAGTTTGTGTTTAAGCAAAATATTCATACTTTTCATAAAAAAGACCCCGTTTCTTCACATCGGTTTCTTCATCACCTCGTTTCTTCAAACTACGAGAATGGGCTAGTGATCTACGGTTAGTCTACACATTGAGCTACTCCTCCTCTCATCAAATGTGCTATTAACACTCTAGATCTGCTCTGGAACCTGTAAAATTCGACGTTTGGGGGGAGAGTTTTCCACAGGAAACCGGCTGGTGACATATCATTTACCATCGACAAACAAATGTAAAAACGAGTTGTGGTCCGGCCGACCAGACAATTTGTTAGACTGAAAGTTGTAGGGTAAAACACTAAACCTTCTGGCCGTCAAAAAACGATAACTTTATAATCGTTGTCTTTCGTACAGCCAAAGATACTGATCAAATTCAAGATCTATATAATGTGAACATCTCATAATTTTACTTATGTTTTACGCATATCATAATGAAAGATATGCGTACAACAAACTTACAAGGCTGCAAAAAGCGGAAATATTTAACAAAATATCGAAAGAATCACAATTTTTCCGCTGCTGACAAACAGTTGACAAAAACTCACCTAATTCTAATTCATCTTTAGACAGACTTCGAATGATCTGTTGTGTTGACTCAGAACTCTTGCAAATTTTAAGGAAAGATTGAAGATGATCGTGCAGGAGTGACGTGCAGTTCTCTGCCGACCGTGCCCTGATGGACCATCTTGGTGCTTCTACAGGATTGAGGTCCCTGAAATCAAACCACGAAAATGGTAATAAAGATACAGCTTACATACAGGGAAACCCAAATATAAGAACGAAAGATAAGGCACTTTGTGTTAACAGTTTTATGGCAGTACAGAACTTGAAAATGGCTTTGAAAAAAGCAAAAATTTTATAATATATTGGCTAAAAGTTTTTCGTCTGACACTCTTTGGAGCATAAAACGTCAGAATAGGGGTCCGAAAGAACACGATGGAAAATATATATCCAGTTGTGGATCTGAATGGGCCAATCAGAAAAACACAAGCACAAGGCCGGTATGGTTGTCCAATCAGTGCCGCCTACCTAAAGAAAAATCACCACTGGAGTCCAAGAGAGCAAACAAACTTATTCACAATGGCGGATTTTTGCGACCGGGCGTCTTTCCATCTAGCAGTTTTGGAATCGATCTACATAAAAACGAAAAAGCTGCCAAGACGAAAAATCTTTTAGGCAATATGTTGCAACATTTTTGCTTTTTTCAAGGCACTCTGCATTCTTAAATTTTCAACAAAATATCAAAATCTTAATAATAGAAATTTTGAATTCAAGTATTGTGATTCATCTAATCAGTAAACATATTATTAACTTCTAAATAATGATTCTGCTCAAGCTCCAGCCTTCTCAATTGGAATAAAAAATATATAACACACACAAATCAAAAGCTGCAACTTCCTTCGAAATAAACAAGGAGTTTTTAGGCAATAAGGTAAGGTTTTGAGGTAATTATGGCTTGATACTCCAAAATAAAATTTAGGAAGCAAACATTTTCCAACAGCATGAAACCTTAATTACCAAAAGCAACTCACTGAAGGAAAATCTTTCAAAATGAAACAGAAAAAGTTAACTTCTTATGTGTGGAATTTAAGTATATTTCACTTTCTTTTACTGAAAAATTTCAACCATATTCTATAGTGAATTATCTTGGGTAGTTTTCTTTTACTAACTTACTTAAAGAACAAAATTAAACATAACAGAACGAAATATAAAATAGAATGTGTTGTTAAAATAAACTAAGTAACAATTTTTTTGCGGTACAGAATTTGAAAATGGCTTTGAAAAAAGCAAACATTTTACAACATACTAAAAGCTTTTTCGTCTGACACTCCTCAGAGCATAAAACGTCAGAATAGGTTCCGAAAAAACACGTTTGAAAAATATATACCCAGTTGTGGATCGAAATAGGCCAATCAGAAAAACGCAAGCACAAGACCGGTATAGTTGACCAATCAGTGCCGCGAGCCTAAAGAAAAATTACCAATGGAGTCCAAGAGAGAAAACGAACTCATTTTGTCTACACAATGGCGGCTTTTTGTCTACATGTTTTTGTGTTATGTGGCAAAGAAAGGAAAAACATAGATTCGAGCTGGAGCTGATACACAATCGTAATGATAAGTATATATATAATATAAAGATAGATAACAGTATTGAGTAAACTTACGAAAAATCAGAATCATCAACAAAAGTCTCTTCTGTCAGCCATGGCCAAGAGGTCGCTAGATGCAACTCACTGAAAGTGGAGAAAACAATCGAAGTTGACTAAATGCAACTGCAAATGTTAAGCGGGGTTGTAAAGGATCGAAAGAAAGTTCTATTCTCTACACAAGAGTAGCTGTGCCTGATTTCTGACGATAACTAATACTCAAATGCCGGACAATAATGAAGAGAAACGCACGTGAAATATTTAAAAAATAAAATTTGACGATACTCTTACTAACTGATACCAGCACGAGCCAAAAGCCTAACTAATTCCGAAAATGATGGACGCAAGTGTCAAGATCTGGCAGTTCATATCTAACCTCTGCTATCAAAGTAAAAACGCCACAACTCTGGATGTAGGATGTCTTCATGCTAAGCAGTATATGTGGGTAGTTTTAGTCATCTTAAAAGTTGTACATTTATTAAACAGTTATTTTAACAACCGACAGTACACAATCTGTTAACAATCGTCTGCTATATTTTTATAGCTCCAAAGCAAAATAATAGCAAAGTGAAGCACCAAAAATTAAGCTCATTAAACAGCTTTTTTTAATCGCAACGTGCATTTGGCTCTTTAATTTATAACTGCAGTTGTCAAGGAATGATTTTTTAATGCTAAGTTTATTTGTTTCTGTGAGATTGACAGGAAGAGTTAGGCAAATACAATTTTCAGTGTACATCTGTAACTGTTAATTGAACTTTAAGTGTTCCTTTGTACATTTGAACTACACAAAACTACATTTGTGCAAATCACACCGTTTGGTAATATTCATTGTCCCATTCAAAGATGGCTGAGACTATCATAGCATGGCTCGCGATATGCATGAGCTCTGGAGTCTTTCCCTTAAATAATTTCAAACAACTCATACATTTAGACTGCTTGTATTTCTGGATACTTCATTGATCTAAATGCATAATATGTTAGAAATATCTAAGGATACTGAAGAATCGCAGACAGCCAAAATACGGTACCTAATAGGGTCCTGCAAAGGTCCGAAAGGCAGCCTTGACAGAATCAAGTAACCGACCTCAGCTCCAAACCCAGATTCAAAATCAGGAGGATCTTGGACCCATTCTTCTTCGTTCCAGCCCAGTATATAAGTAAACCGCACTGAAATAGTCACTGGTGTTAACAAACTAGAAGGAACCGCCTGTGGAAAGACAAAACAACTTTCAAATTGTATAGGCCGTATTTTACCTTAGATATTTAGCAAATAACGAATGATGATACATACGAAACAAAATAATGAAGATTACTATTTTAACAGGTTCGCACACAGTAGTGGACAACATATAGGTAAAACTAAAAATACTGTCGTACAGAACAGGCTCGATATGTTTTGCTTTTAGTCGGCCAAATATGATGCAAATTTAGTTGTATCTTAAGGATGCATTGTATGAAAAAGTTGAATTGGATAGAAAGAATAGAACAGGGCTTTTCTGTGTTGAAGCTCCGTGTTTCCAACGCTATCATCAGGCGACTTTAATCAACCGCTTATAAACTATACTTATAGGGTGACCAGAATGCGAAAGAAGATTTTACTGCAGAATATGCAGAACAATTTTGGGTGGTGGGTTTGAGAATTTGCCTCCTATGCAAACGATCGCGGAGTCCCGGTCATTTTCGGACAATTTGAGCTTCCTCCCAAGGCCTATTGTTTCACTAATGGATATGGCAGTCTTGGAGGATGACCCAAATTTTACATACACCAAAAGCCAAACGCCATAATATCATAAAATTTTATTTGCTGCAAAATTACATTAAAAGGTAGCAAGAAATTGCTGAAAACAACTTACCAGCTTTGATTTGAAAACATCTAAGAGTCCGGTCAAATTCTGACACTGTTGAGGAGTTTTTTTCATATGAGCCATTTCATAACTGACTCTAAATCCGTTACCCATACAAATGCCAAAATAGAGACGACGCCATCTTTGTTGAACTTGCACGAATACAGGAGTATCACTGGAACGAGAGACAGCATGCAAATAATTATAAAAAATCCAGAATTATTTGTATAAATTGTCACTAAACTCATTTGTTATTCACTGGATTCATTTGTTATCAATATTGCTAATGGCTAAATCGAATTCTGCAAGAAACCAGCACACAGTAGGCCAAAATTCTGCAAAACTTGAAGTTATGTTATAAAGAAACACAAAAAGAATCAATTTCTTATCAAGGATTGTACTACGACACATGATTACAGGTTTCATATTATACAATAAAAATCTGGAAATATGGCATTATATTTTTCTCATGATGACACACACAAGCCATTTTATAGTGAAAGATATCCCGAGGCTAAAACGAGCTCAAATTTCATTATGTTATCTTAACAACTACGCAATAATTGATGGTTTCGGCCAGGAGTTTAATTTATGAATTTATTGGATTTTCCTAACAAACAACAAACTGGGTTTATTGGATATGAAATTGACGTTAATGAAATAAAATATAATTACTGGTTGTTTTTAAATAAGTTTTAAAATATGAACATAACTATCCGTCCAGGCAATATAGTCTACTTTGCTTCATAATCACAATATAAATCTTGTAGAAACCTATCCATAAATCAACCATTTAATATTTTGATTTTTAGCGAAAGAAAAAATGAAGTAGAGAGAATATTATTGATCATACCAATTCGTATTTGAGAGAGCGACAGCGACAGAGCTGAGAAGGAGCTTCGACCTCGATTCAGTGTTGATTTCTTCGTGTGGATTGCTAGGAGACAGCACCAAAAAGGCCTTGACGCCATTCCTATAAAAAAGTGTGTCAATAAACAGCAATGGTTTGTCATACATACTAACTAAGGATTAATGGGAAATAAGATAAACAAAAAGCAAGGCATAATCGCGTTAAGCATAATCATAGAGATATATTGCTACTTTCGAAATAAAGCTTTCAAGTAGGACCATATTTTATACAGAAAGCAAGCTACTTTCCCGTAATATGATGAAAGAGGCATCGTTCTGATTCGTTTCTTAAAATCATGGAAAGACATCTCATTGGTTCCAGAGACAAAGAGTTTTGAACAAGACAATAGTCTTGTTAAAGAAGTGGGTACAAGAAAATCTGCGCCATTGCGCAGACCTTACAATTTCCTCTATTTGTAAAGTCTGCACGCAGGCTAAGGCGACAATGACTTCTTGATTTAGTGATAATAATCTTTTGAGAAAATCTTCAAAAATGAACCAAGAGCAATAAAATTTTGCAAAAATTATGCGCATTTCAATTTTATCATTTTTGCTTAAAAAAACCATTGCACTACACATCTTCATGCAAGTCAACCGCTGTCAAAACAACAAAGAACTGCCTGGTTTTAGGGAGTCAGCCAACATACCACTAAAACATGGTAGGTTTTTACAAATTAGTTCGTGGGACACTGATACATTCGGGAAACAAAAAAAGAAAATTTGTTTAATTTCAATCTGGAACATATTTCCATGGAGCAGGTATCGATCTATAAAAAGTAAGCATGATATTTTGCAACTCTTCCATCTCTGCATGCTAGCTTTATCCATCTCTGCGATAAGACATTACATATTTCTAGCTGCTTTTTGTAAGTCAATTATTTCGTTTCGGTGGCTAAAATCTTGACAAAAAACTTTATAAACTGTTTAAATAGGCTGAAAAAGCTTCAAGAAAAATTTTTAGCAAATTTTTAAAAAATTTTTTTATGAGAACTGACTTTAAAAATTGTAAACAAACTTTTCCTACATCGTATTCGCAATTAAATTCGAAACTGATCATGTACTCTTGTGAATCGTGATGGAAGTGTAGCTTATATTGAAATTATAATAACTATGAAAATTATGATAAATTATGATAATTATATAACTCATATATATTTTAAAGATGCGTATTGAACATATTTTGGTGATAAGAGCAGCTGATCACACTAAGTATTAGACTGTCTAATTTGAAACTGGTTTAACTCTACACAAAAGGGAATCAACTATGGTCAGTTGCAGCTTGGAAGCCAACAACACCTTGTCAAAGTTAAAATAATGGCATATCTATTTCAGAACAAATGACTGAGTCAATTTCTGTGTCTTTCTATTTCATGAAAATTTAATTATGGATTAGAGTTGTTACTTTTGCTTCTTGATCCACTTAAAAATAAATACCGCAGGCAGAAGGCAAGGTCAACTGTGAGAAAAGGCATTTTCATGTTTTAAATAACGTTTTTGAGTTATAAATTGAAAATTTTTGCTGTGACATAAAAATAAGCACCTAAGAAAGTAATATGTTAGAGTCAAGAGACTGAGTAACACCTCGTTTAACATATAAATTATTTAGAGAAAACACTTTGGTAGCACAGTGTATTAAACAATATGTGACATGATTTTGACTCATTTTGCTTCTACAAACATATTTTCGTAATGTAATTTCAGTATCAGCTGCTGCTATAAACAGATTAAAATTACTTTCTAACCATAGCTAGCAGATGCAAATATAATGACAAATTATAGTTTGAGAAACTTACCATCTTGCCAGGCAGTGTGCTCGTGGAGGAAAATCAAATTCAAAATCAAACATGTCCATCATAGAAGTAGGTGGATGGTCGTGTGAATCTACAAAGAAGACAGATAATATATCCTCCTTAAAAACTTAAAAACAAAATCAAAAAATTGCTGGAAAGGGGCTTTGATATCTATTGAAAATTTGATATCTAGACAAACAGGAAATATCTGGGATGCAATTGTTAATGTTTGTGTCCTTAATCAAAAAATTGCTTTAAAAAATTATTTCTGTATTAATAGATAAAAAATTGATACTTGTATAGCATACTTTCTCTAGTAACCAGCATTTTATCAAAGCAAAACGCAGAAACTTTGAGTCTCATCTCATGTACAACATCAACACATGTTTTCTCTGGTTACCAGCATTTTAAAATATTATAAACAGAAACCTTGTGACTAATTTCATATACAGCATCAAAAGATTAGATTCATCTCATAAATCTTCTCTCCTATGTATGGTCAGTGGGGGGAAAAAATGCGCATGGCGATTTTGGGAGTAAAAAATGCGCACCCATTTCTACAGCGCTGTGGAGGAGTAACCAACAGTTTGAGATAAGGCATGATAAACCAAACCTTTGATGATAGTTTCAATGAAAACCAAATCCAAAAATAGTGCACTTTTGTTTTTCATTACGTATTTGAAAAGCGGAAGCTCCAATTTATGATGATATCAAGTTTTCCATGACAACGGTAAACTTTTCGATTTCTCAGCTCATTGACTGCATTCCAAAGGTATTATCACAGCATTACACTACTTCAGTGTTGAGGTCATTGCCCATAAACAGATGTTGTTGCTCCTCCCAAGTGGCATGTCTATAGGGGCCTGCGCATTTTTTAACCTCAAATTTTCTGTAGTGAGGGGAAAAAATGCGCACCATAAACTTATATTTTCGTCGGAAAAAGGCTCTGTCTCTGTTCTTAAAACATGTGACATATGCAAGAATGAAACCATATTTCACAACCATATGGATTTGGGAAAATTATTTTCTAGAAACCAAGAAGTTTACATAAAAGGTCAAGTTATAACTTTCTAAAAAGACTTTGGATCCTTTTCATAAGAGCATTTGCCTTTCTAATAATTTTTTTAAAAACGTATCAAAAGACGCTTTGCATGGAATATACAAAGAAGTTATCTTGTGCAGAGGGGCAGAGGGGAATACCTTATCTCGGGGGGATGTCAAAGTTTTGATTCCGTCAGCTGATCTAACTGTCGTCAGATGACTATGATGTAATATTTAAATTTTACCTTGCTGAAACAGCAATAAGTGAATTACAATAGATGCTATTTATGGGCCATTTTATGTGTTGCGTGTCTCTTGATGGCTATAAAAGCTTTTCCACTGAAGACAAGATCAGTTTATTTTAGAAGACTACAAATTAAGTCGCATTGCATAGATTGAAAGCAAAATGCTGAGGACGTATGTAAAAAAAGCAAAATCTTGGCAAGAGAGCCATATGGAGAACGCTTTGTTAGAAGTTTCAAGGGGCGTTTTAAGCATCAGGAAAGCTGCAAAGACAATCTTGATTTAAAAAAATTATTTACAGAAAATATCAACAAATTTATTGAATCAAATCAACATTCTTCCGTAATTGAGAGGTGCGCAGTTTTTTACCACATGTGCGCATTTTTTCTCCTTTTTGTGGTTAAAAAATGCGCACCAGTTTTTCATTCTTAAAAAATAATCTCTTAAAGAAAGGGTAGCAATTTTTTGTTGCTAAAGGAACTCATCAGGGCTACTTTGTAACTATACATAATTTTTTCCAATATGTGTGAACAATCAGGGGGAAACCGAAAATTTCTCAAAAATGCGCATTTTTTCCCCCCACTGACCATACTTTGTTTTGTTTTGTTCCTCATTTTTGTTTTGTTTTGTCAATGTAATTTTATTTGCTATGAGTAATCTGTAACATGAAATTTGTAAATTAAATGTAATTCTAATTTTAAGTAAATATGTGTCATGTAACAGTCACAGGGTTGTTATGTATTTCCATGCTCCCTGTGGCATCATCTTGTAGTGTGTTTGCTTTGTAAAATTTTATGAAAATGTGAAAAAAGATTAAATATTTCAAAATAACAAAACCAAACTTTTACCTTCATTTGCTTCTTTAACTTTTTTGCTGGAGTTATTTGCTTCCTTGTTTTTGCCTTCTTGTGATACTAATGAGTGGTAAGTAATAGTAAAATTGAAATTTGCAAATGGTAAATGATTTGTACATATGTTCCAATCCCCTTCATGACTCTGCAATGAAGCAAAAAGCAAAATTAACAATAACAGCAAAATCTAGAAATCTCACAGATTTCCTTAAAAGCTAAAAGCCCATTCCAGAAAGTGACAAGCAATTCAAATCAGATTTTGCATTGGGTGCAGAAACTGGTCATTACTACCAAAAAAATTTGCATTTTCAACAGATCATAACTGATAAAAAATTCAAATCATGTAAATTTTTTTGAGGGTCTGATTCAGTAATTTCCTAAAATTTTAGAGATGGAATAGCAAATCTCTGCATAATTGATTGTTTACATCAAACAGTATATTCTGGTTTAAATGAAGTATATAATTGATATAAACAGCACTCAAATCCAAAAAGATGCAAAATACAAAACACATTTTTGGAGTGAGTTTTATTGGCTTAAGACTAGCTGAAATGCTTAAGAAATATGCAAATATAAAACCTGAAAAGCTGACACAATGATCTCTAAATACTGCCATTATCTATTCCAACATAAAAAAACATTACAGTGTTTGGTAGGTCAGCACAAAAACCTTATAGCCTAATCTAACCTCTTCATTCAAATCAATGGAGTGGACCATCTGGGATGCATACAGTATATTTGAACTAGGCATGCCTTCAGTTGAGCACCCAGGCAAAGTTTTATATCACACCTTTTTTAGTACCTTGGAGATTTTTAGAGAATAAAATAGTCAGTTTTGTTTATTTGATACATCTCTTTCTAAAAAAAAAAAATTTCATTACCACTTGACTTCCTTCCTGCGTTCCCTTTTTACTTGAAGATACAAGTCCCAGACCTTGCTCTTTCTCATGTGTGCCAGTTGAATGCCTTGATTTTTTCTAGAAAAAAAACCTTTTAAAATTTTCACAAAAACATTGCTAGTCAGTGCACTGGTCTTAATTGTTTCTGGACATATGAAATTTGCATTATCAATTCAATCAAACTAGCAAAGCTTAGAAAATTCTTTAACATGTCTGGCTGTTAAGAAATGGTGGAAAATTAAATTTTTGCAGTTTAATAATGACTTCAATGGTAGGAAAGATTGACACAATCACTACTATCTAAAATAATCTACATTTAAACATCATATCATCAACACATAAGATTTACCTTGCTAACTGTATCTTCTTTGTGACTTTTGTCAAGATCCCATGAGCAAATGATATCTTCTAATTTTGCAATGAACCTATCAAAAAGATAAGTTTTATGTCACATGTGCTAAGGTTGTATCTTGAATCAATTCTTCAAACAAGAGGGTACTCCTTAACTTTCCATAAGTTGGTCCATGCGATTATTTCTTTTGTGAGTCCTTTGGTATTCAAAGGAACACTCTTTGGTTTATTTTATCCTTAGGAAAATGATTTCCAATCACATAGGCCAAAAACATCATGACAACCTTAATTGCAGGTACAATATTTGGCTTCATTAGGTAAATATTGTTCTTAAAATTTTCATTCCATACAAGACAAGAAGATAAAGTTACAAATCAGTCACTTGTAAACATGCAACTGATAACAATAAAGTCTAAGATTGAAAACAAAAAATTGCATCAAAAACCTTTCCCAGTCTGAAGCTGTAGTAAAATCTGTTATCTCAAAGACTTCTGGCTCCTAAAAATAGCAATGAAACCTTAAACAAAAGAGTACTTTGGTGGGATGTTGGTTTACTAATCTTTTACACCACAGAAAATCAATATGGTATGTCTAGTATCAAGAACATTTATGAAACAATTCTAGTCTAATGAAATCTAAGAAACTGCTTTCAAATATTGAAAAACAGCATATCCATGAGCGTCATTGGGGAGATGCCATTATCAATCAATCTAGACTCTAGCCAGATGTGGCAAGCACAGTCCTATCTAAAAAACCAGTTTTATCTGCAATAGTGCCTGATTGATATGTCGATAGATATTAACTTTGCGCAACAGATCTATTGGCAAGCCATCTTCTTCAGGATAAACTTGGGCTAAAACCTGTGTGGCATTAGAAAACTCCAACTCGAAGAACGCTGGGTCTCTAGTCATTCGTAATTAAATGAATACGTGATCGCTTTAACAATTAAAATATATTTATTGTCTATAATGGTGTGGCATTGCTAATGCTAAGTCAACTAATGGTCTAGGAATAAAGTTGACGCGGATTTCTTCGCCGAAATGAAAGTGTAAAGCAGCTCTGCTGTAGGTGACCCCAAAAACTTCCTATTTCATCACAGATTGGTTGAGTTTGAGTGACAAAAAAAATGTCTTCATGCTTTTAAACTGCTAATTTCTTTCATGATGGTGAATGCTTATCATTATTATCAGAAAATACGAAGTATAATTGCACACTTAGTTATCTCAAATGGAAACTCACACTATCACTGTCGTCCGCCATGTTCGTTTACGTTTTGTAGTGCACCTTCGCAGCGACAGGTTTGGTTTTCAACGCTGCCCAGATATCATATCTATGATGGAACAAACAACGCAGGGAACCTTTAACAATCGCTTCAGCAAATATGATAATTAATCAGGTGTTTACTGGTAGGGAAGTGATGTTTTGCATAATTGATGTATAAACCTTTCACAAAAGCTTCTTCTACCTGAAGTCTTCTTGTGGTAAAATAGCCCATTATGCGGGCCTCAAGCATTTAAGTCCCTTCTCGCCTCCACAACACTTTTAAAAAGTACAGCGCACTATTTGGAAGCTTCTATTAAGATTTAACGATAAGTTGAGCACAAAATAAAGCCCTGCCAGTAGCGGCGCCACGGGCGGGGAGACTGGGGGGACACGTCCCCCTAGTTCTTGGCAGAATCAGTTTTGCATTTCGTCTAAATCCGATGATAAAATGTTGGGGGAGGGGTCATATTTTGGCAAGGTACTTTTTGTGATGTAATCCTTTGATTTTTAAACTGCCTTTACATAGTCAAAAGTGAGTAATGGGCGTTTCCTTCAGGTAAAAATTGCGTTCTTTGTTAGTAAAAGGGCGTTTTCTGGTGCTAAAAGGGGCGTGGTCCAAATTCTTTTGTTTTGTCCCCCCCCCCCAGAGCGCAGTGGCTAGCGCCGCCATTGGCCCTGGCCAGTTGCCCTGCTCTGAATTAGTCTCGAGCAACTGTGCCAGCTTCAGAGCGGTGCTATGAGAAGAGGGCACTTCTCAAAGAATTGTCTTGGGGTAACTCCTTTTATACAGGATCTCCTTATTCCCAATCCCCTCCACTTTTCTGACTTTTCTGAAAACTTAGAAACTATGCAATGATAGGGTTGTTTTGTCTATCTCCTTGTGTAAAAAGCCTAGCCATTAGAAATTTTTCAGACAAGATATTAACTGGCCTCCATTCAAGAAACAGTTTAGTCGATCTAGCATGTTAAAAGATGCTCAGAATGAAATGATTGTTAAAAATTACTCTAAAAACAATATCCATCTGTAGTAAAAAATTTGGTTTAGATAATAATAATAGCTAGGATGGTTAGTCAACGATGGTTTGAAAAGAGAGATTTGCGGACACATCCATGTATCCCATGTACGGCCGTGTTTATTTAAACAGGCTTATCGCAGCTTCAAGTGACTTGACCCGGATTACACTGTGGTTTACGAGTGTAACTTGCAAATGCGATTAGTAAAATCTAGTTTTCTCCGGACTCACAATTCCTCTACATACAGGCACGAAAAAGCTATGTTGACCCAAGGAACCAATCGAATGGCTCGAAAATTTTCACACGGCCAGGACAGATGTCGGGTAAGCAAAGTGTGGTTCAAAATTTTGTATTTGCTCTGGTCCGTCTTTTATAGCCAAAAACAACTGCGGGAGTGTAGAAAAATTGATTACCCATTTTTGACAGCGTCTAATTTCAAGGGGAGGAGGAATTTTAAAAATCTGAGACACACATTGGTAGCTTAGGATCTCTTCTTTCTGTTGATATAAGTCAGATTTTGTTATCTTGAATGCAAGAGTACAAAATAGCTTTTGAAGGTGGTACACTCATTTAAGCAAAAAATTTGCCTGGAAAGTATCATTTTACAATATTTTCAAATTATTTTGATATGGTTGGAATTGCCACATTCTTGTGCATCGAATGATGTATAGTTTAATCTGATTCCTTTAATAGTTTAGCTTTTAAAGAGAGAAAACCAAATATTGTGTCAGAAACGTTTACCATAACCATTACCATAACATTGTGATTTGTGCTAATTTATTTATTATGATTATGAAATAGCGAAGTTAACTCAAAGAAACATACAGTTGCTTATTTGAAGCTTGTCATTTCGAGTATATGTTTGCAGTTTATTTAAAGAATGCCCAAACAAAAATATTACCAAATATAGTCAAATATGAACAATAACAAAATTTGGCTTTTCGCATTTAGTCTTAGTCAAAGCATGCAAGGTGCCCAATCCATCAAGCTCCTAAAACTTTCTAGGCCCATGCAGATGAGCTTGATCGAGCTAGAGCACCTCTCCTTGCAAGGCCTGATGAAGATATTAAAATCTAGCTGTATAAAAAAGCAACAAATAAAAGAGATACAGAAGCTTGTCCGCTGTTAATTATAAACACAGAGCAATGATAAATTGCATTCTAAATACTAAAACATTGCATTATATACATTTTTGGTCTTTGCAACATGCGATGGTTCAGTCCAAAGCGCTTTGCAAAAATTCTTTCAGGCTTGCAGGTAATGGAATTTTGTCAATTTCTTCTTTAGACAGGTATAGTCGAAGTTTTTTCTGGCAAAGCTTTTCAAGCGAGGGTGCTGCAAGAGAATCAGGGAAAGGTTTTCAGATCCACAATGGTTTTCAGTTGGTTTTAATATCTTACGAAAATAAGAATGATAATAAAGATTTTAGAAAAGTTATAGCGACATGTAAAATACTTGATGCATTAAAAAATATTGAAAAACCAGCAAAAAATGTTTGCAAATAATAGAATTAATTTGATTATTATTCTCTGAAAAATTTGATGAGACATTCTATGATGTTTTTTCATATTTGTGTTACAAAATGTTAAGTCCACAAAAATGATAATAAATAATAAATATATGATAGATGATAAATGGGATGATAAAATATGAAAATAAATGATAATTGTGATATAAAAATGGCAATTTTTAAAGATAAATGATCTCCAATAACCCTGCATGCTGGCTTGTTTAAAGAAAGAAATCAATGGATTGCAAATGTGCTTAGAGTTTTGCATGATTTGCAGACATTAAGTGTAGTTTCTTGTCATCAACGTTCTTCACAATTTACATGAAAAGTTTCTGTGCCAAAACAGAAAAGAAGATGTTTAAAATTAAGAGCCGCTTTTAAAAAGCATGTTGAAAAATTTATCCCACTTCTCTAAAGATCCTGTCCGTCTGATAATCCCACAATACATTAGGGAATTTAATCAATAAACCCACAGCAGGAATACAAGAGAGAATACCGTATGATAATAAATGATAATCATGATGTGGATGATAACAATGGTGAAAAATACTAACCATGACAATAAATGACAATTATGATGATAAATAACAAATCTTATACCTCCAAAGTAATCCCAAGACACTTGCTTTGTTTGCCCATAAAGATCAAATACAGCAAAAAGTTCCTTTTGTATTGGCATATCTCTCATGGCAATTCCTCTATCAAAACCATTTTCATAAAAATGTAAATCACCATTTGATTTCACTTGAACAGCAACTCTGTCATAAACACGTAATGAGTACATGTTAAGTTTATTATATTCAAATTCTTTTTTTCCATTGTGCACACTCTGCCCAGATAAAACCCAGTAATTCTCATCATCACTTGTAAACAAATCTGTGACTGCTCTTGCGATCTTTGTTTCATTGAGGTTTGGATTTTCTGTTGTTACACCAATTCTCTGGAAAAAAGATCTTAAGTACAAGTTAAAAGTTTTAATGCAAATTTTAACCATTAACTAAATTTCCATTGCATAAACGATTAAATTTTTTCATTGATTTAATACCCTGGGGCTATTATTAACTTCAGCAAATTTTAGAGGGCACCTATTCAATTGGGGCACCTATTCGAGGGAGGGGGTTATTTGCAAACTTTGAAGAAATTTAGCACAAGGAAATGATTGCCAAAAAAGAGGTGCGCCAACATAAGGAAAAGTTTTTGTGATGAATGTGCAGGGGGGAGGTGGCTAATGCTTGGTAACTTCGGAACATTTGCTTTTTCAGGGGCACCTATTCGAGGGAAGGGCTTATTCGAGCGGGTGCGTTTAATCGAGGAAATATGATATGTTAATGACCCAAACCCTCCCATCATCTTATAACAACGAATAGAAAATGTATCATCCATTACTCGTCAACAGAAAATACCGAAATAAAATCCATAGATCTTAAGAAAAACTTACCAGTGATCCAGCCCACTTAAGCTCCATTTCTTCAATTTTTAGTTGAAAGAGTTCGCCTGTATGAAGAGGCCTTTCGCTAAACACCAGCCCGTGATCATAAGTGTCTCCTTCCCTCCTAGCGCGTTGGTTATGGTCGGATAGCTTGATATATCGTCCACAGCGACGGTGAAAGTGCATTTGCCATCTCTGACCCACCATAGTCAGGGCATTATTAAAATTTTTCAGCCCAAACTAAATGCCTTTACAAATTTCCATTAATGCTACAGCCATTATGGCACTACGTTGTTGTTGTCTCAATGCGCCTGCGGGGCATCACATAGTTTGTTATGTGTTTTGGGGTTAACCTCGCGTCGCGCTGCTGCACACCCTGCGCCCGAAGATAGAGAACAATGCGAGAGAAACCTGGAAATCTTTATCTTGAAATCAGCCACAAATTAATTAAAATTAGTTCTTGAAGAACAAGGGTGTAATATTGAGGTTAATATTCACACTTGGGTGCAGACCGTTGGTCAGGCGCACCAAGGAAAACGCCCGGCCTTAAAAAAGGAATCAAGTAATTTTTAGTTACTTTCCTTCCCACAAGATACGGAGCAGGTGATTGCCGGATGGCACGGTTCAAAATAAAGACAGGTCTTGTCGTCAAAATATGAGTTGAAAGTTTATTAAAATATCATAATGGATCAATTTGTCTCAAGCACTAATAGAAGATTAACCTCCTATAAAGGCGTATTTTGCCTCGGTGCTCGCAGGTTTCAACAGCTGCAACAGGGTGGCCTATCTAATCAAGCTTTGAGTGTTCTTTGCGATAAACTTGAAGGATGCATGGTCTTTCAGTCGTTAAAGCAGCAATATCTTGATTCTCAAGGCTCATTTAAGCAACCGCTCAGACTCAAAAGAGCGACCGTGCTTGCTTATAACTTTGGTTTTTTCAAGAGCTCAAATACGTCATAGCTACGTACACATTTGAATCATAAAACAAGCACAAGCTCCTGACGCTTATTCTTGCTTTTTCACTAGCAATTTAATAACATAAAATTAGTTTTTCACGGGTTAGGGTCTTCAACATCAAGGCTCCTTGGGTACAAAAATTGTTTGGATTGGGACCAAAAACCTGCAAGAGCATAGCGTTTTGCCACTAAATATACTTTATCGATTTTACAAATTTGCCGGTATATGGCAACATGGGTGCAGAATCTCGCTTCATCAAATCCTTGAAATTTTGTAAAGGCTATAATGACAATAATTCATTGAAAATTTCAGTTCTTTTACTTGCTTTATCTCAGTCAATTCGTAGAAAATATTACCGTTTTTGCATATTAAGAAGTATTTGATGGTGTTTTTTTAGGTTACGTGGTGAAAAGCAAAAAAATTGATTCGGATATAACGTCACATTTCAGTGTTATCAAATGATTCATTTATCCCCTATTTGCTAGTGTACATATAGTAGGCCCATGTCAAGAAGTGATTCCTACATCAACAGCAAGATAGAGACATTAAGTAGGCGCACTTGTCAATGCGAATTACAAAAAATGTTTAATTGATGGCAGAATTCAATTTACTAATAAAGTTGCCAAGTTTCTGAAAACATTGCAGCAAATCCCCACGAAGAATATCATGCTTTTTCAATATTCAGACTCCTCTTGGTTTTTGTTTTGGAAACAGATTTCTTACAGTAGGTTCTCAACCAAAATATATTTTTGGGTGATGAACTTAAGTCGGTGATGCCTGGGAATCGGGGTGTCTCCTGACAAATTTAAACGCCGAAATTAGGTTGCATAGTCCGAGAAAGAAGTTCTGAAACAAAAATTAATTTCTTAGTTATTTTTGGGTGATGAACTTAAGTCGGTGATGCCTGGGAATCGGGGTGTCTCCTGGCAAATTTAAACGCCTAAATTAGGTTGTATAGTCCGAGAAAGAAGTTTTGAAACAAAAATTAGTTTATTAGGTTCTCTTCTTCGGGGATTCACTGCAGCACGAATATGCCAACATTTCACAATTAAACTTTCCAGTATTGACAGGTCTCTAATCAAACTATTGGTTAAAAATCTATTATCGAAGCGACGGTTTTTAAGAATAGAATAACTATTACAAGATAAACTATAGCTATGTTCCTGTCATTACCAGAACTGCTGGCTTGGCGTTGTTGCCAATGAAGCAAGGAACTGCATCCAATGAAAAGGCATATAAAAGGACTCAATAGAGGCGTTAGCTACTGAATATCTGTAACAATGATATCATCTCCTGGAAAATCTTTAAATCCAAAATTGTAAATTATTAATATCATTATGAACATGACCTACCCATACCCAGGGGAATTTATATCAAATTCTAGAATTATTTGGACTATATTTGAACAACAGTACCCCATACCCTCCCTTGGCCCGCATATGAATAAGGTTGTGACTCATTACCAAACAAAGCGGTTCATAACAGCATGATAAAACTTCCCAATAACTAAATCGAAGGTTATTAATATTCAAAGCGAATATCTAAGTAACTTAAATCAAAACATTTCTTCCACAATAAGGCAATGAATTTTGACCAGACACTAGATAATATATTCACTTTAGCTACGTTTTCGGTGGTCCATATTTCTTTAGAATCACGTTCAACGTCAACAATCTCGTATGCAAAAAGCAACATTGTTTGTATGCAAAAAACACATTTAAAATTCTATTTAGTTAGAAATATAGGTAATAATGAGTACCTCATAATCAGGTACTATAATTTTCATTCACATCTTTAACTTTGCGAGTATCGTCATTATGCGTTCCATTATGGTATGAAATCTCCCGAGGTTTATTAGAATTGGCAGTAGAGTTCTGTTTCTTTGAATACGCGGGTTTCACCCCATGCTCTTCCTTGATACCATTGGAAGTCACTGAGTCGTGCTTCTTTCCACTGACGTCACTATTGTGATTAGAAACAGCGGACTTGCCCTTCATATTTGCATCAGATCTTTTGTCGTTAACTTCATTCTTTGATTCTGTTTTGCCAGGTAAACGGACACTTCTTGTTGAAGTTGAATTACCTTCGGAATACCCGTTTTCCACCCCATGAGCAGTCCTCTTCTTGTCAAAAGTTTTCTCATTTCGATAGTCTTTTTCGTCGTTCTTTGTGATGACGTCACCACGATTATCACTTCCTTTGTAATTCTTTTTTCGATAGTACTGTCCTCTATTATTTCTGGTTCTTTGCGGCAGCCTGTCATGAGTATAAGGCTTTTGAGCTTGGGTATCGACGGATGGATCTTTTTTGTCTTGGCGCTTTTCCCCTTGTGAATTTTCCTCTGTAGTTTTAGCTCCGGCGGTTTTTGTGCCTTGAGAGGGTGTCACAGCGGGTACTAAACTGCTAGAGTTAGCGGTATTTGACTTGGTTTCCCCGTTAAGATTACCAATGTTCGTTTGCGACTTTTCTTCACCCGATAAACCAACACCTGCTTCCTTCTGGTAAACCTTGCTTTCATCGGAGGGGGGACCCTTACCCTTGTTAATAGCATCGCCGTGGCTTCTGTTTCTACCAGGCTCTGAATCAGTCCTTTCATAGCCATTTGTATACGAGGCCTTGTTCTTTTGATGATTATTTCTGTATCTATTGTAGTGCCCCCTTCGACGCTCACCCTGATCAAAACTTCTGGCGTTGCTGCCACGGTCCACCCTAGTAGATACCTCAGTGGCCTGTTTCTCAATGCCTGCATTATACCATTCATCTCTTTGAATTATGTCATCCTTCTCAGCAGATACTGTACCCTTATCAGGTTTCTCTTCAACTTTGTTATTAGTCTTATGGTTATCCAGCTCGTGCTCCCTGTTTCGACGGTCAGTCCAATTCTGTCTTTGAGGGCCACCCCGATCCCTGACGATTTTCTGGTCCCTATCCATTTCATTCTCCCAACGATGATTTTGCTGCTCTCGTTTCATTTTCATGCTAGGCCGCTGTGCTGTTTGATGTTCCCTGCGCGCCTTCTCTTCAGAACCATGCAAATTTTCCAAACTGTGTTCTTCTTTAATCACTGGCTTTTCGATGTGGTGCTCGACAACTGGTTGTTCAATTTTGTTCTCTACATGTCTCCTCTTACCAGTCCCTGATTGACCACGCTCCTTATTGCTAGAATGCCCTCTATGGTTGACAAAGTCCCGTTCTTTATGACCTGTCTGCTGCTGGGTCTTCTCTTCTTTCTCCTTGCTTTTTGAACTGGCTGTATTTTCAGGCTTCTTTGTGTTTTCATTACTTGTAATCACTCTGTCTTTCTTTTCAGTAACAGCTGGCGCCTCTGTTCTCCCCTTCTCTGCTGACAATTCACCCACTTTGTCTTCTTCTTTTGAAATCGCAGTGCTGTCGCTCTTTCTGTCACTACCAGCATAACTCCTATCATCATGCTGTCTCCAATCAGTATTCTTCCTCCAATTATCCGATTGCCTGTCTCTATACTTACGATTCTTAGCACTCCTATTGTCATGCAATTTTCTAGTTTCCGAGGCCGATGACTTACGACCTTTCTCTTCGTATTGTTGCTGCTGCTTCACCTGACTGTGACCAGGTGATTTTGTAGCTTCCGAAGCCGATGACTTACGACCTTTATCTTCGTATTGTTGCTGCTGCTTCACCTGACTGTGACCAGGTGATTTTGTAGCTTCCGAAGCCGATGACTTACGACCTTTATCTTCGTATTGTTGCTGCTGCTTCACCTGGCTGCGAAGGTCTTTCCACTACTTTATCAGCATTGTTTTGTGCGCTTGACAATTTTTGATCATGTTGATGATTGACTCGCTGTCCAGCAGGAACTTTTGTTTCTAGAATCGTAAGGTAAAAACTTGATACTTTTAGTTGATACTCAATACTTGATACGGGTGTAGCCTTTTTGCAATAATTATTTTATCTATTAGCTGTACAACTTGAGTAAAAACATCTTTAAAAATGTATACGTGTTGCATCACCTAAGTGACTTAGTTGTAAGCATGAAATATTAATTTTCATGCAAGTGAATGATTTGGAGACCTACAGCTGATACTTGGCAGAGTCCAACCCTGTTACTTACACCTATATTACTCCGAAAATAATATAAAATTTACCGTTTTGTTTCATTACGTGAGATCTTCCAGCAGCCATCGATGTCTGAAAAAAAATCAGAATGTTTGTGTGAAAGATATGCAAGCTTTATATACAAGTTCATCACAACTATTTGCTTGACAACCGACAGCAATCAGAGAAATAAAACTGGTAAAGAGAAAAATATACTGTTATTTCGAAAAAGGTTGGCAGTGGATTAACTGTTTTATCAGAATTTTCCAAAAGATAAATAAACATAAATAAGCAATTTTTGCGGTACCAAGGCTTTCCTGGTTAAATGGGCAAAACAAATTATGAATGATAATACTGCAAATCTCGATGAATAAAAACTATACAAAACAAGTGTAAATATACAAAGACCTTCCGTTTCTAATGGTTACTCTAATGGTCCTTGATTCACTTAAAAATTAAATTGATCAAAAGAGTACCGAAGTGTGACGTCACCAAAAAATCTATTTTTAAAATGTCTTATTGTTGGCCACATAATAATCTGAAAGAACAGCATAAAATACTTCTCAATATGAAAAATCTGCTAGATATGTTCAAAATTGGGCGAGTTATGGCCAATGGAAGGTTTAAAGTTTGCTAGCGGATTACTGTTATTCTGGCCTGGTTTATAAAGTTATATACCAAGACCAAATTACAGAGGTTTGGTGGGGAAAGACCCTGTGCTTAGGCGGTCATATCTCATTCAATTGATTTTGCTCATCAAGAGGCATTTCATAATGATTGTTCGGGTTATATAGTCAAAATTGAAAAATTCTTAAAATGGATTTTTGCAACGTCATCACCCCTGTACTCTATTGTCTTGATAAACTAAAAATGTTACCTGCTCCTCGACAGCCTCTTTTAGCCTTGTGTGGGTGGCAGCACGTTCTTTCAATTCATCATTTGTAAGAGGTCGATTCACGTCGCCTTGGTTCTTTTTTTGTTCTAATTCAACATCAGCAGCATGCAAAACACCTTTCCCTTTCAAATCCGCTTGGAGTTTTCTTTGCGGTGGATCATCAACTTGTTTTATCATATTATCCGTTGAAGATGACCTTTGTTTATAACCAGCTTTTAGTGGGGTGACTGAAAAATAACATAGATAGCAACTCAAGAGTGCATTGAAAATACTTAAAGTACTTTTGGCAGGTAAAAAATTTGAAAATGGCTTTGAAAAAGCAAACTTTAATACATGACTAATCAAATACTGAAGCTTCTAATCTGACACTCATTGGATCATAAAATATCACAACATAGATCAAAAATTCAAAGCTAGGAAAGGTTGCGGATCAGTCGCGGATCTAAATAACCCAGATGGCTTGGCAGTTTCCGGCTGGGTAAATATACTTTCTAGCTTTCAGTTTTCGATCTACGTTCTGGCGTTTTAGATCTATGTAAGAGAGTCAGACGTTTATTCAAAACGATAGCTTTTCAAAGCCATTTATGTGTAAAAAATGTTTTGATAATTGACTCCAACAACTCGTATGCAAGCCTGAAAAACAGAATGGTAGATTTCTAATACATGGAAGTTGTAGGAGACCTCTTCCGGGGTGTTACTTGTTGGGGAGACGAGTATAGGTTCTTATCGTTTAGAGCCATTTTTTCACATGTGCATTAGGGCGAAGTTTTTTAAGCAAGACTCACATCTCATGGTGCTTTACAGAATTTAAACAAAAATATTTTATATCATATTCATAGCTACACCATTTAGACCAGAACTGCATCATTCTTACTCTCTCAAAACACCATTTGCTCTAAATTTTATTCGCAATTTGGTTCGAGACTGATTTATTCCCTCAAGAGCCACAACTTTTCCTTTCACTGAACATGTTATGCGTTTTGAAAATAACGTCGACGGTTTCAACTGCGCATGTGCATATGATGCTAAATTTTAGTTCGTCTTCCAATCAATTAACGACAAAAAATCGTCAAAATATCAATTGAAGAAACAATTTTCAGGATCCAGAAATATTATTTTCTCTCGAAACATTTTATAAAAACCGATTATGGAACACCTAGACATTTAGAGTGTCGGTTTTCTTTCCAAAGCACCACTAAGAATAACCATAGTCTCCGCAGCTAAATGTAAGCCCGCGTATTTGGCCAACAAACGGAACAAACATTAAAGATATGGTTTACAAATAAATATTTTCGGGATAAAACTTGAAAAACAGATGCTATATAAAAATTAATGAATTCACTATTGTCATCAGTTGCAAAAGTTTTTCATCGCTTAATTTAATGAACAGACTGCTCTTTATTAATACTAATATTTGGAAGTAGGACGCAAGATTGTCTTCTGGACTTTGTGAGTTATTTAATGAAGAAAGACATAAGGTTTTTCAGTATTAAAACTAATCCTTGCTACTTACCATGACCAAAACTTTCTACGACCTGCAAGATTAAAAGACAAGCACATGACTCCTCTAAAATTTATTAAAATGTTCTCGGCGATGATCTATATAATGTGTGATTATAAGATGATGTTTGGCTCATAAAGGCTCTTGTGCAACCGGCATGCTTTGTGGTAGCTTTTTTTAAGCGATGAGAAATTGGCTCTGTTTTGTATTTTCATTCAGTACGATACTAGACCAGTTCTTGAACTATAGTTGCAAAGCATGCCGGTTGCGTAAGAGCCTTTAAACGAGTGAAGCCTACGATTTGCATTCTTGCATCTCTCGAAGTCACATTTAACCATATCAAATAACAACGAATAGCAAGCGACATTGCCTCCTTCGAATTTCACTAATCGTCATTTTCGGGCACTTTCAAAATACTTCAAAATACTTACACAAATATAAAATATTACAGTATATCTTTATTATTTTCTCATGGCTATACTTTTCGCCGCAGCCAGAATGAAAACAAAACACGGTCTTTCACGACAAAAATAAACCCAACAGCGGGTACATCCGAGTAGTCATCAAACTTCCGAACAAAAGCACTTCCGAATAAATCAAGGTATTGGCTCTTTCCAAAAATATTCTTACCTTTATAATTTCATCTGAGTCGCCCACAAACCTATTTGTGTTAGCTACCTCTTCGTCAATTTTTCTGTCCCCTACGAAATGCTACAAAAAAGCATTGGGCATTATAAAATTGTTCAATGCTTTCACTAAGAAAGCAGTGATGTAGAGATACCATGTCTCAAACTTTAAAGCCAATCTTTACTTCAGAATATGCAATGACAAAGCATGAAAGATCAGCCTAGTTTTATACCAAATGACACAGCTAAAACAAGTTTATATTGGAAAATAGACTATGGACTGAGAAATTCAAATTTTGCCCAATTATACAACCAAACCCGCAAATTTCCTTCACTTGCATAATCCTAGACGCATTTCTAATAACAGAGGATCGCATGACAGTTGGCTATGGTAATCGCATTAAGCGTGAAACTCAGAGTAGCAACTTAGAACGGTCCGGTTTACATAAAGTGGGTACAAGCTCTGCCTATACGACATAGAGCACTTAATGACAGACCGGTAAACAGTAATGTTCATAAACTTACGTCTATACAAGTTAAATGACATTTGATTAATTTGTCAACTTAATACCGAAATATAACTTGCTCTTTAAAGCCTCAGGGCTCTTCCTTGTTACAGTCTCTCCATGTATGAGAAGAGATTAAAAAAAGAGGGCGATAAAATCAAAACAAAAACTTTCTCTTCGTGCTTATTTTTCAAAAAATAACACGGTTGGTTATTACATTTGGTTTTAGGACAACAAACTCTGCAGAAGTTTTCTTGTACACGGATCTAGTGCGTGTATGGGCCACTGATCTAGCACATATAACCAACAAGAATTGGCACATTTCATAAATTTTAAATTTCATTCTTCAAAGATGGGTTGCTCTTGAGCAGAAGCTGTTTTAAAGGGGCTCCTCCAACAAATACTTTATGACAATAGAAAACAAAAGCACTGGGATATAAAAGGGCCATCAAAAAAACCTGTCTGCAATTATACAGGTTCACAACAGAAACAAACAGTTCAACTTTCGATAGATTTTCAAATATAGTTAAGGAGGAAACCATAAGGAGGATACCTTAATGTTTGCACGTAATTCTGTAATATCTTGATCTCGTAGACGCCCGATTTGATCGCACTGGTGCTTCAAGATGGCTGCTTGTTGTTGTCGATCATCGAGTAGCTTGGCTGAAAAACAATTCATGCTTGTTCAGTGATAAAAGTAAGCACTCAATACTTCGAATAGCGTTTGAAATAAGAGAGCTATAAGTAGGATGGTATCTTGATGAATAGGTAAGGAGTGGAAGGAAGCTGTGCCTCAAGACATCAATTTTCTCTTTTTTTATTTCAAAATAATGCAAATGGTGTGTTCAGTTTCAGAGGTGGGGTCGCACCTCCTTGCCCACCTATTTGCGATTCAAAGCAAAACTACGGTGACACGTCGAAAAGTTTTTCGTTTCATTTCACTTTCATTTATTTAAGTATGATGGCCCATTCAGCAATGAATAGCTATAATATATCTCAGAATAAAACATTACAATACTAAATCCCTCCTGACTTTAAGTTACCCTACCCACGCAATTTTCGATACCTATTTACAATGTTTTATTTTCTATTTCCCTTAATACGTGTAGGACTATTTACAATACTTATCTAATTTGTTTAAAAGTTTCAAGTTTGATATTGAAACAAAAATTGTTAGAGCAAAGTTTTGAATCTAATCGGAGATGTGACCTGTTAAGGGTCGGCATCTAGGCGATTCCAAAGTTGAGCACACCAAAAGAAAATGACTTTTGTCCATTGGATGTGCTTGTCTTTGAAAACTTTTGCCACCTAACTTGCTTATAATTAGTAAAATTGTGTAGTACAGTACCTGCTTCAACTTTAATTGTCTGCAGCTGCTCGAGAAGAAGTTCCTCTCTCTTCAATAGGCTAGAAAGAACAATTACTGCTTTTTAACTTTTATTTAAAAAATAAAATGTGCACAATAAAGAGATATGCGAATTCTGGCATATCAAAAATGTTTACTCATTCTTCGTACATAAAAAAATGAATACATTACCTGTCTCTTATTTTCTTGAAGTGACTTTTAATTTCCTTCTCCGCTTTATCGCATTTCTACAAACACGAAAGAAAAAAATAAAGCCACTGGAAATCCAGAGAGCACTGCAAGCTCAGACACGCCGGCAAAGTTATTTGCATTTTGTTTAGGCGATATTCTACAAGAAACATCTGTCTAATAAGTCGTGGATAAGGCCATTTTCTCTACGTAGGTAGATGCTCAACTTAAGGCAAATTAACTGTCCTTTAACAGCTACAATGCCTGTGAAAAGTACAAAACGGGTAAGGAAATTAGGAACTACCTTCTTTTGCCATTCTTTTATGACTTTTATGAGGGTAGAAGTAGTATTTTTCGAAAAAGGGATGAAAGATTCAAAATCCAACGAGCTACATTTTGACTAATTCTTTGGAGTAATAGTGAAAGCAAAATTGGCTTTGTTTGTTACAAAAGGTCTCGCTTGCTTTAAATTTCAATTTTCTGTTATCTTTAACTTTGTTTCTTGCTTCGTCATTGACACTTTTAAGATTTTTAACAAAATGTTGAATATTATCTGTGCAAAAATTGCTGCGTGTTCTAAGTACTTTTTATTAGCATTGTACATCAATTTTAGCAGCGCCACTGAAACTAGAAATATTAAGATAAGCAAAAAAATTTACTATGTTCAAAATCTTTCTACAAAGACATCAAAACAAGCAAGGGGTTTTTTGGCGAAAATGTTTCTAGATACAATCTTAATCTTCAGAAATGGCTAAAACAACATAAAAGTGCTTTGAGAGCTTGTAGTTTGCAGAATTTTTTTAAAATATTCAAATTTCACCAACAATGCTATTTAGTTCGCTAAAAATGAGCTGGGTACCTGTTGGTAGATTAAACTTTCATGAGAAAATGAACACTGTTCAATTAGTGTTGACAGGTGGAAACGAAAAAAGAGAACTGCTATTCTAACAACTTTAAAAAGGCAATGGTGAGGAGTCACAACAAATATGTGCTTGACGTCAAGAATAACAGTTGTGACAAAGTAAGATACTAGTGGATAGAATGCAAGTTATATAGAATTACAATGCTACTAACTACAATCAGAAAGCATTCCAAGTAAAAAAAAGATAGATTTTTCCCTTACATCTTCATGAACGGCATGGAACCGCGCGATTGCAACAGTAGACCTCTGTAGGTCTCTCGCTGACCTTGGCATCGCATCAATTACATTTCTTTTCTTTGGAGGCTCTGTTGTTTTATTCGCTCCTAGGGCGTCATTAAAACTGGGTGCATCAGCTGACTTTGGTGTCAGTGGCGTCAAAGGGCTTTCTGACTGCATTGAGACAGATGATTTTCGGGAAGAAGGCAGCGATTCTAGTACGTTGATAGAACTTTGTGATTGGCTAATCTGAATTGACTCCTCCTTTTCTGTGAAGTGAAAAGATATTCATAAGAATATATAATTAAACATCAAAATTTTTGCTTATGTGCCAAGAAAGTCCCTGACACTGCATAGGAGCGTATTTAGCCTTGGTAGTGGTATTCTATGCTAGACACTTTACGCAAAAGGCAACAGACGGATACAAAAGTAAACGAACACATAACTTTCTTGTGCTGGCAGGCACAATCAAGAGGTATTAGAGAATGGATCACATGAAACTTTGGTCTTGAAATTTTTTTATTCTTAAGGCGGGTAGCGCTGCTGATTGGATACCAGTCACAAACTTCTCGATTTGCCCACAAAATATTACAAATTTTGTGTGATTTTTCTGCTATTCTGATTAAATGATTATTTATCATATTTCTATGAATATTTAGTCAATGATAATGTGAACATCTTTATTATAATCACCAGTGCTTGAGAAAGAGCGAATCTTATTTCAGTTTATTGCTTTAAAGGATGGGGGGCTTAAAAGAGGGGGGCAATATCATAAATTTTTTGGCAGATAAAAGTACCGCGCCCTAGCCAAGCCTTAATTTTCTTGTGACGGGAGCTTCCAAAGATAAAAGAACTTCCGGGTTAAGGATGAACATTTTCTGGACTTTGGTCAGAGTCTAAAGAAAGCCTAAAGATGGCACACAGCAAAAACAACAAAGTAGAGAGACAGTGGCTTCATTCTTCAAGTCAGATTTTCAGTACACAACCCCCCTCCCCTCTCCCCCCTCCCCCTCCCCCCCACTGTTTCGTGTTTACTTCACACGAGCGTTGACCGTGATGATGGCGTCCGGGATAAGAATTCCACCAGATTTGCTTTCTGTATTCCTTAGAGCTCGAAGGTAATTCCTAGAAGAAGGATTAGCACTTTCCAGACACTGCAGAAGCTCCAAAAATTTTACAAAACCTTTTAACTGGCAATAAAATTTTTTGGCTACATACCTGAAGCTAGAAACAATTCTTCAGCGGGTTTTATTAACTCATTTAATGACTCTTCCTTGCCCTCAACGTCCTCATTTCTTCGATTTCTGTTTTTCTTGTTTCTTCTCCTGCGGCTTTTAACTGGACTAGGCCCATTCTGAGAACAAGAACCCGTGCAACATAATCACAGCAAGGGTGAAAGGTATTGGAGAAAATACCAAATATCAGACAAACAAAGGTATTGGGCAGTCGATTAAAATGAATCTGTATTTCAATGGAATGGTTGATAATTCAAACCTTGAACCGGAATTCACTTCTGCTATATGGACTAAATTGCAAGGCACAAAAGGCGCTGAGCCAAAAATGACTTAGGTATATGACATTCTACCAATATCTTTGGCCTTTGGCCTCAGGAGACCCAGTTTCATAAAAATATCAGCCATTAGGCTGTCAGACATAAAATTAGAGACATTCATAAACAAGACAAACTGCACCCTAGATAGTGTCCCTACAACACGAACACCCTAAATGCTTATAAATTTTTTGTGACGTGTAGGGCGTGTAGATGATTCGATGTTCCTCTTTCATTCACTTAACAACACTCCGTACAGTGTTACTAGGCTGGAACCTTTAGCTTGCGTTGGTTACATAAACAACAAAAAGACCTTTTCCGGATGTGCTTGACGTTTTATCAAGGAAAGCTTTGGTATCATCTTATTTTCAGACTGAGCCTTCAGAATCAATCCAAGCTGTCTGCTTGTCAAATAACTAATGTTTCCAAGGTTGAAATATGTGATGACGTCATCGACTCCATTTGTTATCGAATAGGTTCATCATTTCTTGGCAAAACACTCTTTCAGTCAAGAGGCTCGCGTAATCGAACAGAAAGGCTCCCGCAAAGCTAGCTGCAAAAATGTTTAAATATTTGGTACCAAAATCATCATACTTATCACACAACCAACAGTCTTTCATTGGTTATTGCAACAGGACAGTTAAAAACCTGCTCTAAGCTACAGTTTTAAGTAGATGAACCTTTAGGCCATTTGAAACCTAGACAACCTTGGTTGGGCGACGGCGTTATTAAAGCGATTTCATGTTAGTCTTTGAAAATTCATAATATACAAACTTCTATGAATTAAGATAACTTCTCTTACCGTTTTGTCCAAATATTCTTGAGCCACTTGGCTTCAAGTTCGGATGGAAAAAAAGTATTGACCTGCCAAGCCAACCAAGCAGAACTCAACAGTGGTTATCCCCTTGTTTTCTTAGAAATAACGGGATTCCCCACCCTCAAGGCTAAGCCACAGCCTCGCCCAGAGGATTTCAGACTGATAGGAATGCCGTTCCCCACGTTCTTCTCAAATAATGTGTTCAACTTTAGCACAGTATGTATGAAAATACTTATTTCTGATTATAAATAAGTAAAAAAAACTAAAGTACCGCTACAAATGAATGCGGGATTCGGATTTTGAAAGAAAACGCTACGATGCTCGCGTTGTTCCCGCATAAAAACTTGCATAAAGGCTGATTTCAACACAATCATTCATTCATTCATGTTAAACAAAAGCATCTTTCATGGACAGCGAATATCTATATAAAAAAACTTACGATTCCCACCAACAAGCAGGTAAAGGCGTAGGTAAAGGAGGGTCAGAGGGGTCGAAAAATCTCCTGTAAAGCGAAACTGCTGTTTTGTCGGAAAACTTCTGATCTTGTCGTAAATTTAACATTAATGTCCATTTCTATCCAAGTGTTACATTTTAAGAGGAAAAGATTTTCAAACTGAATATGGTGATTTCTTCTGTTGCTATGAATCAGATTGGCAATCTCCGCATAGTACTTTAAAATGCCTTTTTTCAGAGGAAGACAAGAAAACTCTCTGAGAAGTGTGATTTATGACACGTGACCTACGTGTCATTATGTTCAAGTTTTTGAAAAAAATAAAAGGTCTTATAAAATTGTTGTCAGAAAATCTAAATTTCTCGCCCCTCCAATGAAATTTCCTATCTAAACTAGTAATTAATTCATTCATTCTTGACCAACAAAAGACAGCTCTTTGACTTTGAGATATCTGACATTTCTTTGAAGCAAATTCTCGAGAATTAAAAACAGGAATCAAAGAAGAAAAAAATCAAATAGAGTCTTTCAATATGTTACAAACTTCTCAAGAAATGAGTTTTATCACTATTTCCTTGACGTTGCAAGACCTCTGGCTATGCAGTAGCAGCGTTGCAAAGTTTAAACAATATTAGGATGGGGGACATGGGGGCAAGCCTTGCTTTGAGATCTGGGAGTGAAATTTTTGCAACCACTTATTCAATGGGAAAACAGAAAATGACACTCTTTTAAAACCAAACTATTTGCAATAAGAAATATCATTACCTAATGCCATAGGGTTATAGCAGATGTGCTTTGTCACAGACATCAAAACCTTTAATCCCCTAAACAAAGCTATACAAAACAGGAAATTTCTCTAACTCCTAGAAACTAAAGTTGCTTTTTACATTTCCAACGAAATATTCATTAAGCTGAAACGACGTAAATCTGGCATTGAGCCTTTGTGCACTCACTCTCAAGAACTGTTTGACAAAATTTACACAAATTAGAAACTTTTGATTAAAATTCTAACAATTCTCCTTGCTTAATGGTTACAACAGAACAGGGGCATACCTATTGCATTGACAGTACATTTGAGAAATGCTGAAGTAAAAAGACAAACACAGACGTCTTGCATTTTAGAGTTTAGTCATGCTGAAGCATGGCATCTAGAAAAGGGTAGTGGTGGCCAACAACTATCCTTAGATCCTGCAGGCTCTTCTATAAAAAATACCCCATACCTACAGTCTCCCAATCAAAACAAAAAAGACTATCATCCTTTCTTATGATTTTCAAAATACCGTAAAAGCACTATTTATTTTTGGTCGGTCCTAAAGGGGGCTTAAAAGAGAGGGGGCTTATTAGAGAGAGTGGGCTTATCAAAATGTTTGAACAAAACAATTTTTAAAATGCCTTTGGCCATCTTTTGTTATGAAAATGGCATACAAATCATTATTATGATTGGAACTGCATATCATAATAATGAAAAAAGACTCTAGTTTGAAATATACATTTATATTAAAACTTATAAAGAACTGTCTTGCAAAATTCTTTGCAAATCTCTGTTCAAAAGGATCAGGAAAAATTGTTATAAATTATATAAAAATTTGCCAATCCAAAATTGAATTAAATTTTAGAAATTAGGGACCAGAAACATGGATATAGAATAACAAAAATAGCTTCAAATGTAAAGGAATTACTTTTATCACCCAACATTTTGAATTTGCGTGACTCGAGTTAGTGAATATAAGCATCACCAATAAAAAGATACAAATTAATAACAAAACAGGCTTAAAACCTCCTAGGTTTACCTTCTACTCACATTAAACAAGAGATAGTCAACTAAAAGCATAGCCCTGCAATAGAGTTTCTGAGCAAATGATTAAAACCATAAAGTTAAAAACACCCAAAGTGTCTTTCTGAACTATATGATAGTCCTCAACGACTTTAGTAGAAGTTTATAGAACCATTCAGTACAAATTTGAGATTTCTTGATAAAGCAATCATGTAAAAACCATTCTTCAGAATACTACACACAAAATATGAACAGTAAAAACAACTTACTTTTCCACGCTTTCCCTGAAAATTCCATGATGATAATATATTCTCTGCTCCATCTAAAGACAAAAACCATTCAGCTCAGGGGAAACTGAAACATTTTGATTATGCAATGTATTGGAAATTCAAATTTTGTTCATGTTTCTGCATGATCACCCAACATTAAATGAACAACAAGAGCAAATTAAAGCAAAGAAGAAAAATTGAAATTCTGAAAAATATAATTATTACTATTTGGTTCATGGTTACTCTCTATCACTGTCTTCATTAGGAGAACGTGGATACACCAATGTAAGAACGACATCATTTCTGCCAAATATCCAGGCTGGTGATATAGGACAATGAAAGTCATTACAGTCAAGATAATCTTATGAGGGGAAAAGTTATTACCTTGAGTTATAGAAACTATTGCTGTTTCAAGGTTGCAGTCACAGCTTTGCAAGACTACTGCTGCATCTTCCTTTGACAAATTTGGATATGCCTCTCGAATTTGATCAATCTAAAATAAGAAACCAAGTTCCTTTTTCACATAAGCCAATGGTGTACCAAGGTTTAAATGAGAAGAGATGCACATGAAAGGATATGTACTTGCTGAAAAACACTACTATCCAAAGTATTGGAAGTTATGTTGGCCACATCAGTCCATGTACTGACAATATTATGAAATACCAGTGGCAATTTGCCTGGGCTTAAAAATACGAAACACTAGGCTCACAATAATTTGTGAGTTAAGAAGCTATAGCTGCAAGTCAGCAAGCCACTGATTTGCACCTTGATCTAACAGGTGCTACTGAGAAATACAATGAAAACTAAAGAAAAGCATTGCCAGTGACACTTGACTACGACACTGTCGAAGAATACAGTAATCATTATCTTGAAATGAATCAGTTTCAAACTACTGAAGATTTGGAAAAATTGAGGAGACAGAAGACAGAGATAAGTGGAAAGCATTCTCAACAACTTGTAGCATTACATAAGGAAAAAATGCATGGTCCGCAGGGGCGGATCTAGGGTGCCGCAACTGCCTTACGCAAGGCAGTCAACTACCGCTGAAAAAAAATTGAAACATTTAAATTTCCCCAAACACATCTTCAGTTTCAGTTTCATTTATTTGAAATTCCACTACATACATCCTTTGATTTTCTTGTTAATGACTCATGCCCTCCCACCTCCCCCCCTCTTCTCCCCCAAGTATCTCCATTAATTGATTGCGTACAGTCGTTGTGAGACCCTACTTTGCATCTTTGCGTCACAACATATTGAGCGAATAAGTGATTCCCAACCCTGCGATTATGTGATCTTCTTCCCTGCCTCAGATGATTTGACATAAATTATATTTTGCGGCATTTCGCATATTAATTTTAGATGCCCGCGCAGTTTTAAACAATCGTTTTTGAGACCCTACGTCATTTTTATTGTTCTCCTTGCGGCATCGATGAGATGTATGAGAAATTTTTGTATATGCAAAATATATGGAGTGGGGTCAGCGTATGGTTATTTGGAATCTTGAGGTGCCGTAGAATGCCGCATTTGATATCAGGGTGATACTTGTCATACGTAGGTGATCCACTAGATCGGTGCGGTGATCATGAAGACGATTAGCAGCCTCATTTCACTCCTGTACCGTGATTTTGACAGACAGGAAAATAAAGCTGAGAAGGGGAAAGGATATCCTGAAAAAGGTTAAGTTCTCTCAGAGACGTGAATATTGGAAGCTTCATGCATGACCTTAGCAATATCAAGCTTAAAAGACTTGGAAATTCTGCTTCTATCTCTGCAGCGAAAGTATCGGAGCTAGGCCTACTTGGTTAAAAGTTCTATGTTGAGCCGAGAACAAACTTTTTCTTTGGAGGTGAATTATTATTGAAGCAAACGTTTTTGAAACATTGTTATTTATGCTTCATTCTTGTTAACGTTCGGTTTCTTTTAATTTAGACGTATTTGAATAATGTTCTTTGTTATTTAATAACAATATGATTGCCAAAAAACTTTGTTTTTTATCGCATAAAATGTGTATATTATCAGAGTCAGTTAGCATTGTCAATTCTTTCCCAATACAATATAAAGTATAGAAAAAATATTATTTGTTTGATCAAATTGACTCGAATCATGACGATGTAAATTTAAAAATAATAGACAGAGTATTTAATAAGTATTTTATAAGTTTACAGACACAAGAATTTAATACACATAGAAAATCTGATTTCAAAAATTCTGTGGAGGTTCCAGGGAAAATAGCTAGCCTCACTTTCTCTTTAAATTTTTTTAACTTCAATTTCGATTTGTTTCAAACATCGCATCAGAGCATGCTAGGTTTCTTTTTCTAATTTTGTGTGCTATATTTCAAATTATGTTATGTTATGTTATGTTATGTTATGTTATGTTATGTTATGTTATGTTATGTTATGTTATGTTATGTTATGTTATGTTATGTTATGTTATGTTATGTTATGTTATGGTATGTTATGTTACGTTATGTTATGTTATGACACATCAGACACAAATGTATCAGAGATCTTTCAATTTGGGAAAGCTGTTGCTATTAGACTTAAAAACTAAAAACATAACATTACAGTCTGATGAATGTTTATGTGTTCAGAAGTAAATTTTAACCAGTGATTTTATTTCTGATAAATTGACATAGCTATCACCTGATTGGCAAATCTGTGTTATTTTAGTAAGGATTATTGAATTGCTATTTATGGTTATGAAATTAGCTTATCTTGTCCTCTCAGGATGCCCTTGGTTGCTTTTTGAGATATTTTGGAGAAAATGCCTTTAAAAAGACAAGTAAACTTAAGGGAAATAGAATTTGTGTATCTGAATGACTCCCAAATAGATATTCGAAAAATACTTTATTCTTTGATGTCTGTATCTATTATTTGTCAATCTGCAATGTCATCTGTTAGTATAATCTGTAATGTTAACTGTCTGTATAATCTTTATCTATGGAAGTAACTTAGTACGAAAAAATATCAATTACTTAGGGCATTTTATAGCAAAGCTTTGTCTGTATGTAACCTTCAGTGCATTCTTTCACAATTTTGTTTCTTTGCTGGCAACAGACCAGACCCATAGGCTTATTGATATGCTTTTAAACTGTCAAACATTTGAGGTGCTTAACATAGCAACATCAAATAACTTACACCCTGTCTGCAAAGCTTGATCAAAACACCATGTACCTAGAGGTTATTGGCATGACTGAAAAAAGATATCAGAAGTCTATATAAAATTCTATTTTGATAGAATTTTATATAGACTTCTGACATCTTTGTTCAGTTTTTGATGGTGACAATGTTTTATAAGTTCCAGTAGTGTAAAGACTAGTTTTTAAGATTCAAGTGCAAATGCAAAGTCTAACTGTTGTAGCTTTAGGATGAGAAGAAGCCAAATTCAAGCCTACTCACTTAGACCTTCATACTCCTAAAGAGAGTTCTGTTTCCTTTCATAAACTGAACCATAAAATCTCAAAACAGAAAATGAATTGAAATTGCTGTTTCAAATTATTCTGATAGTGGCTTTTTGGACAAGTTGAACTTGTTGGAGCAGCTCAGTAGTAGGATCTCTTGAACAATGCCTGGGAACCAGATGCAAATTTTAGAGTTCCTTCCAAATTTAGGAAAAAAGAAAGTTTTTCATTCTCTTGGCTTAAAAGTTACCCATGGTTTCAATATTCTAAAGCTTAATATTATGCAATTTGCCTGCCTTTGGACATTTTTTATCTAAGAATTGGTGTAAATTCATCCAGAGACAAGCTTGTGAATTTTTTTGACAGAAGTTTCCTGTGCAGTAGCAAGATATAGAATCAATGCAGATTTGATATCAACCATACCCTATAATTAACCATGCTAACCTTTGTAACTGTAAAAGAAGTAGGCAGTGAAGAGCCATAATTGGCAGTGAAGAATTACTTAAGAGAATGTTGTTTTATAGTTTCCTTGAATAACATAAAATATTTACATGCAAGCAACGCCACTATTTAACCACTTTACATTGCGCATGCAATGGGTTTTGACCACGCCCCTTTTTGCCATTTACTTTCGGACCACACCCTTTTGCGGCAGTAAAATTTTTCTTTAGATCCGCCCCTGGTCCGTAAGCAGAATATGCTTTTTGATTAATAATACTTAAAGTAGCTTTTGGAACTTTCATTAAAAGCTGAAGAAGAATTAAACCAGGTGAGCTGACCATCGGTCTAATGTGCACCTTCCATGCTACACTGGCAGCTGCCAAATCATAAGGAATCCAAATTTCTTATAAAAAATATAGTCATGAACATGACTTTAGGTTTGCAAAAATTGGATATTACAAGACCTTGCCATTTGAATTTTACTAGGATAGTATCAAAATGCCCTTTGTGTTGATGATTACCAAGGGAATATGTTACTTGTGTGTCTATGTTTTGCAAATGTATAGGTAGGTGCCCATATTAACTTTCTCATCAATTGCACATTTCCTTTTTCAATTTTCAGTGTTTTCTGGCAGAAGTGCAAATGCTATCAATGTAGAAAGTTGTAAAAATCCAACTAACATGCAGTGACCCTCATTTCATTAACTACACCTTCTCCTGTGCTTCCCAATACAACTGATTATTGATTCAAATTTGATGCCACTTTGATGATAAGATGTGGCATCAAATTTTATTGTTAATTCCAATGCATTGCAATGGAGATGAGCTTTTCATTTTTTTGAAGCTCAAAGTCATTGATACCATCAAAATTCGCATAGAGACTAGAATATGATTACGAAATGGAAAAGAAAGCATTAGAAAAATCTGAGATGCAAATTTTTTTTGGCCATTGATTACCATCAGAGGGTTATCAGATTATTTCTTGGGCCAAAATGGCAAATTAAAAAGTGCTCATACATGCATATGTCACGAGGGGTACTCATATATATTTAGGATAGGGATGCTCAGGTTCCATTTTGGGTCTAAAATTTGAGCGAAACTTATTTTTTTGGGTCAGCCAATCATACAATTATTTTTTTTAGTTCATGAAATGCCTGATTATTTTTTGGGCCTTGAATGTGAGAAAATTTTAAGAAAAAGAGAAAACATGGTTTACACACTAAATATGATTTAATTTTCATTTATTGCAGATGAAAACTGCATAATCATAAGAGTATTCAGAATGATATAAGGAACTCCCACAAAGCTAACAACTGGCTGAGTAAAAAAAGAATTTTGTATATTTGATTGTACCAGACTTTGGTTCCCGGATTAAAACTTCAATGCACAAGGAAAATATGAAATAAACTAGTTCTTTTTTTAGGGTTCTTCTGTGGACAATAGTGAACAATTTCAAGCTTTAGGGGAGCATAAAAACAAGGAATCAATACATTGTTATCCTTTTTTCCTTCCCTGAGCATTTCCATTAAATAACAGTGCCAAGGATGCCAAAAATGGGACAAACGGGAGGGATCTTAATTACAATGTAAAGTCACATCTGCACAGCTGGTATAGTTGAATACTCAAAAATTATTGGTCCAAAGTATCCTTGGAAATGCTGTGGGTTTTGCCCTAAATTCTTGTGGGGCAAACATGTATTTTCTTTCTTTTACTCATACTGCATTTACCTTGGGATAATGCAGTTTATTGATGAAGTAAACATCAGATTTTCTGTTTTCCAAACACAATTCATTCAGATAGAAATGGTTTCTTTCTCTTTGAAACTTCTTGTTTCTTCAGGCTTTTGTTTTGAATCAAAAACAGTAGTCAACAGTCCTCACTACATTCTCATTCGAACAAAAGCCCATCAAAAGCTCATCACATAACAACATAAACATTGTCCTAACTAGCAGCCCTAGACAGCAGACTGACTGGAACATTTGAAAGGTTTTTAGCCAAAATGCAGAAGTTAAACTACAAGATGATGTAAATTGTGTATCTTTGATAAATACATTGTAAACTGGCTTCTGTGCTGTGCAATGATTTCAAGATCATATATGGAGCAGAGTCTCTTTGTTATTTTTTTGGGTGTGCAAGAGAAGAAAAATTATTTTTTGGATCATTTTCTATGCTAAAAATTATTTTTTGGGTTGATGGTTTGTACCCCAGCCTGTGCATGCCTATCCTAAATATATATGAGTACCCCACATGGGGTATATGTCTTAAATATGCTCTAGTGTCTTTGTAACCAAAGTTGGAGTAAAGTTGCATAATCTACAAATAATACACCCCATTGGAATAGAGACATGCAAAATGGTGGCCATCGATTCTCAATAGTTGAACAATAGTTTATGTAGCCTTTCTAGTGCATCCTTAGCTTTCTACTTTTCCAGATCTTTCCAATGTTATTAATAGATGAAATGATTCAAAATTATATTTACTTATATCCATGATTGAACTTGCATGTTTCATTTAAACCAACAATAATAAAAATCAAGCTAAAGTTTGAACATTTTATCTTCAGAAAACGGAAGCACCCTTGCTTTGCTGCGAGTGGAATGAATGAGGCATACCTTTCTATGCAGCAAGTTACATTTTTCCTTTTAAGCACATATTAAAAAACAATCATGCAGATGGTCTTAGAGTTTGGTGTGCTTGTTTTGCTTATATCAAACAGACATTCTGAAGAGCAGTGGGAAAGTTTCATTAATTCAGCTGCTTGTCTAAAATAAGAGGAAATCGTCCATACCTGGGAATTAAGATTTCCTGGCAATGGCAGAGCGTATTCGGCCGAAACCGAACCGTTAGCAGTGTTGAAATAATCATCTGAAATGAATAGAAACAAGTATTGAAATAAAAGCAGTAAGTTTTATAATCAAGACCAAGGTTGGAACTGCATCGTGCAAGAATCATGTTCATACTTATGTTTCTCTGATCATAAAATATGAAAATGTGAAATTCACAAGTTAAATAATATACTAATCAATTGACTGCAAGTTGCTTAGCATTTGTAAACAAGTAGTTAACGTGAATTAACGAGTCTAAATATTGTCTAGCTATTGAACGGCTACAATAAACAGCAAAATGCGTAAACTAAATCAATAAAATTGTCAAAACAAAAATTCTTCTTTGCTTGCCTGCGGCAGTGACTCTTCTAGCCTACATGTCGTTTGCAGTTATAAGGCATCAAAAAGTCAATTCGATGCCCTACAAGCCTTAAAATAGAAGAAATGATTAAACTGACGAATAATTGGGACTTACCGTTCACCTTCTGCCCTCTACCTTTCATATCGTGGAATGCAAGTCGTTTTGAGTGGTGCAGTTATGCAATACTCCGACCAGCATAAAAAAATTCTTCTCAAACCTCGAATCGCCGGGGCAAAACTTGTAGACGTAGAACCCTCAGAATGATTAATGTCATCAGCGTCAGGGATTCTGCTCTTCTGGAGAATTCGTCATTCGAGCTGAGGTCGAATGAAAATAAACATGGCGGCAGGATTACTTCATAACATTCCACTGAATGCCATGGAAACAATTCGCAAGAAAAACAATGCAGCGAAAGATTTCTATTATGTTTTGTATATGCGTGGGATTTTAAGTTGTTTACTTTACTTTTACCCTATCAGACTCAACCAAAAAGATCCGTGGACAGACTCGATCAAAAAGATCCACGACTCTAGGAAAATGTGGGGGCTGGTCCGTTCTAAGATTATCACATCAATTATCTCAAGCAGGGGTGCAAGTTATGGAGGGTGAAGTGAAGTAGCTGAAACGCTCGGTCAAAAATAAGATTAGACTTCCATGGGCGTAGAAGGGGCTCAATATTGGTATTACCCCTATATTGCAAGCCCGTACGCTAGCTAGTATTCTCTCGATCCAGGGTGGCATTGCCACCCCCATGCCACCCCTTGGCTACGGTCCTGCAATATTGTTGCTTCATTGGGCTAGAAATTCAATAAGTTTTGCCTGAATGAGGAGGGGCTGCAACACCCCTATTCCTCTGTGTCTCCAACACCTTTGCTGATTTCTGCTAGCAGTAGGAAAACCTACCTTGGAAGCAATCAATGTCAGATGGGCTGCATCCTCTTGTTAATGCACAAATTGCACTTTTATACTTTTTGCTATTGTTTTTTGGCCCAACCCTTGTTCTATTATATCACTAAACCCCTGCTCCTAGAAATCTACGCCCCTGGTTCAGTCTTTGGATAATCTAAATAGGATCGTTTAGAAATTATGCATGTTTACTAAATTTAACTGTACGAGAGGAGTGTTTTGCCCTTAAAGGGTAGGTGGGGACAATGAATAGAGCGAGTCATCCAATGTGTGGTTCACCATTTTGCGAAGTGCAACAGTCGGGTTTTATCGCGTCCTCAATGTCATTGAGCAATGTCGCTGCGCAAATAATAAACCAAGGCAAGGCCTGCAAACATTCACGCATTTTTAATGTATTAAAGAAGCATAGAAGCAAGCAATCAATGTTTGAAAGAAGCAACTGGCTAGAAACAATTGTCAAATCGGGCTCTCATAGCTCCAAACTGAGTTATTTTCATGTGTTCATCAGCTGATCTTATAAAATATCTTATGTTGTTCCTTGTAATGTAACCTTTATTGTTATTAATGATCGTATCCTAACAACTAACATGACGAATCTTGGAATTTATTGATTTGATGCAGGAATAAAGTTAGACTTGATTTGATTTGATTTGATTTGCCTTGAAAAAGTAACAAACTCTTTCCGAAAAGATTAAAGAGAAACAAGGTACTGTTCCATTTTATTTTCTGATGTGACTTTCAACATTTTGAAACAAAATTATTTATCTCCAAAGCAAGTTAAGAAGCACGCAGCCCAAAAATAAAATCCATTATTGTCAAATCATATAGTAAAAGTTTCTATAATTGAAAATCCATGTTGAAACATGTCAAAATAAGAGCTTATTTAAAATGATTCCAATTTCTATTCATACACTATTTATAAGAACATTGTTTACAGGCATATTCGGGCTCAAAATCATACAATTTTTATAAATATTATAAAACGGTTATTGCACAGCCTCGGCCAAGGACGCCTGCACCAGGGGGGGGCAGCGGCAGTTGCAGTTTTAAGGGGAGTCCAGGGGGTCATGGCCCCACGCGCTTATGGTAGCCGAAAGGGGCCCCACACCTAAAGAAGATAGAAATTGTAAAGAACAAGGGTCTCGCAAATATTTTGGCCCCGGGCCCCGCAGTCTCTAAAACCGTGGCTGGGCAGACGCCCCCTTGCCCTGGCGAATTTGAACATTTTTCTTCGATTTACCCTTTATTTACTATTGTTTTGCCTTTTTTCATTGCACTTTGCCTCCGTCACCCTTGTGCAGACCTCCCTGGCTTCAACTAGCATACTTGTGTCTCTTTTTCAGCATTTGCCTGTTTTGCGATGTTTTTAACAGGGAATCTCAGAACTATGATCTCACTATTCAAAATACATTTAAGAACGGGCGATGTTCCCCTAAAACCATATTCGAAAAGTACTTTAAAAATATATCTAGGCTCAAAATTATCTAATTAAGGGTAGCCATGGAAAACAGACACGCAAACAAACATTTCATTTAAAAGAAAATCTTTCGGGAATGTGCAAATTAGCATGACGTTAGTGACCGAAGGGAACTACTTCAGACACATGACAAATAGTATCCAAAGCAATTTAGCGCTAACAGGTTTAGCAACCAATCAAAAACTTTGCAAGGACACACAGGTCTATCATAGCAAAATCCTCCATTTCCTGTAAAAGAGTTAAGTGTAATCTGGTGAAAACAGAATTACCCTACATTTTCCAGATACAAAAATCGATGAGATAGATCTTAAATTTCCCTTTGTACTTCTTGGTTAATCAGCCAATGACTCTTCCAATACCTTCAAAAAACAGCAATTTTCATATGGTTCCCCTGTGCATAACGCGATGTTTCCAGGAGCCTCTTTATTAAATGCATTTTATGAAGGAACCGCATTCTTATCTGAAAAGGTGGCAAATAACTTAGCCCGTGTGGAGAGTTCAGGGTGGGGGGTGGCAAAGAGAAGTTTAACAGCAGCGTTGCAAAAAAACGAGTGTAGTCTGCAAAGTGTGACTACATTCATTTGTTTATAAGAGACGAGTTCTGGCAATCGGAAAAATCAAGAAACTTCAGTACTCGAAGCAAAAAGAAATTAATGACAATTGAAATTTGGAAAGGCAAGGAATAAGAAATTTCGTGAAAAATCGCCAATATGATGAACTTATTGAATTAGACTTAGGCGTAAAGAATTAGACTATGAAGGCGTAAAAGAGAATAAAGATATACAATACATTCCTTATCTGAGGGAAACTTTATCGGAAGCGAACCTCAACAATTTTTTATTGAAAACAATATAAGTATAAACAATTTTCTTTGTTTACAGCAGCGAAAAAACCCACCACAGGAATTTGAAAAATTTCCTAGCACCAGAAATTATATATACGACCACGAATAAAAGATTTATGACATCATAGTTCAGACACTCCTAGCTTGTGCTCTAGACCCCAAACTTTAAAGTATTTTTGGAAACTCTTAGCATTGAAATTTTCTAAAGCATTAAGAAACTGGAGTACTCAGCGCCGACGTTTGTCTCTTATTAGAAATATTAACTTTAAAATTGGCTTTGAAAATAGGAAATGATGAATCGTATTCAAAAGTTTCATACTAAGTTCATGCCCCGAGGGGTAAAATCTACGAAATCCTTGACGAACATTTCGGCAATCTTCGAATTTTAAAGTTTACGTGTAATGGCTGCAGCGCCTTATTATGGTAAAACATATCGCAATCTTATGATTCGCTGTAGAGAGCACCTGGGAATCAACAAACATGGGCAGGGTGTTAAAACCCCTAGCCCTTCCTCCATTCACGATCATGATCTGTAATACTGGACATGTAGCATATGTTGAAGATTTTTTTATTCCATTCAAAACAACTCCTTTGATCTACTTATTCATGAAAGCCTCCTCATACACCTGGACACAGTGGCTGTGCCAAGGGGTGGTATGGGGGGGAGGTAATTACTGGATTGAAAATCGCTGGGTAGGGGTAGCTCAAATTTCCTAAGAAAAATTAACTTTGTACAAATCACTGAAACGAGGCAAAAGGGGCGTGGTCCCACTGGCCACGGTGGGAATCAAGCATGAAGTTTAGTAAGAATCAAGAAAGGAAACTCAAATCTTTGCCCCTTTTTTACTTTATCATGAAAATATTTTTTGAAATGGAACAAAATAAAACAATAAAAACTTTCTGTGCGTATCTCAACCTAATAAGTAAAAAGTAAAACCTTCGATGAATTTGGAGCCTGGACATTATTCTTGATTTTTTTTCTCAAATTTCAACAATTTCGAGTCTGTCAGTATTGTTAAAGAAAGTATCATATCACAAATGTCTCAAAGTAGGAAATTTCGATTGCTAATTCAAAATAAATTGTGATTTTATTATTTCCCGTTGTTGGGTCCTTCCCCATTTTATATTTTCTTCCTGAAATATCCTCCTGAGGTACTAATTCTATTGCCGATTTTCACTTTTCCCACTCTCTGAGTATTTGAACGGGAGATGGGGCTGGCTGCCCGAGTATTTCTACTCACTCCTTTTGCTGAAAGCAACATTCTAACACAAAGCGCATTCTAACAACAGCTGCAAAAACAACATCTCGCTGAAGTTCTAGGACGTAACAAGGAATGGTGGGATGTTGTTTGGTATTCGTTCTTTGATAGTAGTTTCAAGAAAACGTTTTGTGTCCCAAAGAGAACACTTAGTCAGTTTGTTTCCAAGAAAACACCAAGAACACTTTCTAAGAAAACACAAGAGCTTGTTCTTTTTCTTCGCGAGGTTTCTTGAAAAAAATGGTACCTTGGGTTTCTGGGAAAGAAAATAGATTATGAATTTAGTTCGGGACGCGACAGGCTTGAATTTGAAACCGAGCCGCCCTCCAGTCACAAAGTTCGTAAAAATCTGCCGTACCAAACTGCTTTGACCTTACTCAATAAAATGTGCAGTACTTAAAGTGTTCAAACATCGCACTTTTCATGTACATAATAAGTTCACTTAGAGCGGCGTATGAGAAGTTCGAAGTTTCAACAGGGCCTAAGTTCGGCGGATGAGAAGTTCGAAATTTGAACAGGAACCTACTCTTCATAACGAAATTTTAGATTGAATTGCGCTTTAGTCAACTGTTACATAAACATTATTGCTGTACATTGAATATTGGGAACATTGGTTGAATTTGTATGGAGGTAAAATGAGAGAAAATCAATGGCCTCGCCTGATCTTCTAGACTACGGGGGTGAAGGTTTATCGATAGAAAAATTTACTAAGGGAGACAAATCAAGAAAAAAGGATATAGGTGCTATGTCACCAGCTGATAGATAATTTTACCGACGAAGTAAGTACTTTGTTAGCCTGGGTCTGGATTAGCTCTGGATTATATAAGTTCTAAAAAAGCATTGGCTGAAAAGCATATGCGTTTCACGAATTGTGGTATAATGGCGGAAGAGTAGGGCCTAGCTGTGAGTAGCGGAAAGGCTTAGCTGCGAGAAGCGCAAAGTGCATTTGTGCTAGCCATAGCACATCAAGCAAACAAAGAACAATTTCTGCAGGCTTAGCTCTATCAAAAATTCCAATGTAAAAAGCAACTTGATGGAATGGATTCATCAAATAAAACAACAGGCAGGCTATGGACAGTTTTTTGCGGTACAGAACTTGAAAATGGCTTTGAAAAAAGCAAACATTTTACAGAATATTTGCTAAAAGCTTTTTCGTCTGACCCTCTTCGGAGCATAAAATGTCAGAATAAGGGTCTGAAAGAACAAGATGAAAAATATATACCCAGTTGTGGATCGAATTAGGCCAATCAGAAGAACTCAAGCACAAACCGGTGTAATTGTCTAATCAGTCGCATGCTTAAAGAAAAGTTACCATTGGAGTTCAAGAGAGAAAACGAACTTCTCCTGTCTACATAATGGCGGCTTTTTCGTTTGTATGCTATCAATAGGATTGAAAAACTGACTGGCAGCTTGACATTAGGTAACTGTATTGCTTATAGTTAGTAAATTCTTTAAAGAACTCTAATACCCTCGATTGTTTTGATGCTTAACCGCTTGTCCTGGAGATGGCCCTGAAATCAGTTCAAAAGGGGAGCTAGTAATTGTCTAATCAGTATCGCATGCTTAAAGAAAAGTTACCACTGGAGTTCAAGAGAGAAAACGAACTTCTCCTGTCTACATAATGGCGGCTTTTTCGTTTGTATGCTATCAATAGGATTGAAAAACTGACTGGCAGCTTGACATTAGGTAACTTAATTTGTTGTTGGAGTAAGAATCATTTCTGATGCACGAAACTTTGGCTGTTTTCTATCTTTCCATTTCTTAAGTGCTTTGGTGCTGCAGTGTTTCAAAAGCTAATTGTGACGAAGATATGATTTGTGGACCTCAAATGTATAGAACTGCGTAATAACTTCTCCTGTCTACATAATGGCGGCTTTTTCGTTTGTATGCTATCAATAGGATTGAAAAACTGACTGGCAGCTTGACATTAGGTAACTGTATTGCTTATAGTTTGTAAATTCTTTAAAGAACTCTAATACCCTCGATTGTTTTGATGCTTAACCGCTTGTCCTGGAGATGGCCCTGAAATCAGTTCAAAAGGAACAGTTAAAATACTGATTAACGTCTTTTTACGGACATCTTTTGTCACGAACACCTTCATAAAATGGACTAACAATTTCGACCAAATTTTGGTCTTTTTGAAGGCGCTAAGGAAGTATCTCCGGTCTCAATATTGTCTCTTCGATTAAGGTTCTATTGTAAAAGATGAATTGAAATATCCTCAGGAAAGACACAAAAAACGGTACCCAGGGTAAGAAAACGGAAAATCCATTTTGGATTTTCAAAGCAAAATGTTTTTCTTTCAGTTTTACAACTTGCCTAGTCATAAAGTTTTTAGTCCGATGGCCAACAGTGGACTAGGTATAAGTCCCTCAGTCTAAATTAAGCCTTTGGTGAAGTTTTAAAACTGGGCCTACACTTCATTATATCTAGCACTTCAGTTTACGTCAGGAAACAAAGTTTCAGTTATATAGCTTGCATAGTTACAAAATTTTTGTACAAGACCCAATATAGGATTTGGTACAAGTACCATATAGTTTAAAAATTGCTTTTTGGAATTTTTGAAGCTGCTTGCATCTCATTTTATCCATCAGTATCCATATTTTTAAATGATCAATTAGAGATTATACTCTTGTTAATGATAGCATGCACGAGAAATGCTTCCACTTCTTCGCGCTACTTGTTTCGTATACATACTTATATTGTTTTCTACGTCAAATGTACATTCGCACCATGCACAATCTTGTGATTTCGTACAAATATTGAATTGATATAGTAGATTATTATTCGAATCACAGACTGTCATAGTTTGTTATGTATACAGTAAATTCTTGCCATCTGCTTCTTGTCATCTGGTAATCCCTCGATGTCATTTTCAGTGGCGAAGCCAGAGGGCTGGCTGGTCAGGCTGAGCGATCTGTTTTTTCCATATTGAAATAATAACTCAAAGCACGAAAAATATTCGTTCCTCGCATCCCTCTCTATGATCTTCAGATCTCCGCTATTCTGAGGTGGAGCGCTTCATTTACTGAGCAGTACCTTAATTCCTCGAATAAGCGCCCGGGCGCTTATTTATTTTTTGAGGCTCCAGGGTGGGCGCTTATTCGAGGGGGTGCTTAGTCGAGGGGGGCGCTTACTTAAAAAATAGATTTGGAAGTGACTAAAAAAATGAACAAAACAAACTGTGTTGGTCATTCAATCTTTTTTGGTGAACTGCCTTCCAGTTTTGTTGTCGTCGAAAATTCGAATAAGCGCCCGTTTCTGAAGGTTGAAGGATGGGCACTTATTCGAGGGGTGGGCGCTTATTCGAGGGGAGGCGCTTATTTGAGGGGGCGTTTGTTCGAGGCATTACGGTAGTTCCATTCTGATTTTGATTATGGCCAAGGTCAGGCTCTCAGAAATTCACCTGACCAACGTCACAATTTTCACTAAATGGAGCTAGGTGATTGGCCAGAAATTTCACTTGGACTAATTGTTTGTGACATTTTGGACAGGCTATTTCGGATTGGCCTGACCAATTGTTAAGGAAACAATAAGTTCGATTTTAATCTTTTTTGTCACTGACTTGAAAACAAGGAAATGTCTTACTTCATTGGCTAGGGATACAATGATTTGTGTTTGACAAAAATAATACCTTGTCGAGAAGATGAATTTGGTCAGGCCTGACCTTGTTTTGGAATTCACTTCAATGAGGCGAAGCGTGAGTTAACCATGGTTCAATGTAGTGCTTTGGCCATCACATAAAAACTAAATTTGTAGGAAAATTGTTCCAATTCCCTATGGCTAATTCACCATGAATACATTTTCACAAATTAGAAGATGGCATTTTATTTTTGAGCATGGTCAAAAGAGCGTGGCAAATCCGTATCTGAGTCTGACCGTCCTACCAAACCTGGCTTCACCACTGGTCATTTTGCAGATCATTTCATATTTTGCAGATTGTAGATCCCTTCAATTGTTCACTAAGGTGTGTAAGATTTTGCTCGATAAAGTTTTGGCTTTGATCACATATAAAAAGAAGCCATTGAAAGGAATCCTCTGTATGTTGAATCAATTCAAATGCCAAGAGTGAGCATGTTTTCTGTAGTTTAGCAAATTAAAAACCCATAATAATCTCAGAATTATACAACACTTAGCTTTATGGGTTTGCTTGTTTGTCTATCCTGCCCTGAATACATATCTAAAAGGAAATGCAATCGAAAAAATTCTATTCTGACACCACAATTACCTGCACCTAGAAAACAAATACGCATGATGCTGTAAATTTTGCTTAAAGACCTCTTTCGTATATTGTCAACAGGCAGGTCAGTTTACATTCTATTAGAAGGTTACCTGCATGCTTCTAAAACATCAGAGTTGCGTAAATTTTATCTTGCTGATGCGGCACTTACATAACAATATGGTATTAAGGTCTCCGCAGTTCGCCTCTCTTACATTTGCAGTGACATCAACAACAGGGAAGGATGAAAACAAAAGACAGCTGGTATTGAAATCTACGCTCTATGAATTCTCTTTCTCCTTGCATATACTAACCTCTCTTTAGTAAATTGAAAATACTATTTATTCCTATATCATTGCATCTAGTAAATAGGTGATGTATATTTTCATTCACTCAGCCTATGACTTCTAGGTCTTTCAATTTTGAAGGTATTGTCTAAAGATTTTAAAGAGTTGATATACAATCGGTTGTGCTATAATCAAATATAAAACATCTAACCAAAAGAGGTTTTATAACGTTTTCGGTGATACATGATAACAATATATGCTGAGTCTGAAATTCATCCATATCAAGGATGAGAATTTAATGATGGGAGTTGGTAGCTGGTTCTTTAAACATATTGTGACAAATACCTCTGCCAATAGTGACAAAACGGTCACACACTGATTGACTAGAGTATAATTTATACGCTTTGGTTTACCAAAATTCTGTGCTTAAAGAAGCGAAAAATATGAATACAATGTTAAATGTGGACTGTGTGTTCTGTTCTGTTCTGTTCTGTTCTACTCTGTTCTGTTCCATTCCGTTCCGCTCCGTTCCGTTCCGTTCCGTTTCGTTCCGGTCCGTTCCGTTCCTTCCGTTCTGTTCTGGAAATGAAAACTGATACATGCCTTAACCACCAATAGCAAAAAAGAAAACGTGACATTTGGATCCACTATAATATTAGCTGTGGTTGTTTCAAAGGCATGGCCAGTAAGACAGCACTGTATTCTTTTGCACACTTTTCCCTTTGAAATCAGGGTCTGGTTGTCAGGCTAGTCATGCCTAGATTCCTACTCTTTCTCTCTTCTGATGGTCCAATCGCTGCCGTCTTTTCTGTATAACAGTTTTTAAATATGAATGCAGCAATTCACTTCCAAATTCACTTTTTTTCAGGCAATCAAATTCAAGAGCTTGTTCTCTGCTCGTGTGTTGTGCTGTTCAAATTTTGTCGTTATGGGGAGGGGCTGGTGCAGTGCTTCACTCAAGTGAGTATTCTCTATATTCAGTTTCTTAAACAATTTCGATATGTATGCAAAAAGGCATTTCCAATGTATTTGGATAAAGGAATGGCAACATATATCTTCAAGGAATAGAAATAAAACTACCCTTATTCACTGACTGATCTTTTACTTTTTTTCTTTCAATACTTCAAAGGATTCCTGCAGCCCGGTCACGGAATTATCAAAGAAATATGGTACAACACACCAGAGCTGGAACTCGATGCTTACAGAAAACTTAAAGACTTTCCCGCCTGTCCACATATGGTGCAAAACTTGGATCATTTTGAAGATCCTATGGTCTATATTAGTGCTAAGCAAAAGTTTGTCATTGCAAGGTATAAAGGCTACTTTGTTCCTTCAGAGACGGGAAATCACAGGTAACTTAGTTATTTTATTATTCTTGCGAACTGAATATTGTTGTTCTTCATTTTCCATATGAATGACATACGAAGAAATCTTTAGATGGGATGTGCCTTGCTGGAGAAGAAATCCATTTATCGACGTCAAACCATATTACAAAAATAGCACAATATATTTAGGTAGCTTCATACCTTAATCGCGCCGAAAAAAAAAATTAGAAACGCATCTAGACGTTAAAAGTTTATTATTAGATTTTTCGCTGCCCTTCGGCAGCCTACCCGTATTATTCAAAAAAGCAAACTTTCCTTGATATTAAGATTTATTTCAATCGTATCTATTCACACAAGATTTTTTGCAACTGCTCCCGATATTAAAAAACTTAGGCTTTATGGATGTGAAATAGCCATTAGTTTTATGTTGAAGATCATGACCCAAAAAAGGAAGGTGATATGTTATTAAGCCGAGTTGGCGATAGATTCAAGAAAACATACCCTGTTATTCTCAAATCTGTTTGAGAATCTGATTTGATTAATTTCAAGAATGAAATGTAAGAAACTGGGTTGAGGTTCGCAATTTTGCCCATAAGTGCGCATATATAAACAAAAGTTCATACTCAAAAATGTTCGTCAAACTTCGAAAAACGAGCGCCTCCCCATTTAATAAGGATCCGATACCATAGCCTTTACAAGTACCATTTTGATGTATTCATATCTTCTGTTTACATGCACTAATCAAGTCGAGTTGCTGTATGCAAATTTTGCATCTAAACTAGGCTGAGGCATAAGGTAATTGCATGAAAATATTGCTTTGTGAATAATGGCGGATCAGTAGGGCCTAGCTGTGAGTAGCGCAAAAGCCTAGCTGTGAGTATGGCAAAGTAACGATGATCTTCACGTGTTGCATATTGGCCTGGTATGATAAGAGAGGGGAGGGGGTGATAGGAAACGCTGAATTTAGAGTAGCTGAAGAGGGAAAGTCCCCAAACAGCTACAAAGATTCAGTAGTCTTAATTTGTGTTAGTTTCGTGCATAGGCAAATCAGAAATGAAAATTTAGCAAGCTTTTATCAAAATTTAATTTTTATCTGATTGGCTGCTATAATTTCGACAGTATGTCACTTGCTAACAGATATGGGCTTGCTGGGAGCTTGCAACGTTTCGCTCAAATATTTGTGTAATTTAATTAATAACGTAGCTGAAGAGATCTGTTTTTCGAAGGTTTTACGCAAAATGCAAAGGCATGTGCACGTTTACTATCGAGGCACACCCGTTCGACATGCGGAAGATTCTAGAAGTTCAGCACGCAACGTCGTACAGCTGTTGGGATTGGTAAGTGTACTCGATCAGCTGATTGCTTTCAATGCGGTTTCTTTCAAGTGCCATCAATCATCCAGTAGCAACGAAATTCGTTCAACCGAGGCAATGCCCCGGGGCCCGGGCTCCGAAAAAGGCCCGTGCTGAAAATTTAGGCATATTTTTCTTTCTTAACGATTATGAAGCAAGGTATTTTTTAACGATTATACGCTACAAAGCAAGGTATAAAGCCCATTTTAGCCTTCAAATTCAGAAAAAGGATGTTTCAAGGAACGAAATCAGGGCGTGGCCGGCGGCTGGGGATTGAGTTCAAAGGGTCTAAAGTTGCATTGTACTAATTATGTTAAAATTCTGAATTTATCGGAATTATTTAGAAATATCGGAAATATTCATATTTTCAAATATGTCCACAATAAAATTATGTTCTTCGACCCCCATACAGAAAATTTACTTCAACACTTATGCTGATGGATAAACGAGAAAAAATGACGCATAAATTTGTATTAATTTCTGGGAGTACCTTACTATTCTCATATAACTAATGCTCCATCTTATAAAGGTAAAAACATATCAACTTTGATTTTATTACCGTAATTCCCTGATTTAATCAGTCACAGCTTTAGCACATTGCGGAAAGATTAAGCTACTGGGACTAAAAATAAAAATTTCATACCTGTGCTTGATATCACAGTCCTCAATTTTTGAATTTCCAAGGTTGAAACCTTCTATTTATCCCGCTCATTGATTTGGTTTCTATCAGTTTCCTATATAAAAATAAGTGAATACATCTTTTTACACAAACTCATATCATACGTAGAGGATTTCGGGCTAGAAAAGCTGTCCATGGCTACTGTTTTAGCTTAAAGTTAATGAAGAACAATAAGCACACATTACATTTTCATAAAATTATTCATAGTCATAACGAAAATCTTTGATTAGTGGCAAGGCCGTAGCAACGGGGGGAGGGATTGATGTGTTGGGTGTAACATTCCTTTTTAAAAATCCCTTTTAAAAACGAGGCGTTTTTGCCACTTAGATGCGAAAAACTTCAAACGTTTCCTTTAAAAATAACTGTAAGCAGAAGGAACCTGAACAACCCTACTTTAGAATGATGGCAAGTGACGGTCCTTAGTCTTAAAACTATGCACAGTTATACTGAGTTTTATTTAAGGGTTGTCATTCTCACTAAATTAGTGTGTAGTAGTTGCTATGCTTAGTGTAGTTGGGATCAATTGTGTATGTCTTCAAAACTATCACCATTTAGCGGTCGTCTCTTTCCGGTCTATTCCGTGTTATGGGCTAATAGGCTTTTTATGAAGTTGTGAACTTCTACGTTCTCACGAAATTTGTATCTCTGTCTGACGGATGTGGGCTGCCACCCGCAGCTTAACATACAAATAGTTCTGGCATTTACAAAAAGCCAGTTGTGGTTTGCAGGTCTTTACCTAAGCAACTTCAATCCCCTTACAAACTGGCATTCATATTTATCCGGTCTGCATGGTGCATAAATTTGTTGCAATTAATGGTACAGCAAAATAACATTAACATTCGTTTTCTTAAACAAGGAGACAGCAAAGTTCAGTAGATGCTGATGACCTTGGACAATTAGGGATCACAAACATCTGTAACTTCAACAAAATCTGACATCAAGCCTTCGTTCGTATTGAAGGCAATCGACAGACACTTAAACTATCTTTCAATCAAAAATTGACCAATCAGTGAGCGTGATTCCACTTACACGCTCATTGATTGGTTAATATCGATTGACAGATGCCTTAAGCCACTTATGTCGATTGCCTTTAATAAACTATTGTTTAATACAAATAAAGATTACTAGGACTGGGAGCACTGGGCCTTGTAGCTAGTGCATTAACGATCCCTAATAACATCAAATTTCATAAAGTTTTCTTAAAGAAACATTTTTCAGGAAAAAATAACAGTAGCTAAAAATAGTAAAATGGATTGGACGCCAAGCAAAAGAGACTGTTTGTAATCTGATTTGAAAAGGATCAGAGAGGAACTATATAATGTCTTCAAACAATCTTTTGGTGGTACAAAACTTGAAAATGGCTTTGAAAAAAGTAAACATTTGAGTAAACTAAAGCTTTTTGTCTTACACTCTTCAGAGTTTAAAACGTCAGAACCTAGATCGAAAACTCTACGCTAGGAAATATATATACCCAGTTGTGGATCGAAATAGGCCAATCAGAAACGCGAGCACGTGACTGTTGGTGTTGACCAATCAGTATCTAATATCTTCAAGAGCATTTTCAAAGCAATGTCTAAGCTTGAACTCACACATTTAACATTGAGAATAAATTTCTTTACAAAACCCTTTTTTATCCAACCTCGTAAGTTAATACGATGTTTTTTATTTAACAGCACTGCAAGTCAAAAGTCTCGTGAAATATTTCTCTATAAATCGGTGCGCTATTACGTAGAGTTCATGAGAGTTGGTGATGGGAATAACGACTTTGCAGCTCTGGGAGTAAGAAAACCAAGTGGAATCACTGAAAGACCGATAAAGAGGAGCAGTCTATGGCGAACCTTGTGTGGGTGACATAATCTTTACATTGGCAACTGTTAGGAAAGAGGACCCTATTCTAAAACTCCTTCATGTTATGAAAATGCTTTCTTCAACCCCGTCATCTACTTTACATTAACAAAAATTTTGATGATTTAAGTAAGGGGAAGTAAAATACAGATCAAAAAGCTTAGTTGCATGCAATTTTGTTGAAATTCCCAGCAAACGTCATTCTTTCAAAACCTTTTCCTTATTGGCATTCATGGCGCATCTCCCTTCTCACTGAAGTGTAGCCATGAGAGGGAATGTTCCTACATTGAAATGCAAGCCCGCCGAGAGCTTTTCTGGAACCTGGGACAAAAATGAGACGGGGTAAATGATGACGTCATCAAAGTGATGATTCACGTGATATATGGCGGGTCCTACCTAGTCACCAACAGAAGATGAGATCGCGCTTATGTATGATAAGCTGACGAAGAGTGCCAATAATAAATCGGTGGAAGGAAGGACTGCAAAGCTTGTTTCAGGGGACAAAAGTCCTTGAAACTTATAGGTGATGAAAATTCAACAATGTGAGCAGTTAACCTTAAAATGGTCGTTAAGAGGTAAAAATTTAAGGGTTTACTCCCTACTGAAAACAGAAAAATTATAAGATTCTTTTAGAAAAAAATGTTTCCTGTTTTTCTAACAATTGAACCTTTCTCTTTCTAAAAATGTAACATTTTGCTAGAATTTTTAGCACATTTCCTTTAAAATTCATGATTTGTTATGAGTAACTCAGTGATTTTTCCTTAGAAATTTTATTATTTCGCCTTTATTTATTCAACATTGGTTATTACTGGCCCCGAACCTTGTTAGCCTTACAAACTGTTAATGAATTGAATGCTTTGAGTGAGAGACTCTTATCTTCATTATGACCCTTATCTTCATGCACACTACATCAAACTAAGAATCAAAAAAGGGTTCCTTTATCAGAATTCCTTACCAGAACACTTTTCAGGTGAAGTTTATTCTGAGGTCGATTTGGTAACCATTTGTTTTAATCTGAAGACGATTACATAAATGGCTTTAGTTTCATCGTAATTGACGAAGAAATTATAAGATTTTTTATGAAGAAATTTAAGTCACTTACACACTATGCAACATCTAGGCAATTTAACAATTTCAAGCAATTGCTGTTTAGAATAACCCGATTAGTTTAACAAGAAGACAATTCCTGTACCCCTATGATTCTTTCCTAAAATCAAAGAGTAAGAAAAAAAATCAATTGAACTGAAACACTCTATGGCATAATGCATATCTGAATAATTGAATCTTTGGTTGATCAAGGAATTGCCTTCAGTAAGTGGTATAAAACTATTGTCTTACAAATGTCAATAACACCCCTCCAAATAGCAATTTAAAACTCCTTTTATCAAGGTGCATGTTAATAAGCTAATTTAACGTTAATATATCTTGTTCTTTAACATTTCAAACAGCACTCTACAATTGGCATGGCCTACTTGGAGAATACTACAATATCGCTCCAGGCACAAGACCCGATCTTGGTTCCACCGCAGCGTCACCAAAAGAGGTTCGTTGCCTTTCGAAGACATATGATGACAGGAACCAGCAAAATTTTGGTTTAAGAGCAACAGGATTTTTTCATCCACGAGAAACAGGCATCTATCAAATCTTCTTGTTTTGTCAAGATCGATGTGAATTATATTGCACTATAAATGGTACAGAGGTCAAAGTTGCAGAGCAGTAAGTGGTGATATGATAGCATTGTAAAAGGTGACTGACAGGCAAGAGATGTCAGGCACATTTTTCTTTGTTCACGGGCCCTTGATTCAATTCTGGAATTCCTCATTCAATGGGCCCAGTTTATCTAATCCGATACTTACGAAAAGACAGGGCCTCCAACGAAGGAGGGGCCAGGGGTGCCTTGGCCCCCCACTTTTTTGCGAAACAATAGAGCCTTTTTCAAAATCTTCTGTTATGGGTGTTAAATTTTTCCCTGACCCCCCCCCCCCCCCCCAAAAAAAATTCCAACCTGTGACGGAGCCCATGAAATAACATCTGTCAACTCTGCTCCCTCACTGTGATAACATTTCTACTTTTCATGTAGTTATTGAAGGAATTTTTGACATGGACAAAACATTGGCAAGATGGTTTGTTAAATGTATTCTATTATATATCACTGAGCCATTTACTTATTTAACTGTGTTTAAAATTAAGGTAATATAGTGACCATCGCTGCATCGACGGATATAAAAGTGGCTTAAGTCAACTGTCAATCAATATTAGCCAATCACTGAGCATGAGAGTGGAATCATATTATTGTCCCCCTTTTAGTATCTATTTGTTGCTTCTAAACAACCGCTCTACCATTTACTGAATTCTTCTTCATGAAACAGAGAACGATATTCTCTTACAGAGATGTCTTCAGCAGCTTTCAATCCATGGGAAGGCTCCAAAGCGGAAATAAATATTTTCTGAGAATTAACTACTTTAAAGATGACAAAGGTGGTACAAGGTTCTTCGTCAAGCGAATGCAGGACCTGACTACTTACGAGTTTTTTCAGTCTACAGAGACAAGAACAATAAATTCAGGTTAATTATTTGTTTCAAATAATATTAAGCTTAGTGGAAATTTATCTGCACTTGTGTTGTGTGACTTTGATTAAATCTTTTCAAATAGTTCCAGGACTTTATTTTGGCGAGTATCTTCAAGTAAAGGGCAATCGTTGTATGTTTCTTACAAACAAACAGGGAGACGTTTATTGGAGATCAAGGGAGCATAGCAAGTAAATTTGCAAATTTGACGTGGTTTACTGAAAGCATTCATTCAACTTTTCTTTATTTAATGCATTATGTGACCCAAGAGTGAATCATTCAGGTCGATGGACTTAAGCATCTGTACATAATAAAACTAACATGATTTTAAAACTTAGCAGTTCTTAAGTTTTGTTTATGTAGAAACATGTGTGCCCAACAAAATGTTTAAGACTCGTTCTAGGCTTATTTTTAAAACATTATAGAAATAGGTTGATTATGACTCTACATTTCCATCCGTAGAAAATGAACTCATCCCTGCAGCATCGTATCAAGTTGTCAATTCAACAAGCGTGAACATTACTTGGGGTGTTCCATGGTTTCCTCTGTACAACAATTTCACATTAAAGTTCTACCATATCCGTTTCTCTCCTCTGGACAATCCCACTGACGTTCATGAGAGCAAAATTACAGACCTTGCAATTACTTCAAAAGTATTCTCTGGACTTGGAATATGGACCATTCATGCAGCAAAAGTTTGGTATATTGGAGATGAGTATACGATCAGACCTAAGGATCTCATTTTCAGAACCGGTGAAGGAGGTTTGTAAACAGGTTTTATTGTCCATTTCAACCCTCTCCCAATAATAAAAATACAATGCAATTTCCATGTAGCAAACAAAAGGAGAATGTCAGAGCAAATCATTTCATCGATAGAAGAGTCAGATTTAGTATACCAGTGACCTCCGGCAGAGTCCGCAGAAGTAGGGGGCTGGGAAGGGGGGGGGGGTTAGCCCAAAAATGAATATAGTCAAAATATGCTCAAAACCATACAAAAACCGTTTGATTTTGGTTTAAGCAAGTTTAGCCCAAACACTATTAAGTCCCCAAGCCCATAATATTCTCGGCAGTTCGCAACCATAGAGATAGACTAAAGGAAAGAAACCTAAGATTAAGTAATAATTACTTTTCAAGCTCATCTGTAAACAGAGCTGTATTCGATGTTCGATTACCCTTCTGCTTAAACTTACATTCCTTAAAATAGTTAGCATCGAAGTTTAGATATTCAAAAAATTAAAACTCACCTCTCCTTTGTTTCTTTCAAGTCCCCAGTGCTCCACCATCAAGAATCAACCTACAGGCTAGTACCTCAACATCTATTGTTGTCGCATGGGGACCGATTCCATTCCGCAACCAGCACGGTGCACTAATTGGGTTCATCATCAAATACAGTCTGAAAGGAGAAGGCAATTGGTTAAACGTTACAAGCAACACCATCGTAGTAAGAGAAAAGACTTTAACCGGGCTAAACAAGTACAGGGGGTACGACATTAGAATAGCTGGAATGACGTCAGCAGGTGTTGGAGTTTTCTCCTCAATCTTCACGCAGAGGACGTTGGAAGACGGTAAGGGCTAGGGCTAGACAGAGGAAAAGGGTTTTCTATCTGCTTGAAAATAAGTTGTAAATGTGTCAGGTGCAAGTTGTAAATGCATTACAGTAGAAACCCGCATAAAAGAACCCGTTTTATAAGAACATTGAGGCTGAAATTTAACCTATTAAACCCCACAATTAAGAACCTCCAGGAGGCTGAAATTTGGAAAGGTTCTTATATGTATATTAGAACAAAGGTTTTTTTTAGAGTAAATCAGATTATGGTATGTTGCATTCTAATTGGAAAATCTAACAACACAAATTCATTAGACTGTTAGAAATTTAACATAAAAAAGCTGCTTTAAGTGTGTCCATTAGAATCCTTGCGGTGGAGAACATTGTTAATGTAATACATACTATACAAGGCCTGTACGTATTATAAGAGCCATGTAAGAACCTTTTAGACTGGAATTTAGAATAGCAGCCTGTTAATTAGGAACCTATTCAGGCTGTCAGAAAACACCTAGGTTCTTTTATGCGGGTTTCTACTGTAGTTGTTTTATTTAGCTTGAGTATGCATAACTAGAAGTTGTGCCAACTTTATTTAAAGAATCGGTACTGTGAATTATAGCAATTTGTACAAAAGCTAGACGCATTGCTATATATGATAAAAATGAAAATAAGGACAAAAAAGAAATATGAATATGTGCTTTATCAGTTTTTTTAATGTGTTTTCCATTTAAACCTTGTTCAGTGTGGTAAAGTAAGGAATACATCAATTAGCAGGTACATGCATTTAGGACGGGCTCAAAGGATCTGGGCACAAGTATTGTATAAAAATATCCCAGCAGCTCTTCCAAGACTGTTGATATAGCTTGGTAAAAAGTAGACCAGATGATTAACCCTGCTTTTAGAAAATATAACAGTCAAATATAACAGTTTCCAGCCCTGCTTTTAGAAGAAGAGACGATAGTAGTGATGTCAAGGAAAGGAAATGAAAATGAAAGGGACGAAAATATCGATGATAGATGGTACAAGGTCTAAGGCTGATGCAAAGAATGGGAGGGAGGAATAGGGGCACTGTCTAAATTGGAAAAGGACCGAATTGCCCTTAGAGATAAATTGAGGCATACCCCCTTCTTATGCTGGTCCTAGGATAGTAGATAGTAGATGGTTACCGTGATTCCTAATCATTTGACTTTATTATTTTCTTCCAGCACCAACTTTACCACCCACGAATATATCCGCTCACAATCTAAGTTCAAGAGCTTTGGAGGTTAATTGGGGGACTGTTCCCTTATCAGGCAGAAATGGAATCGTTCGGGTTTATGTAATATACTACAAGCTGAAGGATTCTCCAGAATCAGATTGGCAATACACCAAGGCAAGTGGTTCGGTGAAAACAATAATAATAACTAGCCTTAGGCACTGGTCCATCTACCAAATCAAAGTTGCTGCGAAGACCATAAGAGAAGGTACCAAAAGCGAGGCGGTGATAGCACGAACAGATGAATACGGTATGTAAAAGAACAGGGTTTATGTGTTAAATAGGGGTATCCATGTTCTCTTCGCCGACGAGTCGTCCTTTACTTACGGCCAGGTTTAGAAATTCTCTGGCCTAGATGGCAAAAAACTCCTCATTCTGAAAAGAAATCTTTTCGAAGGGGCTTGTCACAACCTACCCTGGGTACCAGACTCACTATATATAAGATAAAATATTTTATATATAGTGTGTCTGGTACCCACGGTAGTCACAACCCAAACGCCCGACTCGTCCCCCAACATCTACGGTCATTTATAACAGCTTTAGACTTTCTGAGCTGAACTGAATCTTAATTGACAGTAATGGTACTACGGGATTCAGTAGGGATGCATCTGCTTTGGCTTGCTTCTTTAGTCCTAAAATGTTGTCTAAAAAGTATTTGTATTACTAGCTTTAAGTAAAATGGCAAAACGTTTTGATATTCATATGCTACAGAGTTTTAATCAAGGGTAAGATTTCGAAATCTTAGAGAATCTGAACCTCTTGGTTGGCTGCATGAGTCGCAGCTTCAAAAAACGCACCATAGTTTATAAGGTTCTAGTAGCTTTGAATAACAAATGCTAATGTTTCTTATACCAGCACCGTCAGGGTCACCACGCAATGTCACTGGGACAGCTATTGCCTCAGATAGCTTCCATGTTAGCTGGACAGAGATTCCATACAAAGAAACAAATGGTGTCATAATGAAATATTTTGTGACGTACAAAGAGACTGAGGGTTATGCAAGATGGCAGGATGCTTACACTACAAAAATGAATATCCTTATAACTGGTGTAGAAGAATACTTTAATTATACGATCAGAGTGGCTGGAGTGACGTCAAAAGGCATCGGTGTCTTGTCACAGATAATTTACGTCAAAACTAAGCAAGATGGTATGGCTAATCCAGTTTATCTACTTAAACTTTAATAAACCTATAACAAATTGTATGAGAAAACTTATCAAGGGAAGGGAATGGGCCTAGAGACAGTATGAGCAAAGTAATAGCATGATTCACAACTGAATGAACAGGATTGTAGCCACTATTAATCCTGGGCTCGTACCCCCCCCCCCTTCCCTCTTATAAAATCATATCATAATGTTCACAAACAATTTGCCTCCATTTAAGGACCGAGATACCGTGGGGCCGGGGTGGGGGCTTGGTCCCCTAAAAAACTTAAGTATCATAAGAAAATACTTCTTAGAAAATACTAAGAAAAAACTGTAAAATATGGTGGTTTTTCACTTATTTATCAGGGCTGCCCCCCCCCCCCCCCCAACAAAAGGTTGTATCACGGTCTTCACCTCCATCTATTTTAAACTTCTAATAGCATTTATTTTTGACGGAAAGCTTTTGCTCTCTATTCCAGTAATACTAAATAGAGACTACTTAACAGATGTTTTAAAAACTAAACTTTTTGAACCGCTTTCTACAAGTCCCTGTAACAGGGCAGTGAATGAATAGATAGAACGATAGAGAGGTAGGATGCTAAAAAGAATACATTGAAAGACGATATATAGAAATTATTGACTGTTTTCATTGAAGTTCCAAGTGCACCAGCCGAGGCCATCCGTGCAGTAAACACAAGTGCAAATTCACTGTTAGTGTCATGGCAACCCGTGCCATACCGACATCAAAACGGGGTCATATTGGGATACAGTATCGCCTATAGAGCAAACGATACAATGGAATGGAAAAACGCAACTGTGGATGATAATCAAATGAAGACTGTCATTCATGGACTGAGAAACTATACATGGTATGAAATAAAAGTGGCTGGAATCACCAAAATAGGGGTAGGAAAATACAACGCTCCCATTCTTGGAATCACTGACGAAAATGGTACGAATCATTTCAGAACAAAATTTTTGTTTCATTGAAAGAGATCGTATATTAAAAACTGTATGTATCACATATCATATCATACAGCATGTATCATATGTATCATATACGATATATTATATTATGATGTAGGATGTGTGATGTATTATATATGGTAAAATTCTTTGTACATGCATAACCACTTGAGCTACACAACATCAGCAAACTATGTAGACATCAATTGAATCCAACATTGAAGACAAAAATTTTAACAAGAAGCCTTTAAAACAAATTATATTAACCGTTTCTTGATGTTCGCAACTGACGCAGAAAATTAATTAAAAAGACTTTATTTGTCGTGGCTTGTTGAAAAATAGCGTGCAATTTTAGAGGTTTCAGAATTACGTTTCAATAGTCTTTGCATGCATGGATTGGGTACTGTTTACTAGGAATTTCCTTATTTGTAAGAAATTAGAAAGTTTCTAATAATTCAATCAAACTTTCAAGTATATTTAACGAAGCTACTACAGTATTTATTAGAACTTTCTTCAAACATATGAATAATTTAACAATTCTTTTACTGAAACGGGCAAAATTTTGGTAATAGAGACAGGATTGTCCAGTAACATATTAGTTTCCGCTTTGTTTAAAGCTGAAAACTAAGTTTTGAATGGCTTTTTAGGTAGATCTGATAGAAGAACTAAAAGAATATTAACCTAGTACAATAAGCACAAATTAACATGAAAAAGCATTTTACTTCTGTTAAGATGCATCCTACCTTATGCTAGTTAACTATATTTTTAAAGATTCATTTTCCAATCACCTTTCAGTTCCTTCGGCTCCACCATCGAACTTCTGGGGCAATAACGTAACATCCAGAAGTATCATATTATTCTGGAATCAGATCTCTCTGAAAAACAGAAATGGTATCATAAATGGGTATCGAGTCATATATAAAGAGGATTCGGAGGGAATAAATGAATGGCTAGAAACTAGCTTTAGCAGTAATTCAAGGAATGGCACTGTCGATAACTTGAAGATGTTTCAATCGTATTTCCTGAGAATTGCAGGGATTACAAGCAAGGGAGTCGGTGTTTTCAGCAACTCGATCAAAGTCTGGACTGACGAAGATTGTAAGTGTTGCATACAGTAGATCCGTTGATTTGACTGATAAAAAGAACTCAATATAAATAAGACCATTAAGCAAATGCAGTGAAGATGGAGCACAGGGGCTTGCCCTAGCAAAATTAACAATTCCCTTTACTTTTTGATTATTTTGCCATTTCAAAATATCAGGGAAGATTAAATAAAACTATTTGACTTATCAAACTGGCGTAATATAAAGCATCCTGAATTCAATTATTCCAGGTTACCTATATTTGAAAGGAAACATATAAAGCTCTCTAAACAAAATTCAAAAGAGACTCAGGTTTGTTTTTTATATTAAATAGCATTGTTAAGTAAGCATGGACTTCAAAATGTCAGTCATAAGATGATCTGAATGTTATTTCCTTGCAATACTGAGAAAGCTAATTTTACGGACCAATTAATTTTGTGTCTCTATTCATCATTAATGAGCATAGTACTTTTGTAACCCTGTAGATAATATTACTTTTCTCTTACGACTTCATTTTACGATGAAATGAAGAGAAACAAGGTCTACAAAGTTTTCGAAATTTACCATTGCAAACTGAACATGTAACCAGTATTCTATCGTTTGCTCTAGGGAATATGATTTTTATTAAAGAAAGCAATTTATATTTTAGCACCCGAGGGATATCCAATGAATATTTCCGGTTTCGCAAGTACCTCAACAGCATTATCGTTATCATGGAACAGTAAACAGTCTAACGAGAGCAATGGGATCGTAAGTACACAAGAATGTCAAGAATGTAAATTACCGTAATGCCTCGAATAAGCACCCGGGCGCTTATTTAATTTTTGAGGCTCCAGGGTGGGCGCTTATTCGAGGGAGGCGCTTAATCGAGGAGGGTGCTTATTTAAAAAGTAGATTTGGGTGCAAATTGTGTTCTTCATTAATCTTTCTTGTTGAATTGCTTTCCAATTATGTTTACGTTGGAAATTCGAATAAGCGGTTTATTATTCGAGGCACTTATTCGAGGGGTAGGCGCTTATTCGAGGGAGGGGGCGCTTATTCAATAACTTTACCTCTAGGGTTGGCGCTTATTCGAGGGGGGCTCTTATTTGAGGGAGGCGCTTGTTCGGGGCATACCGGTATATATAATAATTCACTTTTGTACCTGACTAGCTCGGTAGCATTACTAATGGCTACGGGAAATAGTATTCTTTAAATAGACGATGTTGAGATGTCAGTTTTGTTACCTAAGATTTTATTATTTCATTGATTGCTTCAAACCATTTCAGTTCTCTAAATCATCAAACTCAAAGATTACAAATTAATAAAAACCCTGAGGATTTTTCAAAATATTTTCTCTGCAACTGCTCTAATCATTTGTAATTCACAAGCATTGCTACTGAAATCCCAGCTAAAGATTTTCGACAATCAAAATTTCTTCTATATTTTCAACTCAATCAACATCGCACACTTTATTTCAGATTAGCCAAACAAAACAATTATTAAATTCAAACATAATAATAATTTCATTAATTTCTTTTAGATTATTGCATACAGCGTATTCTATCAAGTGGTAAAATGTCCTGCAGATATGCCCTCGTGGTGTTCAGAAACTCGAGTTATGAGTACAAAGACAAAGAACAATACAAATCACTTTGTGCTGACCGGGCTGAAGAAATTTGTCGAATATTACGTTTGGATTCGTGTTCTAAACAAAATGGGAACAGGCCCTCCGTCACCCAAGTTTCGAATCAAGACAGCTACAGACAGTAAGATGTCAATCCTCTTCCTCAAGTTATCTAGTTTCCTCAATGCAAAATGCAGCTGTCTAGTTTTTGATAAAAGCAACGTTTCATATGGGCGTCTGCCAAGCATGGCTCTTGCCTTATACTAGGTATTGGGAACAAAATCGACACAAATGCAAACAAACAGGTTTTTGATGGAAAAAATAGGCATTTATGCAAATAGGTAATTTATGCAGAACCCCCGGCAAAGAGCACGTGGTAAGAAGTGGGAAGGAATTGGAGAAGAAGCTAGGACGGAGAGGACGAAAAGATTCTAGAGGAAGGGGAATTTATTTGCTGTCATCGTTTTGTTAGAGCTTTATATCCAACCTTGGAGAAGTTGAAGTATCTTTTTCGAATAGCATCTATGCGAACAAATGCGCCTTAGGAAATTGGTTAAAATGAACAAGAACTCGTTTAACCAGGCTAACATAGGCTTAGCATTTTGTATCGAAGATAACAGAAAGAAAAATTTCTACATGAAAATGATGTTCCTACCAACATTTAATCATTTTGTCACCAGCCTCGTAAAAACCTTAGCTATTAAAAATATAAAATCAAAAATCGATTCAAAGTTACTTTTTAATAAGCAAAAAAAACTCTGTTGAATAATTCGAGAATAAATTTCAATTTCAGTACCTGCCGGAGCACCCAGGATGTTGGAATCTTTCTCACGTGACTTTAACAGCATTAGTCTTTACTGGGATCCAATCAAAGAGTCTGAAAGAAACGGTATCGTTATAGCATATAGAATATTCTATCGACGGCAAGACAAGCAAGTTCTCAAAACCCATCGAGTGGTGCGAGCAGTGAGCGGTTCGGAAAACAACACCGTTGAAGGACTTTTGCCTGGGGAATCGTACAAGGATGTCAAGGGAAATTTTACCACTGCTGTCGTTGACAACCTTGAGCCATACAGATGGTATATCATAAGAGTCGCGGGAATGACCAAGGCTGGGCTAGGGCCTATTTCTGTTGTCAACGCTTCATGTGGACAGGACGGTAAGCGCAGAGCTTATAGATTTTTCTGTTACTTAATACTATTCTGTTAACAAAATACCACTCCAGGCCACCAAATATTAAGATTGTGTTTCAAACCGGTCTAGGTTGTGATATGGGTACTGGCACATTTCGGTTCTCTATAACATTGTCTGTATTTCTCCACAAATTCTGATTCTGGCACTTGAGAGCATTATTGAAAGTGTTTTGAAGATCTGTAGAAGCAATGCGTTACATGCGTTACATGAAACACAATTGACTGCTTTATCATCAGGCCGCGTTCACAACCCAACTTTCAGGAGAAAATCCCCAATCTTTAGTGCATTCCATCTGACTGCCATTATATCATTCAATAACAGCATTGTTGTTAGCTCATTAGTGCCATGGTCCACCGCAGCCGAATCCAAATTTTCATCACCAACATGAAAACTTGGAACAACTTCATAACACTACAATCGAGCATATTCTGCTACAAAAGGAAATATATTCAGCCATTATCTTACAAAATCTATCAATGATATAATTTTCTTCCTTGCAGTTGCCATCATTGGTCCAAGTTTCGAAATCTATGACAGGTATTCATATAGCGAAATTTCAGTGAGTTGGTCCGCAATTGCATCATTCAACCAAACACGAGGGACAGTCTTGGAATACAACGTTAAGTATTGGCCTGTTGAATTCGAGATGAAACCAAGCCTAGAACCAAAGGTGACTTCGCTTATGGTCAAAGTGCCTATGACGTCAGCAAAGTTGACGGGACTAAAGCTGTTTACAAAGTACGCAGTAAAAGTGGCCGCAGTTACACAGACGGGTATAGGAGCGTACACAGATACCCTTTATGGAGGTACTTCTATGTAGCTATATGCAGAAGTTATGTAGTCTAGAACCTTGTTAAAATGATATGAAGGAGAAAATATCCTAGAAAATTCACTGTTTGTCCCTATTCTGAGAGAAACGTTGCTAATAGATGTCTAGTTTGTAAATAGCTGAAATGGATGTTATCGTCATCGTTTTGCTCAAATAGTATTTTTTTCATGCAAAATTCATGGAACATTTTCTGTTAGAGAGAGAATAAATTCAAAATGTGAAGCAGCATACTATTAGTTTTGACAACCTGTTTGTCAATGGAGCGCATAAATCTTGGAACATTTTGTTTCAGAAACATGTAGATGCGAGAAGGAAGTCCATATAGTCAAGAGAATTTTGGTACCTCTAATAACAAAGGAGACAAACGACACATTTACTTTGCTGTTAGATACGGCTGTAAAGTCATGCTGCTCAACGTGTTCTTCGACAAAGACTCAAACTGACTGGGAGATAGATTCGCATGGGGAGGGTATACTCTCCCCTGATGACATTTTCGAGGAGCTGCAGCACGGGAAAGAAGTATATGCACCTCAGCTGCAGGCAATTCATACCTGGTCACATCTTGATCGATCCCATGGCATTGGAAAATTTGTGCCAGTTATTCGGTCACCGGGGATCGCAGTCATTGCTAGAAAAATGTCCGCTGCAGAAAAGGCCAACGAAGGAGCAAAAACGCTTATACGTGGACTAGGCAGATCATATCCCGTTTTTGTGATTGCCTTGTTGGTTCTTGTTCTTTATGGCCATATCCACTGGCTAATAGTGAGTACCGAAGACTCATCATCCAAATACTTCAAATGATTATAGCTATAATTTGGTAGCTTGATGTTACCGTTGTGCTTTCTGGCTAAAATAATAGATTCAAGTGTTAAGCTTAAAGATTTAGCTATATAAGTTTAACTTTGATAAATCATTCAAATTGATAAAAGTTAGAGAAGACAGGGAAAGGTATGGAATAGACTTTCGTTAATCAAAGTTTTCCACAAGAAAATCTTCCAGACTTGAAGTTGCATACCTAAAAGCTTTAATTTTAATGTTTGCATTTTCATGTTTGCTTCGCTTCAGGAACTGAAAACGAGAGAAAATCATCTAGCTGGTGGGTTTTTCAATGGCTTGCATCAAGCTATTTGGTTTGCTTTTCAAAGCCAGTTGACTACCGGGTAAGAAATGTTGAATAATAAGTAAGTATAAAGAAACATTCGTTGGTATGAAAACATAGCTGAATGTAAAATATTTTCTTAATGGAATGAATGGAAAGATATTCCCAGTGGAAGGAATGTAAAAAACGTTCCTAAAATTAATTTCATTAAAGCTTATTACATAATGTGATCTTGAACAAATGCTTAAGTTTTTTATCAAAAAAGCCTACAAAATCTAGTTATTTTAGATTGGATTGACATTTTAACGTTTGACATAAAATCGCTTAGAAACCACAAAAAATTTGTGTGGAATTTACACTTAATCTAACTTGTGAAAAAATATTGATAATACAATGCAAATCATCTTATCCTTCATCCAATATTAGCTAAAAAACCGCTAAAAATGTGACTCACTTTCTAAAACATCTTAATGGAGGCAAAATGGACGAGACTCGTTTTCATTCCTTTACTTCCAAACGAGACTTCATTCCACGGTGAATTCATGCATTCGTCAGTATCTTTGTTACCATTGACAGGTATGGTGACATTGTGCCTTTGACATTCTTTGGGCGGATAGGCGCAGTAGCGTCGATCGTTTTTGGATTGATATGGAAGGCATTGCTCGTATCATCGATTACGGTGACCATTCTGCAGAAGACAGAGGAAAAACCTGGGGTGTTTTCTCTTGTTGGAAAAAAGGTAACGGGGATATCGGTAAATTGCAGACCAAATACGAATAAACATTTGCAAAAGAACAAAATTACATCCCGAAAACCGTCACATTAGACCTTCAGAGGGAAGGACTTAAAGGGGGAAATAAAAATCTTCGTGCATGTTAACCTTTCATCGACAGAATTATTATCCAATGCCATTAGACTTTGAACTTTAACATTGAGACATTACCTACTCCCTTGATATCATATCTTGATGGTAATTCTTCGAGAATATTGAAAATTATGTTTTTACAAAAATCATCTGTGCAGTCAACGTAATTTCTTTGATTTGCTACATTGATATTCGTGTCCAATAGAGTCCTTAATTAATGACGGCAAAAAAAATCGCTTTTTACAACGTCCAGGGGCGGATTCAAGCAATATGGGTTGGGGGGGGGTGTGTTAGACACTAATCTTGGTGCCACACCCTTCAGGTCACTGGTAAATGGTGGAAACGCCCATTCTAAAAATATGGTGTTAACTTCAAGGTAAAGACGATATGAAGCAGTGGCGTAGCCAGGGTTGGAAGATTGGTATTGCAAAGGGGAGAAATTTCTTGCTGACCAGACCCCTAAGAAATCGGGGAAAACACCCATTTGTAAATGCATTTGGAAAAGCTATTGCATTTTTACGTGGCAATTTCCATTTATACAAAGTCATATGTAGTGTTTTTTGGCTGACCAAATTCTACAACTGTCTATATCCTTCACATTTCCACTAATGTTCATATCCTGAAATGTGTAAAGCGAAGAAGTACTACGTGTAAAAAGTGATTTTCAAAAGTTGTTATCGAATATCTAAAAATAACAAACAGTATTCAAAAGATTTAAACCCCGTAGTCTGTTCTCCTAAGAGAAAAATCCACGACAAGCACTTCATAATTCAGGCCGACGACCCCCTTGAAATTAGCTTAAAATCGTTTAAGAAAATTCCTCCCCACCGCTACGCTGCTGATAAGAAGATAAATTCTGATAAGAAGATAAATAAAGTAAAATCGTTTACCTTGTTACTACTGAGTACCAACGAATTATTTTTACTGAATGAAATAACATTTACCGAAGGACACAAAAATATTGGAGAGGGGGGGGGGGGTGTCGCACCCTCATATCCTCTTCTAAATCCCCGCTGATGACGTCACATTTAATAATTCTATCGGCTTGGAAGAGTAAGTTAGCCATCAACCAATTACTTAAATATGACCCCCCCCCCCCCTTTATGATTTTGTCTGGTAATCGTATCAAGCACAAATCTCGGGGCAGCAACTCAAAACTGTCCTATCCTATACACTGAAAGCGTGTACAGCGCTGCCAAATACTGGACACTGTATCATATAGATGTCAAGAAGTATGGACCCTATTTTCCACAGAAATAACCCCACGCTCAAATATAAAAACCTTTAAAGCAAGTATAAACTATACTAGTATGTCTGCGAATTCTGACTCATGCCGTATTTGTTAACCATTTATATGACAAGTGGGCTATATAAAATGACAGGGAACCTACTGTACATTGATGCATCTTATTGTTGCGTTGTTAACTTCGCTTATTGTTAATACATTTAGTTGGCTTTAATTAAGAAAAAAACCGGCAAAATGTTATTTCATTTTGTCCTATTTAGGTCAGTGTTACCAACGATACACAGCAGTTTGCGTTCAGGAGTGGTGCTACAATTTCAAATGGTAGGAAGATTTTCCTTTCTTTTAAAACTACATTCCGTTATGATAATATAGTTCTAACTCTTGATAAACTAAAGAAACATGTTTATCAACTGGGACATAAACCGTTACGTAAAGCAAACAAGGAATAAAATAATGGTCATGATACTATTTTCTTTCAGTTTTCTCTTACAAAAAGTACATGAAGGCGATCGACACGGTACTGGATGGGAGTGTCGATATGGCTTTGATTGACGGGCTGTCAATCATAGCGAATGACAAGATAGTGAATAATGACAAATTGGTTATAAAGGATATCAAAGACGAAAATCAGTTTTATGGAGTTGTTGTCAGTGGAAAGGCAGAGAGACTGGCAAACTGTATAAATATGTATATGAGAAGTAACAAGCAAGAAATTGATCGTAAAATGGGGATAAACTTTCATCGATTGTGGAAGGTAGGAAGATAATTTCAAAAACGTGATGAATTAAAGACATTCTTCAATTGGCAACGTGAGCAGACATAAACCTCACTTAATTGTTTACTTTGGTATCAAGTCAAAATTTCTGCAAAAGTAGCTGCCCTAAAAACAAAATGTGTTGGTAGAGATCAATCTCATAAATGTTATGGGAAAGAAAAGAAATAATAAGTTACTTTGTTTAGATAGCAAGCATATTTTTAAGGAAATTTATATCAACAAAGGATCTATTGCAAAGGTTGGTCTACATTAGTAAACTGTAATCAATATCAGGCCTACTCGGAATCGAAGCCTATTCCAGAGTGAGCTAATTATGAGAATATCAGCTATCCGAAGATACTTTGTAATGAAAATCTCCTTTTTACAGGTTGTAAAAAGTCAAGCCACAAACGAAAAAGTTTCTTATATTCTCAGTAAAGATTCAACAGCTTTCAAAATTTCCGTCATAACATTAATGGTCGTCTTGGTTTTTGCTATCATCTGCTCTTTAATTTACGAGAACCGCAGGAGGAAAACAATTTTTGCAAGTATGTTGGCTTTTGGTCATGTTATAGCATAATATCTTCATGCAAGTAGTCTATTTCTTGGGTTATGATTATAGAGTAAGGATGTGTGTTAGAATATATGAAATGATCGATCGAGTTAAAATACGCAATAAACTGTGGGTAGTATGAAGATCCCTGTCTCTGACACGTAGAATAAAGTTACGCGTCATACTAACTTAGAAAACGCCTTCGATTGTGTGAAAATGCCTCCTAGTGTTGATATCGAAGTAGCTAGGGCCTAGCTACTAGGCAGTTCAGGGGCGGTGCATATCTATGAGGGACTGTGTGATAAAACCAAGATTTGGTCAGAGATATGGAATTCGTCTTCTGTCTGTACAATAACAAAAAGAAGCATAGATGTGATATGGAGGAAGGGAAGGCAGTGAGGATAGAGCTGGCTTATATGTTTTATTCTAACCAAGACCATGTCAAGTTTACTCTCTTTCTCTTACCAATGTATCGTAGATCAGATGTAATTACACGTCTTGGCTGATTCCTTAGGATTCATGCAAACAGGCAATTTCACCTACTGAACTTATTTCTGATTTTCACTCGTCATTGTAGACCTAGTTTTTATTTTTGTGCATTGTAAAAGAAATGTTCATGGCTGCATGAAGTAGAGCAACATGTAATGCGATAAAAATTTAATAGAAAGATGAATCTTATTTTTATCTTTTTACAGAAATCGGTCCACTAAGGTCAAGCCCAAACAAAAACGGCGAGGACAAACTTATCCAAGTTGATGAGTTTATAAAAAAGATTCACGTAATGACGGAAGAACTGGAATTAAAACATGCAAAGCAGATAATTGAACTTTCGAATAAAAACTATGCCGTGAATATAGTGCCAGATATAATCGAACTGTTTGGCAATGCCGATTATGAGGAAGATATCAGAAAACACAAGCACACAGTTAGCCTTGGACTTCCAAAGCCAACAGTGGCTGGTTCTAGAGTAAGCCTTTCTATTGTCAATGAGAAAGAAGAAGAAGTTTGAAAGGACCTAGAAAATGACGGACAGACCACAAGCCAGTTTTGGTTAACGCTAGATTAAGATGGCAGACGTACCAAACAACAAATGATATAACAGTCAGAGATTGCAGGAGATTGGTTCATGGGGCACTCCAAGGTAATGGTAACATCGCTGGATGGGAGTTAGTTTGGTACATCACTGTTAAAAAGTAGTTTGAGATCTAGATATTGTAGTAATGATATTTTTCTTAGTTGTAACTTTTCTTGTTCGAAAGATTAATCACAGATTCGCACCTTTGCAATATAAAAGAGGAATCGAAAAAATTATTTTTTGATTGCAGCAAGAAATATGCTAAAACAAAAGAAGAAAGAAAATAGAATAATAAAGAGTAGCTTGTACAATGAATTATATGAAGATCTTCGTTGTGACAAGTGGTTTCTTAAAAGATAAGGTGCTTTAATGAAATATATTTACTTTAAAAAACTATTGACAAAAGATTAAAATTGTGTAGTTTCTCAATGAGGTTCTGTCACATTACAGCCCTTGTTTGCCCAAGAAGGGTAACGACTGCCTTCTAATACCTTATTAGTGCATTGCACTCAGTTGCCATGCTACCATTTCCCGTTGCTTTGGTGTACAACAGTCTAAATTCAACTGTCAACACCATATCGACGACAAAATATACAGATCGATTGCTTGATGATGAAAAGAGACTCGTCTGAAGTCATTGTGCCAGGACCAAACACTCCAATTAAATTCTTGAAAGTGCAGGTTCAGTTGCATTTGTACAATGTCTGATGACATAGCAGGAATCATAATTGAGAAATCCAGAAAAAAATAACTGGCAGCTTAAGCCAGAATGCAAAGGTACAATAAAAGCACCGAATTGTCCCAAAACATCTCACTCAGCTCCAAGGAAATTTGAAAGCCATTTCCAAAATCTTTGCAGTTGATGCTTCTTGTCCATACCCAAGACGTATTTACTTTCTACTTCTGCACTGTGAACCACATCTGGACACAGAGTTCGGCGGCCTCATCGTCCAAAGTTGTGACTCTCGGACAGCAAGAAATCTAGAGCACGTGCATGAAACATTTTAATGATCAACTAAAAATCGATCAGCAGTGGCGGACACCAGGGGGTGGGGGAGGTGGCTTGCCCCCCAGTATTTGACCCGATGTTCGCCCCTGCCGCTCAGTCAATTTGTTGATCACTACAAACAAAACTAATTTTGATTTTGCTTAGGCGAATTTATGCTAGAAGTCTGAGATTTTCATCGCGATTCACTGTTTACGATACTTTTTTGCAACTAAACATGGATGGCAAAGGCTAATTTCGAAATTCAGGGGCTATAGATTCGCTGAGAAAACATATCTAATGAAATTAAAAAAGAAAAGAAAACAGAAATTGATTTTGACCAAAACTGCTGGAAATGAAATCATTTTCTTGTTTTTCCTCAAGCAAGTTAGAATAAATATATAATCAAAATTAAAATGCTACATTCACTAGTCAAATTTGCTACAAAAATTAAAACAATAGTTAATTCTTTGAAAATGACCCACTTCAATTCATACATACTAAATTCCCTAAGCCTTGCAGGCAAGTTCCCTCTTCTCAATCATTTTAGCCAGCATAAGAAACTGCTTGAACACCACGCACTCCGACATTTTTGATGCGGAAGACAAACCCAGCCTCAGGTTGTTGCTTCAGTTCTTCTTCAGAAAGTGAGCTATAAAAAGGTAATTGAAAATTATACTACTTATAACAAAGAAACGTAGGAAAAAAAGTAGGTCGTGCAGTTAAAAAGAGGGCTACAGCAGCTATTAGTAGCAGAAGGTTTTCTTTCCACTTTTTCGCTAAGTCCAATAAAAGCATTGGGCTAGCTTGGAAGAGCAGTTTATCTTCGTTCAGCGGACATCAGGCTATGAAAAATATGTTTACATGCAGCGAATGTAATAGTATATTTGAGACAAACTCCAATTTGTTATCACAATCATCTGGGGGCGGTAAAGCTGTATTAAATGGATAATGTAATCGATCGAAATCTCAGAGTCCAAATAATAAATTCATACTCAGTTACCTTGCACTTGTTACAATTAGCTGGTCAAGATTGGGTCCGGCAAAGCAACACGACGTCGTTTGTTTTACAGGCAACAGAATCTCAGACAACTTCTCACCAGTGTTTGGGTTGCAACGTATAACCTTAAAAATCACAGGGAACAATATTAAAGTACAAAGAAAATATAAAATTGTATATTTCTCTGAAGATTGCAGTATGTGAAAAGTTATGAAAAACCAGATGACTTCATGATTAGTACTGGCACAAAAACGTCATTGGTGTCCAGGAAATGAGCCTCTTTCGCGTGCTATGTATATCAAGTTTAGTTTTTCTGTATGATCAACGATATTAGCTTTCTGATTTTAACTGCACGCAAAAACGGCGAAACAAAAAATGTATTCAAAACAAATAAATAATCACAAAATTACTTATCAAGCATCTCTCGTTTGGAAACATTTTTGTGCTTAATTTGATTCCAATTCAACTGATATATTTGCTGATCGCCGAATGTTAAATACAGAAAAGGAGAATTACCTTTCCTCCATTGAACAAGGCTATCCAAAGCATTCCTTCCTCATCAATGCACATCCCATCCGTGATCTAAAATAAATGGGATTAACTTCACGCATTCACAATCACCAGCAAAACATATAATTACTCTCTGTTTATAAAAAAAATTTTAAAAGAACCAATCGCCAAAAATGTTTCAAAATTAGGAACAAGACAAGCACAAGCCGAGGCTGAGTCACTGTAAAATGTAAGAATCTAAGAACATTTGTTATTTAGAATATTTCTATCAGGACAGGAAAAATCTACGTATGCAATTAAAATAACAATTCCTTAACGATACCCGTTAAATTTTCTTTTGCAGTAAAATATCATCTCTTATCTAAATTCCTTCGACTCACACCCTAATGATTCAAGAACAAAGTAAGAATTATCCAGTCTCAATCAAGAATTATCAGCTTAAGGGTATTGTACGAAGGAGCACTTGACTCTGTTCGATTACCACACATTAACAAAGGCCTCAAGTTTAAAATTGATGAAAACATTGTAGGCTTCTCGATATGTCATGTGATCGAGAAATACATCAACTTACGTGGGCAAAATCTTCAAATTTCTTTACATCGATGGCTGTTCTGCGGTTTTTTATCTCTCCAGTGGCAACATCATAGTCAAATGCATCAACTTTTCTACAAAAATACGAAATATTGCTAAATCTTTAATAATTTAGAACGGATAAATTTTATTCTATAAATAAAGTTGGCTTTCTGCTCCAGTTGGACATTATCCGAAGTTTTTACTCTGCCGAGTATAGGACGAAAAGTACTTTAGTATGATATATTTACGTTCTGCCGTGCTACTTTTAAAAGTTAGTTTCCTCCAAGAAACTTCAAACATTCCAGTATCTCATGATCAAGTTAAATTTGACGAATAAGGATTTTTTAAGGCAGTTAAAGCAAAGTAATTTAAACTCACTTTTGCCCTACAACCAAGAATGTAACAGAAAATGAGCGGTGCAACTACTAGGAGGCCACTTTTGACCAAACCGATTATCAATGTAAATACTTCATAAAGATTATCTTGCCAAAATTCGATTAAACGTTCGACGTTGCTAAAACGAGGAACAAGCGGAACAACCTAGTAACAAGCGGAACAACCCAGTAACAAGCGGAACAACCCAGTAACAACCCAGTAACAAGCGGAACAACCCAGGAACAAGCAGAACAACCCAGTAACAAGCGGAAATGTGAATTAATTGTTTAGTAAATACCACATGGGGGCGTTTATAACCCAACTCTCTGAAGTTCGTGTGGGCTAGAACTATCAAGAGGCCGTCAATCATGTCTTCATCAGTTTCGGAGGCTTTGTGATTTTGCCAACGGACAGAGAGAATCTATCGACCCCGGATCGGGACGAAAAATAAATAGTAAAGCATGCCTAAAGGGGTATGGGGAATGCTCCCCCAGAAATTTTTTGAAAATGGTGGCTGCTCTGGTGGCTATTTTGGTTGCTAAAATAGCTATGCTGGGTAAACTGCTCTGGCGGCAGTGGCTAAGATAGAGGGAATCAGAGGGGGGCAACAAAAAGCTGTAGAGCTAGACCGAGGGGCAATTCACTCTTGAAAATTGCGTACAAGATTTTACCAAAACAAAAGGATTTCTAGGGATTTTCAGGTAAAGCAATAGGATTTTTATAAAAGGTGTACAAGATTTTCTTGGAGTGATTCGCCCGTCGAGCTAGACTCCTATTTTGTCGGAAAACCTCTGGTCTTCTGGAAATTTTCTATGTTTATCTACTTGCCATGTTTTATAGGAAAGAATTTAAAGTTAAATGAAAATAAGAATATCTGAATATGTCAAAATATTTATTTATTTCAGTTCTGATGTCGTTATATTTTGTGTACTTAGATATGATTGTATTTAGAGTGTATTATGGCTCTTCAACTAATTTTATTTAGATAAATGAATTTTTTTATGATGATGATGGAAACGCCAAACATCGGTTGCGTGTTTGTCACCCTACCATCAAAATTTCACGATATTGCGCCATTAAATCGCCTGGGGAGAAAAATGACATTGATGTGCCTACAAGAAAAATCATGCCCTGTCGTGGGATAAAAGTCGGAAAATCCAGGAACCAGGAAACTGATGGTTTGCCTAGAATCATTTTTACTGAGGCGGAAAGTTAACCTCTTCTTTTATCCAAATTATAAGTTGTAAGAGGTTGCCCATTGTATTCCTTCCCATGCAGTACATTGTTATAAAGGAAACATACTACAGTAAGACAATTATTGGTGGGGCTTCAGAAACCCCCCCCCTGCCCCCCGGCTCCGACGGGCCTGAAAAATGTGATTGCAACAGGGCTACATGTACAGATTTACACTATGGCATGCACATCTATTTGCAACAGTGTGTCTGTTGTGATCGAATGTATACGCATGCTTTACTATTTAATTTTCGTCCCGATCCGGGGTCGATAGATTTTCTCTGTCCGTTGGCAAAATCACAAAGCCTCCGAAACAGACGAAGACATGATTGACGGCCTCTTGATAGTTCTAGCCCACACGAACTTCAGAGAGTTGGATTATAAACGCCCCCATGTGGTATTTACTAAACAATAATTCACATTTCCGCTTGTTTCTGGGTTGTTCTGCTTGTTCCTTGGTTGTTCCGCTTGTTACTGGGTTGTTACTGGGTTGTTCCGCTTGTTACTGGGTTGTTCCGCTTGTTCCTCGTTTTAGCAACGTCGAATAAACGTTGCAAAAGCAGAGAAAAATTTTAAAATAGCATGCAAAAGCTAAAACACACTTTACTGAAGTATATGACATTGCAAATCAAAGAATTGTAATACATTTTTAACATAAATACCTTGGCAAGGAATCAATGTAATAAAATGTCTTTTGATCAAGGCTCCAGGCCAGACCATTTGCAATGTTGACCTGAGAGAAAATAACATTCACGAACATCATATCTGAAAGTAACACACACACATAACATGGTTTTTTGTACTATGACGCATTGTACCATTTGCAATGTACATTCTAGTATCTTAGCTAGCTAATTCAAAGTCCTTCTTGATTAAATCAGAAATCAGAAAGCATGAATTTCTATATAAAGAAAAGTAACAAAGAAATTTTTTCTCAATACAGAAGTTATCATACCTTATCAAATTTCTTTGAAATCTTTCGGTCTTTGTCTAAACAAAACTGAAATGATAAAAAGGGTAGGTGTCAACCCTATTAATCAAAACACAAAGAATAGTTTCATGTTTAGCATTCTTGAATTACTCAATTCACTGTAGGGATATATTTAATCGAAATCTGCATGTTGTCAAAAATTTGTGACATTATATGGCTCAAGTTCTGAAAATAGAGACTGACTGAATCTAGAAAGAAATACATCACATAATCAATGTAGTCATTTAATCAAAAATAAAATAAGTTATTCACTAAAATCAATGTAGTATTCCAACAAATAGGCCTTAATCTTATTCCAGCAATACACAAAGTTTACACTTGTTTAACGAGTTGAGAACCTCAAGGACCTCTTCATTGATAGCATATCCTATATTTAAAAGTGCAATCACGATGCTGTATACAGACCACTGATCCTTTCTCTGGATCCACATTGCCAGGAGAGGCTTCTGGGCCCATGGTTCCTGTTTCATAGAAAGATGAAGTTAAGCACCAGGTAAAAAAGAGAAGATAAGGAAAAACGGGAACATTTTATGTATCTGAAAATTAGCTTTCACAAATTCAATTACTTCATCATGCACTTCTTCATCTTTTAATTAGTTTGTTTATTTGATGAATTACAACATTCATTAATTTGCTAATTTATTCAATCTAACTTCTCATTTATTTATAGACTTATTTGTTTGTCACTCATCGATTCCTATCTTTATCAATACATTCCTAATGTCATAGCACAAAAAGGATTTTTATCCTATGTGTTTAGATTCAGAACACTTAAATGAAAGGACGATGTTCTAACGAATATAGGAAAATAAAAGAAATCAATCCAAAGAAAGAGCATGCAGTAGTGTTTGAGCAATTCCTCTATATAGATTTATAGGTTTTAATGTATAGGTTTGATAAATAGGTTTTTGCAAAATTCAGGAAAACTTTATGGACAATCAAGGAAATTAAATGTCCATGTAGAAAGTAGATAGGTATCATACCTGCCCACAACCTTCCAACCTGTTTAAATAAAGGAAAATGATTAAAATATCACTCCAGTGTTGACTACAGGTGTTATCAAGGTTGTAACTGGTAACAACTTAAAATTGGAAATTTATAATTAATCAAATCTCTTATTTTCAAATAAAAAAATTAACTCTTCTGGGGACTAATGATTTCCGGACAGAAGATTTTGTCTAGCATATTATATAGTCATTGCATAAATTGCTTTCTTTCTGTTGCTGGATCTGAATACTTGAGCTCATGAAACCATCAAGTAATTCATATCTAAAAGCGATTGGTAATTAGGATAATAAAGGCTGGTTAAAAAATGAGATAATAACAGGCCCTTCTGTTGCTATTTCATAAATTTATAGCACTCATTTTGCTTATCGGACTGAAAAAGTGCAACCCCAAATCATGGCATAGAAAATTGATCAAAAGTGCTGGCTTCTATTAATGTTGATGATTTCAACAATGCATAGATTTCCTTAGAGTCTATTCATTTTGAATAAATAAACATTAATTCATAGTAGTAATAAAATGAATGCATACTGGATCACACTTGGCATCATTCAATATATTTTCAGTGCCCTCATCTAAAAATTAAATGAATCTCTTTTAATTTCATACTTAATGATAATAAATTCACAAAATTCTGTTAGCTATAAGTACTTCATACATGCATAGGTTGAGTTTATCATCATAGATACAATTGAACCTCTTTGGGATATTTTTTCTTAATTCTAGTGAACTTAACTGCTTGCAATTTTCTGTTGAAGCAGCAGGGGCAAAAACCTGGTCAAATATTGTCTTGTATTTTCTGAAATATTTGTCTGAAATTGCTTAATATCTGAAGTAGCAAGCCTATTGTTTGAAAAGATGATGTCAAATTTTCCGGTTGTTTTAGAGCAAAAGACCACTGTTCTCAAAAATATTGGGGGGGGGGGTGCCCAGCCCTTTGCCCTCCAGGTGTCTACCACTGACAAGCAGTAGCTGCCACTACAGATATTTAGCAATTTCAGACAAATATTTGAAAAAACCTATTAACCTTGTGTATACATGTGTTCTGTACATTTAATCCTAGCTCTTTATATATTACAAAACTGAATGATCAAAATGAGACGTAACAGCTTACAGAAATCGACAATTTACAGCAAATACCTTTTGGAGTAAAACATACCAACTATGGCAATAATTTCTCTCTGTTTTGTCTGAAAAAGGAATGCAATGCACCCATCAGTTTGTTTCTTTTGTTAGGAAAATCAGCTTTTCTTGAAAAATCAATTTTAAAGAGTTTCAAAGGAAGTGATCAACAAATCCTCAAACACACATAAGGAAAATAAGATACATGTAAATATGAATGGAGGCTGAAGACAATGCTAAAAATTTCTGTGCTTTATGCTTTATCACCTTGGCAGTAAAGATATATACCCTATCACTGTGTAACATCAATGGTGGTATGCTTTTGGCACCTTTTTATGTAGTTATTCTTTATATAATAAAGTTGCTTTTTGTAGTGGAAACAATTACTGAATTTTTCTTTACTATGTGCTGACAGAATGGGCTTAGAATTTTTAGCTCCCAGTGTCAGTAACAACTAGTGCAGAATCATGGGGCACCAAAATTCAGTTGTTTGTTGCTATAAAAATTTAAAAGATACTGTGCACTTATTCATGGTCAGGTCAGTTCAATAACAAAGAAAGGAGCCCTCATAATCAGTCTTTGTAATATGAAAAAAGGCTGCATGCAACTTTTCACATGTCTTGATAACTTTGCCTGTGCGACATCAGAAGATTTCTTAAAAAGCTTCTAGGAAGAAAAGACAAGTGTCTTGCTTTTTGATTGGGCTACTTTAACAATAATGTGACAATCATCAAATATGCAACTACATTGGGAGGCTATTGATAAATCTCGTATGGAAATACTTTGACACCTTGGAAACTGATAGAACTGCCTTTGGTGACTTTGCCTTCCTGCTGCTTTAAAAATCTTTGAAACAAATTTTGCCTTTTGCAAGTGCAATGTTTCACATGCCTCAGAAAACTTGGGTTTAGAGTGGGGGCATGCACCTGCGTTTGCATGTCTCATAATGCAAAGACTGCATAATTAGATGTTACCAGCTATAAATGACCTTTCTCATTCTTTTGAGTGGAAATTTGCTGATCAGTATTTGTCTCAGGGCACTGGGGGTAAAACTCATCACCAGGATAATCAAAGCCTTGCAAAGCTAGGTTGGGCAGACATAGGAAAGGAAAAGTTCTTGGAAGAATTTGGACCAGTGAAAGATTGGGCCTGATGCTGCAAGTGCTTGCTCTGCTCATGGCTTTGTTGTTCTGCATTTTACTGGGCTGTTCCACTCATTACTTGGTTGTTCCTCCTCTTAGAAATGGTGAGTATAAAAAGGGCCAATTATTTGGCCTATTTAACTTCAGGGCAAATGTTTTCTTTTTATATCTGTGCCTATTTCAAGAATGGGCCTGATGCTGTAGCACAAACAGCACCTACCTTAATCCTGCCCTGAGGATACTCTACCCGCTCTACAGAGGGATCTTCTACAACAAGGTTTGCTTTTTTAAGGCACATGCCCTCTTGATTTTGAAGAAGCTTTTTGAGAAGGAGTAAAAGCCAGAAGTTACAATTCCGTATCATGTTACCTCTAGATTAAGAATTTCCAGATTTTGTCCATGGCAAATGACAACTTCATCTTTATTTGAGGCCCTTGGTACAACTATAACAAAGAAAAAGCACCAAATAATCAAAGATCAACTGATGAGATTGCAGTGATTTAGCAATTGAAGAATGGAGTGAAGAAGTTGAGTCAATTTCCAACATGCAGACAAGCAAGAGGGATGATTTGCTTAAAAGGAAACAATACTTTACAATGCTGTTAGTTCTTAATCAAATATATTGGTTAATCCATGCTTTTTAACTGGTTGTTACAAAATTAAATTTGCACCATTAATATTTATTGAAAGGGCACTGTTAAGTGTCGCTATTTACAATGATAATAATGCATTCATTTCATATTTGACATACTTGACAATGTAACCAAACTTAGCTTATTGTGTACTAGCAATCATAAACTTATATGTTGAAAGTATATAACTATATCCATGAATAACTTACTTTTAGATAACTAATTACTGAATACAGTTTCTTTCATTAGGCAAAAATAAATTAATCATAACACTAATACAAAAACAGAAAGTTTTCATACCTGCTGAGACTGTATCAGGCATGCCATCAACTCTTTTTGCCTTTAATATTTTGAGAAGTGATATTAGTTCTTACTGGTATTTCAAGTCCAAAACAGAAAGGAAAAAGGATGATGGTCAGTGTTTGTTTTAAAGTGAGGCAGCACAAGTTTGCATTCTTTAGTTTGTTCTTTTCTTTAAAAAACTTTTTCCTTGTTTTAACATAACCTTTGCTTAATTGAAGTAGTTTTCTTTCTTTGCTAAACAATCCCAATGATACTGGGAATTTCAAAACTGTCTGCAGTCTGCAGTGTATGTAAAATGCATAAATAAGTGTTGCATAATGTTGCAAATAAATGTTACCAGGGGAAAACCAAAATCTCTCTTAGGCCTGGAATAACAGAGAGCTGACCACTCTCCTTCCTGTCAGGGATTCATAACACAGACACTTAGATCTGTAAGCAGGGCCGAAAATCTGTCATGTGAATTGGGGGGGTCAGCAGAGCAAATGAATATAAAGCATGGAGTGAGTCATGGCACCACGAGCAATTATGGTATGTGTGTATGGAAACAGTTGATGGGGCAAATGACTTTAAAAACAAAGTCAATTTTTTTGGATTTCTCAAGACTTTCTGCTCTGTAGAAGGTATTTACAGATATTCCTTAGTACATTGACTTTTGTGTGTATAATTGGATGGATAAAATTTTTCAGAGACAACCCCAAGAATTGAACATTGGGAGTTGAGAATCAAGTCTAGAGGCATAGGAGGACCCACCATGGTTGGGTCCGACGGAGAAGGAAATTTTTGAAATTATACCTTCTAGAAAGGCTAAAAAAGCATCCCCAGACATTATAAATTTCATAAAATACTAGATCACCCAAGATAGAAAATTCGACGTTTCTCAGAAGAACACAGATTATTGTTTACTGGGTGAAATTGTGGAGGGGAAGAGTCGTGCTTAAACTTTAGTGACAGACATTGGGGAAATATGGGACGCTGTTGTATTGATTGGTTGAAATTTACTTCCTGAACAGAAATATCTTATTTTAAGTGCTTTAAGTAGGTCATGTTTACACATAAAAAATGAATACATTGTAATGATACAGAAAATGATTTACTAAATAAAAGCAAATAATAGACAAATAATAGAAATATACGTAAATAAGTTAGTAAATAGGTCAAAAAAAATGACAGTTTGCTCTTTTTTATTTCATAATCTGTTATCAAAAATAAAACGGTTGAAAACGGTAAAAAACAGCAATAACTTTTATCTTGTAAAAATGATAAAAACTAACTCTGCTTGCAAAAATAACGGCCATCAGTAAAAGTCAACTTACACTTGACACTATGACTTAGGTTTTTTGCAATAACACAGAAAAACGTAGTTTGGTTCTAACCCAGCTACTAGGGATTTCTTTCTTTCAATGAAAATGATGGTAATTTCTATAAAAAATCGTCTTGTTCCAAATTTTTTGGGGGGGGGGTCCAGTTCCCCCCCCCCCCCCCCCCCCCCGTGATTTACGGCCCTGTCTGTAAGAGACCCTAAACTCGCATATAAATCTGGTTATATGCTGAATCTTAAGTTATTTAATCAACTACTGGAAATGACTATTTGCATATATCGTTTTGGGGGCAGGTGTCAAACAGAGAGATTGTCTCGCGGCTGCTTATTATACAACATCATTCTGGTAGCAAAACTGATAGATTTTACATCTATAGCCTAAAGCCTACCTTTGTGACTTGAAATGAAGCGGTTATATTAATGCGATATTAAATTTATGCAACAACGCTTCCAAACACCCCACGTAGCCTTCACGATTCTATTTCTAGCTCTCTCTTATATACAAACCTCCTTTGTTTCCAGATCCACAACAGTTACACTTTTGCCAGAAATATCATTGAAGATCAGCCTGTTATTTGCATGATCCCAATGTGGTCCTTCTCCACACTGGTACCTTTGGTTGACTAAGACTTCAATTTCCATTTTGCTATCTTGCAAAAGTCAATATATATACATATATTTATATATATGCGTTCCCCTCGACCCACCACACAGTGTACTCATTCTACGTACTTACACGAAAATGAGCTGGTCAATGAAGCCTGTAAAAAAGTACGGGAAATTTTGAAATGAATCATAACGAGGCTACACTAATGGGTCTCCGTTGCAGTCCGTTCTTTCGGGGGTTTGGTAGAAAGGATTTAGGAAGATCAAAAACTTCCATGAGGTTGGAAACAAGTGGAGATTGAAAATAAGTGAATATTGAGCAATTTCAAATTCATATAAACGTTTAGCATAGCAAAATTTGCTACATCAGACCTTCAGAGGGGAATGATTTAAAGGGGGGAATAAAAATCTTCTTGTATTTTAACTTTCCATCGACAGAATTGTCTATCCAGTGCCTTTAGCCTTTTGACTGTAACGTTAAGACATTACCTACTAACTGGATATCATATCTTGATAGTAATTCTTCGAGAATACTAAAAATGTTATTTTAACAAAAATTATCAGGGCAGTCAACGTAACTTCTTTGATTTGCTACACTCATATTCGTGTCTAATAGAGTCGATTTTGCGAGTTTTTTATTTGGATCCCATAATCATGAGATACCTCTAAATGTGGAGAAGCTCTTTCCCCATCACAAACCTCTTTAATTTGACCTCTGATCATAACTTCATGAACAGTGCCAAAATAACAGTGATTTTAGGAGACTTACAATCTTTCATCGGTTATACGAGACTCATATTTCACCTGATATTCGATACATTTAACCGATTTTGCATATCTAGAAGTATTTCATGGTGTTCCTTTAGGTTTTGTGGTCAAAATTAAAAAAATTTTTATCATGTATTTTCATGACGTCACACTTAATAACTCTATCGGAGAGGGAGAGGAAGTTAGCCACCAACCAATTACTTAAATATGATCCCTCCTCTTTGTGATTTGTCTGGTGATCGCATCAAGCACAATCTCGGAGTTGCAACTTAGAACTGTCCTGTTCTATACACCGAGAGCGTGTACAGCGCCGCCTATGCGGCACCGGACACTTTAAACAGACCGGTAAAATGTAATTTTCATTTTGTCATATTTAGGTCAGTGTTACCAATGGTACACAGCAGCTTGCATTCAAGAATGGTGCTACAATTTCAAATTGTAGGCAGATTTTCCTTTTCTTTTAAAAAGGCATCTCGTTAACAACAGAAGTGAACCAAACGTTCTCAAAATTGCCCTATTTACGATGAAGCTAATGCCACTTCGACATTCGGATTTATCGTTATTTCATTCTTCATGTTGTGAAATCAATTGTCAGATTCAAAATCTGAACCGTGAGTAAGAAAGATCAGTTGTTAAAGATCAGTTTTTATGAACTAACTTATTAATCCAGATAGGCGCATTTATCCGGCAATGGTTAATCAAAATACGGTGTTAGCCTTCACATAGCTTTGACAAACAGCTTTGCTTCGAAAAGAGAATGGTACTTACTTCCTTGATACTTCAGACTTTTATAGGTGTTGATGATTTCAAGCACTTAAACTAAGAAAATGATATTATAATTCTAAATCTTGATAAACTGAAAAAAACATGCTTATCAACTGGGACATAAACCGTAATGTAAAGCAAACAAGGAATAATTTAATGGTGATGATACTATTTTCTTTCAATTTTCTCTTACAAAGAGTACATGAAGGCGATCGACACGGTATTAGATGGGAGTGTCGATATGGCTTTGATTGACGGGCTGTCAATCATAGCGAATGACAAGATAGTGAATAATGACAAATTGGTTATAAAGGATATCAAAGACGAAAATCAGTTTTATGGAGTTGTTGTCAGTGGAAAAGCAGAGAGACTTGCGAACTGTATAAATATGTATATGAGAAGCAACAAGCAGGAAATTGATCGTAAAATGGGGATAAACTTTCATCGATTGTGGAAGGAAGGAAGGTAATTTCAAAAAGGTAATGTATTAAAGACTTTGCTCTATTGGCATCGTGAGCAGACATCAACCTTAACTAATTGTTTACTTTGGTTTTTAGTCAAAATTCCTGCAAAAGTTCCTTGGACTCAGACAGCAAGAACTCTAGAGCACGTGCATGAAACATTTTAATGATCAACTAAAAATCGATCAGCAGTGGCGGACACCAGGGGGCGAGGGAGGATGGCTTGCCCCCCAATATTTGATCAAGTGTCCGCCCCTGTCGCTCGGTCAATTTGTTGATCACTACAAACAAAACTAATTTTGATTTTGCTTAGGTGAATTTGAGCTAGAGGTCTAAGATTTTTTTCGCGATTCACTGTTTTCGATACTTTTTTGCAACTAGCCATGGATGGCAAAGTCTAATTTCGAAATTCAGGGGCTATAGATTCGCTGAGAAAACATATCTAATGAAATTAAAAAAGAAAAGAAAACAGAAATTGATTTTGACCAAAACTGCTGGAAATCAAATCATTTTCTTGTTTTTCCTCAAGCAAGTTAGAATAAATATATAATCAAAATTAAAATGCTACATTCACTAGTCAAATTTGCTACAAAAATTAAAACAATAGTTAATTCTTTGAAAATGACCCCGCTTCAATTCATACATACTAAATTCCCTAAGCCTTGCAGGCAAGTTCCCTCTTCTCAATTATTTTAGCCAGCATAAGAAACTGCTTGAACACCACGCACTCCGACATTTTTGATGCGGAAGACAAACCCAGCCTCAGGCTGTTGCTTCAATTCTTCTTCAGAAAGTAAACTATAAAAAGATAATTGAAAATTATACTACTTATAACAGACAAACATATGAAAAAAGAGGGCTACAGCAGCTATTAGTAGCAGAAGGTATTCTTTCCACTTTTCATCTAAGTCTAACAAAAGCATTGGGCTAGCTTGGAAGAGCAGTTTATCTTCGTTCAGCGGACATCAAGCTATAAAAAATATGTTTACCTGCAGCAAATGTAATAGCATATTTAAGACAAACTCCAATTTGTTATCACAATCATATGGGGGAAGTTAAGCTGTCAAAAGAGATATTAAAATCTCAGAGCACAAAGAATAAATTTAGAATGGTTACCTTGCACTGGTTACAATCAGCTGGTCAAGATTGGGTCCGGCAAAGCAACACGACGTCGTTTGTTTTGCAGGCAGAAGTATCTCAGACAGCTTCTCACCAGTGTTTGGGTTGCAACGTATAACCTTGAAAATCAGAGGAACAATATTAAAGTACAAAGAAAACATCATTCATTGGAAAAACCAGATGACTTTATAATTAATAGTGGCACAAAAACGTTATTGGTGTCAAGGAAATGAGCCTCTTTCAAGTGATCAGGTTAAAATTTTCGGTATCATCAACGATATAAGGTTTGTGATTTTGACAATGTATTCAGAACAAAACATACTCGCAAAATTACTTTTCAAGCATTTCTCATCGGAAACATTTTTATGATTTGTTTCGAATTCAACTGAAATATTTGCTGATCGCCGATTGTTAAATACAGAAAAGGAGAATTACCTTTCCTCCATTGAACAAAGCTATCCAAAGCATCCCTTCCTCATCAATGCACATCCCATCCGTGATCTAAAATAAATAGGATTAACTTCACGCATTCACAATCACCAAAGAAATCACATAAACTCTTTTATATAAGAAATTTTTTTATAAGAACACAATCCCTCAAAATTGGTCCAATTTAAGGGGAAAAAAGCAAACTGTGGCTGAGTTACTGGAAAATGTAAGAATTTAAAAACATTTGTTTTCTAGGATATCTCTATAAGGACAGGGAATATGTTTTGCTAATGTAATTAAAATAGCACTAGCTGCACGACACCCGTTAAAAGTTTTTCTGAAATAAAATATTATCTCTCATCTAAATTCCCTCGACTTACATCCTAATGATTCAAGAACAAATTAAGAATAATCCAGCCTATGAACAGCTGAATTTTCTGGTTGATATACAAAAATAAAAGGTATACTTGGCTGCTACAAAAGTAACAGTCAAGTTTTCTTATAACCTTGTCTACTTGGCTGAAAGGAGCAAGACTTGACGCGCAAACACATACGCAAAACATTTTTGCTATATTCATGCGTAAAATAAAAGACATCTAAATCATTTTGTATCAATCAAATCTACAAGTTTGGACTTTGTTGAGGAGTGCATACAGAAAAAAAGTAAACAAGCCAGGAAATATAATTCAAGCAACACCGAGAATTCCTGTGCCAGACTTAGTACTAATCGATTCCAGAGCCCAGAGACAGACGACAACAAATTTACAAAGTGGCACATCCCAAATACTGTCAATGTTCTTCAAAAGCAGGTTCCCGGAGCTTAAGGGTATTGTATGAAGGAGCACTTGACTCTAATCGATAACCACACACTAATAAAGGCCACAAGTTAAAAATTGATAAAAACATTGTAGGCTTCTTGATATGTCATATGATCGCCAAAGACATCAACTTACGTGGGCAAAATCTTCAAATGTCTTTACATCGATGGCTGTTCTACGGTTTTTTATCTCTCCAGTGGCAACATCATAGTCAAACGCATCAACTTTTCTACAAAAAACGAATCATTGCTTAATCTTCATTGATAGAACGGATACATTTCATTCTATAAATAAAGTTGGTTTTTTGCTTCAGTTGGGCATTATCCGAAGTTTATACTTTTACGAGCGTCGGACGAAAAGTACTTTAGCATGATGTGTTGCCGCTCTTACATGCTATTTTCAAAAGCTTGACATTGAAATTAAAGAATTAAAAAAACATGTCTCAGTAATATGAAATCAAATTTGCTTCTTTCTCCAAAACCTACAGGGCTTTGTTTATCGTCCCATTTCATTTCGAACTTCGAAACATACTCCAAACAGCCTAGTTATAGTGTTATTTTTTGCAAATACTTCAAGTATGTAATACATTCTTAACATAAATACCTTGGCAAAGAATCAATGTAATAAAATGTCTTTTGATCAAGACTCCAGGCCAGACCATTTGCAATGTTGACCTGAGAGAAAATAACATTCACGAACATCATATCTGAAAGTAACACACACACATAACATGGTTTTTTGTACCATGACGCATTGTACCATTTGCAATGTACATTCTAGGTTCGC